TTAATTAAGTGATGACAATTAAGATGGACAATGGAGAGACGGAGGAAGAGAGAGAGAGAGAGAGATGGAGGGAGAAAGAGGGAGATAGAGAGTGAGGAGAGAGTAAGAGAGAGAAGGAGGAGGGGTGGTTGGGAGATGGGGAGAGATAAAATGGATAGGGGGGAGAGAGAGAGAGAGAGGGCGATTAATTGTTGGAGAGGAAATATTGAGAAAAGTGGGGTAGAGGTGAAATGGAGAGGAGAGATAGGTAAAGAAAAGAGAGTGAATAGGAGGGAAAGCAGAGATAGAGAGAGATAGAGAGAGAGAGAGAAAGAGAAAAAAGTAAATGTAAAGAGAGAGATGAAGATGAAAATAGTCGATAGGGATAACAGAGATAGATAACAAGAGAGCAAGAAAGAGAGAGAGACAAGAGGAAAAAAAGGAAGAGAGTAAAAAAAGAGAAGAGAGGAGAGAGATAGAGAGAGAGAGAGAGAGAGAGAGAGAGAGAGAGGGAGAGCAAGAGGAAAGAAGAGATGAGATGGGAGAGTCAGAGAGCGCAAGAGGAAAGAAGAGATGAGAGAGAGAGAAAGCTCGCCGCGATATGATATTTTTTTTGCAATTGTATTATTTTGTCGCTAAACGTTTAACGATCTGTCGATTGATTGGGAGCACGTGTATTGTGAGATGTCAACCAAGCAGGAGCCAAACGCCGCTATTTCATTAGGGTAATGGATGTCGTCACTGTGTGTTTACCAAAATAGAGAATAGTTCTGCTACCCGGCAACGATGCGGAGCGTTTAATGAAGATATGATCACTGGTCGATTATGATTAATAGCTGTTCGAGGCACGCAGTGTAGGGAGTAGAATGTGGAGGATTCCTCTCAGAAAATATATGAAATTATTAAAAACAAAAGCTAACGGTTGACACTTGGCAAATGGCAATACACATGGCTGAACTCGGAGCTTGGGAAATTCAGTACGTTTGACTAAATATTGACAGTAAAACCCCTCATGATTTAAAGGCATGGCCGACTATTTGTATTTACTGTACTTTCATCGAGGTCAAAGAAAGTACACGATTGGTTAGATTCGTGAATATAATCTTTTTTTAAATAATATGTAGGCCTACATATTTCAAACGTAGGCCTACATTTAAAAAGAGATAGGCCTATGCTATTTGTTTCACCTGAATTTTATCTCAAAACCTTTTACAATATAATAACACTTACTACGTTCTAGCATTTCCTAAAGAGAAACATTTTGTCTAGAGAAATTTTCCGAAGTAACATCATCTTTGATATTTTCGCATTGCTTTAGTGTTGTCATGGTAACTGTTGTCTGGCAAGCGTTAGTGAACCTTGATCTGCCAAAGATAGCCGCGTTATATATGTCGAGTTGTTTAAGCACTTGACTTGAAAATTCAAAGGTCGTGGTTCGAACCCATTGCAGGCACGGCACTAATGTCCTTTGGCAAGGTATTTATCTACATTTGCCACTCAATACCCAGGAGACAAGTTGGGGCCCATTAGGATGACGAAATCATCTGTGTTAGTAATTGCTTATGTCCTCACGGTGACCATATGGTAGGAATACTCCCCAGGGAATGGATATGGTGCACATTGTGCGTGAATGAATCCGATGCTCGGGGTAATTAATATCAGTCTGTAAAGCGCTTAGAGACGGTAATCCGTAATAAGCGCTGTGTAAATCCAGATTATTATTACTATTATATATTATTATATAATAATAGTTGACGAATACCCCGTTTAAGGCGTTTATATCTGCGTTTAGCTCGTGTGTTGGTAGATGTAAACGCTGGCGGGGTAAAAACCAGACCCCCCCCCCTCCTCTCCAATTCTGTAGCGCGCATCCTTGCTCTATTGATGTAGACGTTGAAGTCGATTTACTAAAGGTAGAATTGACATTCAATAACGCCTTTTAGTGTTTTGAATAGCATAAAGATGTCATATACTTTAGTAAGACCTATACGTGATTTCTGTTATTCGACTGTTGCAAAGGAAAGGAGGTACATTAATGCGCGTTTCACAGATGGCGACGTGTTACCATGACAACGTACCTCGCATTCACCCATGACATGCGTTCTTACATAAATGGGGGCCCAGCGCGTCTTTCCGTGTTTTTATTGCACGGCAAAAGGAATGTCAGCTCGCGTTTACATCAGGCTGTTGTCTGTTGTGACACCGAGTGATACCAAGTGTATAGAGATATAAACGGGTTATAATATTATACAGATTATTTCCCTGTGTAATGTCCTTGCAAAGCACTATCACCTCCATGCAGTGGCGTACGCAAGATTTTTCCAAGGGGGGGGGGGGGGAGGTTGGGGTAAGAGGACACTTTCTTTCTTTTTTTTTGGTCCCAAAAAATCGCAACGGCTCAGCTGGGGGGGGGGGGGTCTCGAATTTTAAAAATTGACATTTTCCTCCGTAGGGGGGGGGGGGGTAAGGTCACTTTTTAAGGTCAACCATTGGCATTTTTTTCTTCTTAATTAAAAAAAAAAAAATCCGCAAAAGGGGGGGGGGGTTTGCTCAAAAATACACACATAACAAAAACCAAAGGGGAGGGGGTTACCCCCCCCCCCCCTGCATACGCGCCTCCCTCCATGGTAAAAACCTCCTCGGAGATACTATCTGCGCATGGGCAGGCGAAGGTCATTTGTTCAAAACTGTGAAACCCTTCGAGACGACTGCTGGATATGTTTTCATGAAAGTTATGTTATCAATATTCATTTATGCACACGCTGTACATTCTATAATACACAGGGGAAATTTTCATTTTCAAAAGGGCAAACAAAAGGTATTCATGAAGCACCTCCATCACTTTATGGAATATGGCAGTGATTACTCTAAAATGCACAAAGTGGGACGACTCCGTGTGTAATTGTGTGGATGTTTGAGGGCCGTTTGTACAATTAAGTGCTATCTTCGGAGTGGCTTTTTTGTATCTATCTATCATATGAATATGGGAGAAATTAAAATCAAGCATTGGATATACACTGAGCACAATACATAGTGGCATATGGTCTCCTATTACATACCTTCATCAATTCATATCTTTTGATTGTATTCACACACGTGTATTCTACTTCCATGCCATTGTTATTCATTCAATGGAGTAATTGTTTATTTATGATATTAATAACGTATAATTTATAAATGGTCTGCGAGTAAGATGACTTATTCTTTCAAGAGATGTGACTTGATCCCTCATACATTTACCCAAAGTACTCTGCGAAAATAAAAACAGAGAGAGAGAAAGTCTGTGTTCTTTTCAAACATGAAACTGTCAACCTTTTCTTATTTCTCTCTAGCATTTTTTTCAGTACTTCAAGTCCGATTTATGCACGATTAATTAATGCCATTTTTACTCGACCATCTTTGAAAGGTATCTTCGAGCTGACCCTCATGTTCGGTTGCCAAGATCTTTCCTATGATAAAAAAAAACAATCAATGTTTTTAACGCTAGCAATAAACGATTCTTAACCATCTGAAAATAATACATCCCACACTGCACTTCAAACATCAATAGTATTGATCTACAATACTTTGTCAACTCAAGGCGTATATTTTTTTGAAGGATAACAATGTTTCACACTGAGGATACACTTCAGAATATCCATCGTGAATAACATATCGAGTAGAGCTGTTTACGAGTTGATGTCAAGTTTATAAAATCAATAAAACAGCAGTGTTCACATAACCCGTATTCGAGTCCGGGTGTGTTTTAGGACAGAGTATTTTGTTAGGGTGGAGCTAGGGGAAGGGGGGGGGGGGGTGAGGGGGTACAATATAGGTGGCTGATTATAAACGGTCCTTTCAGCCACCTACTGTTAAAGCCCCTCTAAAGTGTTGGGAGCCCCAAATTCGCCAACAATTATTTGATGGCATAATTCCACTTAAATCGTATCATAATCTGAAAGAGAATGTCATTCAAATATTTAAGACACACTTCTTCAAAGATTCCCACCTCTCCCCCCCCCCCAAAAAAAAAAATGTATTTGAAGACAATATTGATAAAAGAATACATAATTTGGGTTTTCTGTTGTACGCAGAAAACCTAACATTTTGAATTTTGTCATCACCATTCGACTTCCAACACATTTGTTTTGAAAATTCTTCCAGAAATGTGTCTTAAAAGACATCCTCTTTTACATTATGATACAATTCATGTTAAATTTTGCCATCAAATTTGAGGAAAAGGTTGTTGGCAAGCACTGCCCCTTTCCCTCTGTATCTCTAGCAGCTATCCATAATTATTGTGTAATAGTACTCTCAATGCACCTGGATGTGTTAAGCTTCGTTTCTATTTTCATTCTTAAATTTCAAGCGAGTGCTTCTCGTTGTATATTCTTAATCATGACTGCCTAACTGAGCAATTTAGTGAAGGGCACTTTAACATTTAGCGCAGGATTTCTGTACATTCAACCAGGTGTACTTTATTTCATTATTTTCATTGTTTATGAGGAGGAAAATTTCTTGTACTGAATCATGACTGCCTGTGCGCTTAATTGAAAACATACTGTAACTAAATCTTGACGTGAGAGGAGATGGAATGAAATTTATAATTTGTTCCTTCTATTTCGAGTATGCAGTCTTTCACAGCCCTGCATCAAGAATATTAAACAAAGAACTACATGTTCGTTATTACTCTACATCCGATGTATTGTATTTCAATGTTATCCTACTGTCTGAACAATTGTCTCATTTATCATAATATAAAATGCAACAACAACAACAACAAAAGAAGAAGAGAAAGAATGGAAAAAGGCACTATAGGGAAACCCATATATCAAGATAAACAAGTGGATTTTCTCTTGTTAAAAAGAAAACATGCAATTTATCATGGCATCATTCCCCCTTATTTCCTCACTTAAAACATGATTGATTATTGTAACAGAAAAAAAAAAGTTTAATGAAATTATTGGGGCACATGCCCTTTGGTCCCTAGATCAGTCACTAATGATCCTATTTTTGTCCTTTTCTTTTCTTTTCTGCATTAGATTGAATCGGAGCAGAAATGCACCCTCTGCGAGACCAACACAGGGCACGAGCTATTCCCGTGCCGGATATGCACACTCGTCTTCCACGAACCCTGCATGAAAAGAAAGGGCCAACTCCACGACAACGAGTCCATCAAGGCGCTACGTCAGGCAAACACCAATATCGGCTGGTCGTGCAGCGAATGCGTGAGTGTTTAATTGAAGACAGAGGCAGTGCTGGTGGGTGGTGGGGGATCAGGGAGTGGGGGCAGGTATAATATGGGGGCAGAGTTGACGCCCTTATTTGAATTTTCTGTTGGCAAATCTGCCGCTACGCCAAGCCATCACTAACATTGACCAGTCATACAACGAATGCGATGAGTGTTAAATTGCAGAAAGAGGCGGCACTGGTGGTGGTAGGGGAGGGGGTTCAGGTGTAACGCCCTTATTCCATTTTGTTGTCAAGGAAAATTTGCTGCAACGCCAGGCCTACACCAACATCGGTCTGTCATGAGGGTATAATAATTATCCGAATAAGGGGGGGGGGGGACAGGTGTTACGCCCTCATTCAAAGTCTTCTGTCGGAAATTTGCCGCTATATACACCGAACCAACATCAACTTTTGATCAGCTGGTCTTCTAACGACTACGTGCCTTTGGGTGTTTATATTAATATACATGTAAATAGTGGTGTCGCTGAAGGTGGGGAGGGGGTGTCGGGAGGGGTGTCGGACGGGTTTTTACCCCCCCCCCATCCCCAATTTTTTTGTCGTAATAAAACTTGCCGTTTGTACAGCAATTTAGGGAAAATCACATAAATTGACGATCTTTGCCTATAGGAAATGTTTGCACAACTGTCAGCAAATATTAAAATCTGACAACCATTTTTGAAAACTTGTCGGCAAATTTGAAAATCTGAGATTCCTCTATTCAGTCTTTCTTTGAATACCGGAAAAAAATATTGACTGACTTGTGGCCATAACCCCCTGTCCAATTCAAACTGGTCAAGTGACACTCATGTTTGCGAAAACGTTGTAACTTGAGTTAAAGTAACGACCTGTTAATATTGACACTAGCTGTTGTTAAGGTTTGTTTGTTTGAAGGGTTGTATCTAAACTAAATTGGTGATGACTTCGAAGCAGGGAGAGAAGACTGAAAAATCGATGGGAAAACGTAGAAATGGGAAAAATTGAGGATAGGGAGAAGTAGCATGAGGAGGAGGACAAAATCTCCCTGAGTTTAGAGGAAAGTAGATCGAGAATGAAGAGAAGGACAGAAAGAGGATATTAATAAGAGCAAAAATTAACAAGTACTAAAGAGCCTGTAAGATATAGATATACCAAGATAAATCCAGAGATTATCTAATGCAAGACCGTTATCGATGAAACAAGTCGGCTTCGGGTGATGGTACTAATTCAAATTAAACTCTAGAACAGCAAGATATATCCTCCCTTTCCAGTTGATTTGTATTGGTTTATTAAACCACTAGACCAATTCAAGAATGATTTGATTCTCTATATCCCCTATTTTATTTAAAAAATCGCAGGTTTTGTATGGTAGAACAGTACAGCGTTGTAAAACTGGGACCCCAAATCCCACCATTTTGTATTTGTGACTTTTTTTTTGGGGGGGGGGAGGGGGTCTATATTTTGCCCTTGTGTTCACACTGTTCTAAAATGGAAAATAAATGAATTGAATTGAATTGTTGCTTATCGTGGTATAATAAAAAATATCCGCGAAATATACCCCTTCTCTAAGATTTCAGAATGGTTCTGTCACTACCATGGACTTTGATGTCGACTGACTTGCGAAATATTTTCTTTGTTTTCAGGAGAATCTGGGGCAACTCCTTAGTGATGATGAGATGTTTGAACTGATGGAGATTTTCGAGAGATGCGACGTCGATTCAGGTAAGGAATATTGGTAATTTAGAAAAATAGGGGAAGGAGGGGTGCCAGCGCCAGCCCCTCCCCTTTGAGGCCTCTCAATAAAATTAAATTGTCCGTAGTCGGAAAAGAGCTTGACACTGATGATGATGCACACTGGCAATTTATAGCACTGGTTGTACAGCGTTACACTTAATGATATAAAATGAAGAGAAGCTTTACTGTGAATTGCCCTTGTAGGTTAATTTACTCCGCACCCCTCCCCCAAAAAATGCAATCAAATTCAACCGTAACTGAATGATCTCCAATCAACCTTCATGAATAGAATAAGGCTGACTAGAAACGATCTCGATTCCCTCCTCTCATCACAATCCATAACAGATGCAACGATCTCGCTTGAGGAGTTCATCGAGTACCGGCAACTGGTGATCAAAGAACACGAGAACCGTCCTCTCACCGAGGACGAGATCGAGGACGAAACTCGCAACTTCAAGTCGATGGACACCGATCGCACAGGGAACCTATCATGGTGGGAGTTTCTTAACCACGAAGCTATCAGAAGACTAGCAACTAGGTCAAAGGTGAGACATAATAATAATAATAATAATAATAATAATAGGCATTTCTCACTATGAATATGACGGACAAAGAAAGAGGACAAAATATACAGTTCCTCATTCTTCCTCAGGTGTCACATGCATATTCACCTGTTCTACAAATTTTTAGCATAATAGCAGTGAAGGAATGTTCCTTTGTCTACCACAGCAATTGTTGAGGGTAGAATGAGGAACTGTATATTTTTCCTCTTTCTTTGTCCGTCATGTTCATAGTGTCAATAGCGCCGTCTATCTAGAGATTCTATTCCGAGGCGCATTTATTATTACCCCGGCTTTAGCCTAGCTGCCATCACAGCGCTCCAGCATTTCAAGGAATTAATTCCTGCCAGGTACCCATTTACATCACTTGGGTTGAGTGTGGCAAATGCAGATCAATGTCTTGCCAAAGGACATTAGTGCCGCGGCGGGACGCGAACCACGGATCTTGAGATCGACAGTCCGGCGACGTATCCACTCGACCATGACACCTCTATTCTGGTCCGGCATTCAATTTAGTTATTTCACACTCCGGCGGTATCCCCCTTCCCTTTAAAAAAAATCAACTGAGTAGAACAGTGAATACTTAAGTTGGCTAATTAGTTTATCTTAATTCCGAACTTAAATAAAACATTAATATTTCTGACTAATAGCTAAGTCGTACCGCTTAACCGAGTACATACCGAGTCTATACCGAGTCCATACCGAATTTTGCCGACAATTCAGCAACAATTTTTCATCAAACTAAAGAACACGAAAATGAAATTTAAAAAAACACTAAGCAACAAGACAACAACAAAAAATCAGATTTGTTTACGGAGTTGTAAGATTTTCAAATTTGCCGTCAGAGGAACCAAACAATTTTCCTAAAGGTTGTCAATTTCCAAGATTCGACGTTGAGCCCGACGTCGAGCCACGAACGTTTCTATATGTACTAAATCAGGATATATATATATATCTATGACTGATCCCTTCATTTAAACAAAAATAGATGGCAAATTAATTATTCTAATTACTTATTCAACAGTGGCGTATCTTTAAAAAAGGGGGAAATAAATAGGGGGCAAAATACAAATAGAAAAATGGGCGGCTTTGATTTGCTCCCGCCCGCCCGGTGATCGATGAATAAGCTTCCCCCAGAAATTTGAAATATCTAACCATTTTTCTGTATTTACTGAGGAAAAGTTGTTAATTTGTTCATGAATCTGCAATGTAGCAATGCTGGATACGCCACTCCTGGAATGGGCTGTTTCATATTATTGATTTTTTGTCTTTTACTCGAGTTGATTAATTGGAACAAGACTCCCTTTGTCTACGTAATACATGACCTCGTACGTGAGACTAATTTTTAATGCGCATGGGTATCTTTTGAGTTGTGCATTGTATACTAGAGAACACTTTGGAATTATTGATTATTATTGACTCAAGTTCTGATGGAGGGTATTGTATAATGAAAGTAGAAGGAAGGGAAAGCAAATACTAGGGTATGCATGTTGTGGTCATGGACCTACTAATCAGTGAGGCCATGTTGTGGTCGATGCATCGTTGGGGAGATGTTTTCGGAGTGTAGTTTGTAAAAAGCTTTATAAATTCCATATATTATTAGTTGTTGTATTCATGAATCAGCTATCTTTGTAACATCATCTGAGGGGCCTTAACTTAAAAAGCTGTGCTTCAACCAAGGTCTCCTTGTCTTTCTTTATTCTTCATTGTAATGTTATGATTATACTCTATTATATTTTGTTACACGCGATTTCTTCGAGACAAATAAACTTGATACTTGATACGACGATGTTGGAGAGATAGAGAGAGAGAGAGAGGAGGGGGAGGGGGTTACTGAGTGTCTGCACATTAATTAATTTCTACTCACATACGAAATGCTTTCTGCGTAATTATATTCAAACTAATAAACTGTTGCCCATGAAGTTGGATTCTTTTCTTACCTCTGTAACGATTGTGACATTATGATTTATTCTTGATAGATAAAGTTGATGTTTTCTCAGAACTTTTTTGATCAATCTTTGTTGATACATCTTTATTGCAAAATTAACGTTGTATTATTCATTCTCATCGTATACTGTTTCTTACTCGACTCCTTGAATTGTATCCTACATGTATATTATGTTTATTATTGAAATCATTAGTGTAATTATATCGTCAGCTTCATTTTCTTTTGTTTACTTTATGATCTACTTTTCTTATGTTACAAGACTGCAATGAAAAAAAATCAGCCTTGGGCTTATTGTTTTTATCCTGCCAAAGATACATTTTATAGGTGATCCAATATTTTATTCTTGCAACGTCTGTTCCGGGCGTCATTTCATTATTTTCTCAAAATAAGATATATGGTTTAAATTGGCAGAGACTCTAACTCTCCAGCTTTTAGGGCGATTTCCAAAAATCCTAATAGATGAATAATTGATTAAATAAATGATCAAGTAAATAAAATTTATATGTTTTTTCAGAGAAAGTTGGTTCAAGTGCTGAAACCGAAGGAGATCCAGGCACTGAGGTCGAACTTCGTCGTCTTCGATACGGACGGTGACGGATGCGTGACGGAGTACGAGGCAAGACGAGCCTTCAAAAGCTGGTTCTCAAAGTTCATCGAAGACCCTTACGAGATGTCACCAAGTGCACAGTAAGAATTTTTGATATAAAGAAAACAATTAGTGGATAGTGAGACAATGACGTCACAGACACATGAGTGAATTGCCAATTTGTCTTGTGATTTTAAAAGTTTTTCATGTCATTAAAAATTCAAAACTTTCTTGTTAGTTATCCGATTTTGTTCAAACTTTTTTTGATTGGTTTGTCTGATTTTTCAGCTTCTATTGAAAGTAAGTTATTTTTGGAGTGGACTTGCCCTTTAAGATATTAAAAGTTACCAAAAATTGTAAATTTAAGAACTTCTTATGAGAAAGCAAATTATTTATTTGCGTACGGAATTTCCCGACAAGAAGACTATTCTGACCCGGTGGAGAACTAAGTTTGGGGAGGGGTGCAATCGGAAGGCAAATTCCAAAACTTGTTATGGTTATGAATATGAATAGCCTGGGTGAAGAGTGGCAAATGTCGATTAATATCGTACCAAAATATAATGTGTACATGACAGAGATTCGAACCCTCAACCCTTAGATCGCGGGTCAGGTTAATGAATCTTCGCTGAGCAACCGACACATGTAAACTTGTCATTCCCAAATCTAGACTCTCAGCAGCTGAAAAATGTTTTGCAGTAGCTGCATCAAAGACTTAAAACAGCATCCCTATAAGAGAAATTACCTGTCTTGCCACCTTCAAAAGATCCCTCGAAACTTACTATTTTTTCCCATTGATCTATGTGATCTACTTCCTGTGAGAGTGTACATTTTTGTCCTCTTTTCTTATATTTGTATTTGTAAGCGCTTTGGTACTTTATTGTTTTTAGCGCTCCTTAATATACGATATTATTATTATGAACCACTATACCACGACACCTCTACGATCTATAAGCGTTTCTATATTCTGTTTTATATATTCTAAACGTTATTTGGACTTTCATTGCAGACGTCGTCTCGGTAGCCAGACATCGTTAAGAATGACATCAGAGCTAGCTACACATGTTGATACAAACACTGGACTACTGATGGGGGCGGATAGTGATCGATCAGGGTAAGATATTAAGATTTACAATCCAAGGAGATATTTAGCCTTGCACTAATATCTCCTCGTGAAACTAGCTTGCGAATGTCTTTAATTTGAATAAACATGCCTAGTTCTCAGATAATAGGGAGAGAGGGAAGTGTGTGTGTGTGTGTGTGTGTGTGTGAGAGAGAGAGAGACAGAAAGAGGGAGAGAGAGAAAGAGAAACCAGGAAGAAGAGACAGGAAGAGAGAGAGAGAGAGAAAGAAAGAGAGAGAGAGAGAGAGAGAGAGAGAGAGAGGGGGGGGGGGGGGGAGGGGTTGAGGGAAAAGCAGGGGAGGGAGGAAGTAAGTTACAATGTGTACATTACGAAAATAGAAAAAATTGGCTGTACGTCTAATAGAAATGAAGCAGAAAATCAGCTTTATATGGACAGGGGTTTTAAATGGAATTACCAAAAAAAGTTTTATACAAAAAGCTTTTTATTTCGTTTCATTAATTTAATTCCCTTGGCTTTGAGAGTCATTAGTGTCGATATATTGGTATTAACTGTTTGGGTTTATTACGCAACCTCCCGTTTACTTATTATTTCCCTTTTCTCCCAATTTTTGTGGTTATTACACTCAATATCCGATCGGCACATGAAGCCAAATCATTCTAAATTGTTAAGGAGAGCATGATAGCACAGGAGCATCGAGTGAACATTTCTCCAGAATATTAAATCATGTTTATAACAATCATTTACAAAATCAATAGATCAGAATTCATTTTTCTTTCAACGATATTATTTTGTCGTGCATGAAAACCATATAATACGGTTTTGCCAAATGCAAACACCTTTATTTTTGCTTAAATAGCACGTTCTTTCATGTCTTTATCTAAATATGTCGAACACGTACGTTTTCTCTAGTATGTGTTTGTATATCATTATATATCTTGGGTGCAATGAAATACTGAAAGCAGATAAATACCTTTTTATAATTATTATTTTTTCGCTTTCATTTTTAGTTCTGTATCCTGGGAGGAGTACGTGATGGAACAGGCTCTCTACACGCTGGCTGTACGACCGAACATTGGACCCGTCAAAATCTCCAGAAGGCCAACGTTCTGCTCGTACTGAAGGTCTTTCCATCTTTGGACTTTAAAGCGGGACTGCACTGCTTGTGCCTCTATATAGCAAACAATGCCTAAGCGGTGATCATTGGTCCCCCATTATCACCTTTTTCTTATGATAATTGAGAGCTGATTTGATGAGATAACCACCTGCCAGTGACCATGCAGGGAGGTCTAACCCCTCTAGGCCAAGCTAGTGCAGACAGGCTTTAAAGAATGCTTTGAGTTCTGATCAATGATAGAAAATAAATTTTCACAGAATCCAACAAAACTTATACTGAATGTTCAAGATTACAAATTATTAACATTTGCCGAACGATTTTGGTAGAAAATGTATAGAGGCTGAGAAATATTCATAGAAAGATAAGGAAATCAAGGTTCTAGTAATAGACTACCTCGTCACTATGAGAGTCTTGGTTTTTATTGAAGATGATTTCCAGCAAGTTTTTGTGAGTTTTTTTAATATTTTACTGGTTCAAACAATCGATCTATTGCATGACAGACAATCCAGAATGAATTATAGCCATCTTCTCTTGACATACAATTCCCATACCAGAGCTCAAGATTAGCTGTAATCCTATTCGAACTGGATCTTTTAAGAGCAAGTTTTTAGCCCTGGGGTCAATTTGTGCCTCTTGAGCTCTCAGTCAAGGGATCGCCCCCGAACTTTTACATGGTCATCGACATGCTTGTGGTTGGAGCAGGGAGAGGTATCTCCCTGGTTGGAGAAACAGTTTTTGAAAAAAGTCAGTACAATTTATGCAAATTAGATGCCTATTTTAAGATATTTAGTCATATTTCAATTAGAAATTAAGGTATGAAATTCAATATTTTTTTCTTCAAAAATTACCTTAGAAGCATATTCAACATATTGCATTGACAAACTTTCCTATTTCACATAATTTTTAAAAAAATAAATCTTCTTTTTTTCGTCATATCTGTCATTTTTCAGAAATATATTATAATTTATTTCAAGAATATAAAAATCAAGAAAAAGGAAAAGAATACATAAAAATTACAGGAATTAAAGAGCAAACAAACAACAGAATAGCGAGCCGCAAACTTGGTCTCAAAATGTTCAAAATGAAAATAATTTTTTCATTATGCCTACCAATCTATCCACACACAAAAAACCTTTAATCAGATTATTTAAACCATTATTTCTTTATAGCTACAATCTACTGATAAACTTTGTTGTATATTTAAAAAAGTTATTCAGTATTAATACTAGATATGCGTGTTATTTGTTGCTGTTCGTGCTTCAATAAATTGCATGCAGTGACTATACATGTACCTTTTCAAGAACTTTATGCTATGCAATTTATTTATCGAATGTCTCCGATTTAAACTTGTGCCTTATGAAAGGACCAATCATATCATAAAATACTTGTAAAGAAATGATTGGTTACTAATATTGATAAACCATTGTAGATTATGCATCTTAGGAATTCAATCATGCACTCTGTATAGTAGACATTGAAGTCAAAAGCAGTTTATTTGTGTTGATTTTGAATACATAGAACAGCTCATGACTTGTACTATGAAAACAGATGAAATGAGTTTGTTTTATTTGCAGGGCTGGCCCATGTATATTCCGTACTCATCTTTCATTAATTGTTACGTAGTAGAGCAAGGGTCACTTGTTCCATTAGTGGGGCGGTAGGAAGAGGGAGGGGTGGGGGAGGGGGGGGGGGGTTACTGAACTTTCAATAGAATGAAAATGCAACATGTTTAATTGACTAAAATCAAGTATACTTGGTTAAAAACTCCTTTAGTATAGCACATGTTCAAAGATGATAAAAATGCTTCTAGAGCTTACATCTTATGTTTTCAATTTTATGAGATTTAATTGACTAACATCAAGTATTACTTGGTTGAAAACTCCTTTAATATGGCTCATGCTTTCTTTCTAGAGTTAACATCCTATGCTTACAATTTTATGGTTGGAGTTTGTGTTCTGTTCATTTCATCTCAATATTTAATGCTTTTTGAATATTAATTCGTAAATGTAAATTGTATATATTTGTATATAGAATGACCTCTCTCATTCCATTTTCATACTATAAAATGTAAACATGACACAGGTATATTAAAACAACAGAAACGATTTAAAATAACAAAAAAGGCTTGAGTTCTTCATCGAGTGTCGTAGTCAGAGCCCTGGATTGTGAAAGAACATAGTGGCGTATCTACGGGGGCAGGGGGAGGGTGGCACGTTCCCCGGCGCCACTTGGAGGGGGGCAACAACAACAAACACACAAAAGAATGAAAGAAAGAAAAAGGGAAGAAAATTACAATCCTTAAGGCTTATGTCTGACCCGAATCCACAGAGTAAAGTCCATGAATCGAATTTTTGTTTGTTTTGGGGGTTTAAAGTGAGAACAATTTCAAAGCTCAGTCGCTTCGTTCCCTCGAATATGTTGATTCCTTATCTCACAATTCGTGCCTCTGTGTAGGATGTCAGAGTCTATAAATGGCATTTATATAGGATTCAAAATTCTGGGGAAATAATATTAATATGTTGCTTTGCTCTCCTTAGTTTCACAAATAGGTTCTTGTTACATGCTGTTTCCCGCTTTCCCCGCTATGGAATATAATGGATAAACAAGAGATCTTTAAAATAAATCTTATATTTCAGACGCTTTGCTACATTACTGGATTGCAGTGGCGTAATGAGCAAAAACGTTTGGGGGAGCTGACAAAAAAAATCCGCAGCACCCCACTCTAACAGCAGGCCCCGCTGAACGTTTCGCAAAGTGGGGTCAAGGCAGGGGTCAAGGGGTGGAGCCCCCGAAACTCAAGTGGTATAGGCATCAGTGGCGGATCCAGAAATTTCTTACTGGGGGGGGGGGGGCACAAAATGGCATGGGATTAAATATATGTAAAACGATGAAGCGACCGAACGAGGCTTTAGCGGCGAGTGAGCGGAGCGACCAAGCGTGGGTGGGTCTTGGAGGGGGTTTTGGCCCCCTCCCAGAATAAGAAGCATTTGCAATTTTAGAACCAAATTAGTCGCATTTTCAGGCACTTCCTGGAGTAATATGATGTAAAAATAATTGCTTTCTCCTACCCCTTCCAAGAGTAGGGATCTTTTGCAATTCGAGAACCACATTTGGCGCATTAATGTCCACCGGCACTTCCTGGAAAAAAAAACGAGGCCTTCTGATTGGTTAAAAGTAAGAGAAAAGTGATCTGTCACGTCTTGAGACGTTGTATATGCTTTGATGCTGCACAATGCACAAAGACAGTGGTCCGGTACTTCATCAGTAGTACTTGCAAAATGTTTCTCGAGTGTATAAACTGTGTCGTTATCAGGGGCGTCGCTAGATCTTTGTCAGTGGGGGAGTGGGGAGGGTGTAGAGGCCACCGATTACCGACAAAACGAGCAACCGACAAATATATTAATGCTAATGTCTTAATGTCTACAAATTTAACCCTATAAACCCAGGGCCAGGAACTAAGTTATTTTTCAGTCTCCCCCCTCCCGCGCGAAGCACGGAAACTTTGACACTTCATTAAATTATTAGAGAAAGAAAACGATCAGTGGTACCATTCTCGACTCTCAATTCTTGTTTGGATCCAGTTCTCCCCCTCCCTGCCGCGCGAAGCGCGGCAGTTTTTACGTTTTAATGAATTATTACTCTTAATCCTTGTCTGAATTCATTTTCGCCCATCCCGCGCGAAGCGAGGCAGCTTTGACGATTCATTAAATTATTACTCTTAGTCCTTGTCTGAATTCATTTTCGTCCATCCCGCGCGAAGCGCGGAAGCTTCGACACTTCATTAAATTATTAGAGAAAGAAGACGATTCATTGTACCGGTTCCGACTCTTAATCCTTGCCTGATTTAATTTTCGCCCATCTCGCGCGAAGCGCGGAAGCTTTAACGTTTCAATAAATTATTACTCCTAATCCTTGTCTGAATTCATTTTCGCCCGTCCCGCGCAAAGCGCGGAAGCTTTCACGTTTCATTAAAATATTAGAGAAAGAAGACGAAGCGTTGTATCGTGTTCTTGTCTGAATTCAGTTTCCCCCTCCCGCGCAAAGCGCGAAAGCTTTGACACTTAAATTATTAAAGAAAGAAGACGATTCATTGTACCGGTTCCGACTCTTAATCCTTGTCTGATTTAATTTTTGCCCATCTCGCGCGAATCGCGGAAGTTTTAACGTTTCAATAATTAATCCTTGTCTGAATTAATATTCGCCCATCCCGCGCGAAGCGCGGAAGCTTTCACGTTTCATTAAATTATCAGAGAAAGAAGACGATTCGGTGTATCGTGTTCTTGTCTGAATTCAGTCCCCCCCTCCCGCGCAAAGCGCGGAAGCTTTGACACTTCATTAAATTATTAAAGAAGGAAGACGATTCGTTGTTCCGTTCTCGCCTCTTAATCCTAGTCTGAATTCAGTTGCCCCCCCTTCCGAAGCGCGGAAGCTTTGCCGTTTCATTAAATTATTAGAGAAAGAAGACGATTCGTTGTACCGTTCACTTCTCTTAATCTTGTCTGAATTCAATTTCCCCACTGGGCCCCTTAATGGTACATATGCAGTGTTACATGATGTAAGTATTGAACGCCCGGCAGTGCTTGTCACAGTTGCTTCTGGAAAGGATTTTTTTTACTAGTGTTACTGTTAGTGGCAACGGCCCTTAGTGACTATCAAAAAAAACATATGCTCTTCCTGGCCATTTTGGAATGTGTCAGTTTGCAACATAAATGGTGAAACGCGCATTTTGTTGAAAATCATGTGATATCACGAACATTTATACACCAATGGAATTGAAAATAAGTCATGGTTCAATTTTATTTGGGGGGGGGGGGGGGCTGGCGCCCCCAAGCCCCCCCCCCCCCCACCAGTACGCCAGTGCTGGATTGTATAGCAAGGTTTCGTTGATTTTACTCCTCTTCAGGAAGAAGTGAATAGAAAACCGTTTATCAAGTCCAAAAATTTCGAAACTCTATTTCTAGAATGCAGTATGTACTGATCTGCGCAATTCCGAATGGGTCATAGCTACTTGAGAGATATAGTTACGTCACCGGAAGTTGATCCGGATTGGTCAGGCATTTCATGAAGCTACACATTAGTTCCCTCTCGTAGAGATTGCACGTGGGAGGGAACTGTTTGGAGCTATTGGAACTATTTGGAGGCGAGATTCCAAACCTCTTCTTCTCGACTTCTTGGGTACGAGAAGGTGAAAATTAGGCGAGATTCCAATTCTCGACTTCTCGGGTACGAGAAGGTGAGAAGGCGCGATTTCAAATCCCGTCTTCTCGACTTCTCAGGTACAAGAAGGTGTACCCAAGAAGTCGAGAAGACGAGATTTGGTATCTTACTCTCTCACCTTTTCGTACCCGAGAATTCGAGATGCCGGATCACGCCTTTTCGCCTTCTCGGACCAAAAAAGTCGAGAAGACGAGGAATTTTCTCGCCATCTCGGTGGCACTTGTAAGCTTCCGTAGTCATATGTCATGGGGGTGTAATATGCTCCAGGCGACATAATCCCATGATACGGCAGTGGAACAACATAATGCAATATCGAAAGGCTAACGACTTGGTAGAAAATTTAAGGAGAGTCAAGGTAATAAAAATAATACAGAGAATAAAAATGAGAGAGGGAGAGATATACTTGTATAAAAGTGATATATATAGTCAGTAGCGTATGCAGGATTTATTCGAGGGGGGGGGGGGGGTTAAAATTTGAAAATCGCGCCGAAATTTTCGCAACGACTCGGCCAGCCGTTGAATAAGCGGGGGGGGGGGGGGGTAGGTAAGAGCACATTTAATTATTTTTAAAAAAAATTGAAGGGGGGGGGGTTCCTCCAAAACACACACATTAAAAAAACGTTGGGGGGGGGGGGTTCAACCCCAAAAACACCCCCCCCCCCTGCGTACGCGCCTATATATATATATATTATATATATAGAGAGAGAGAGAGAGAGAGAGAGAGATAGAGAGAGAGAGAGAGAGAGAGAGAGCTAGGAAGGGAAGAAGAAGGTGCACAATGTAAAAGAAGAGGGATGAGCCGTGAATATTTCCTTTTTCTTACATTCTCAACAAAAGTAATGTCAATATTACGTCAAAAATATGAGATATTACGTTTAATATCATTTGCATTTTACTATCATTTGGATTGAATTTAACTCTTCCAAACAGCTAAAAAAATTGTTACCTAATAATATGACTCCTAAAATTGATTTCCACTCCATTGCATGAAGAGAGTATTTGTGCATTATGTAATTGTCATCATACTTTGCAATCTCTCTTTATTTTGACTCACGATTTAAAGGGATAGTTGAGTTCTGTATTGAGACCGCAAATGCCTTCAGAGTGCATGGTTGTTGCTCTTATTCTTATCTGAGACATTTCTAGTGCCCTGTTAGAACCTAAAATTGCTATGAAGGTAATTTTAGACCCCAAAATGTGTGGAAGTTAGCCAATACGGGTACCAATTAAGCTCCACTTTAAAAAAATACGATGATCGTTAATTAATTATTTAATTAAAAATAACAATACATGGGCCGGCTGGTTGTGCGTAATATAACCAACACGAAACAATGCCAACAAAAAAAAGCCAACATCGGCATTGGCTGAAATACGACGTAAAAGGCGCTATTTCGTTTTTTTCAACGGCCTTTTCACATTAGCTTTATTTGTGTTGGTACACAAGTATTAGAATCGTTATATTTATGGATATTTCAGCCGTCTCTGAACCGATTTTGATCAAACAAAGATGATTTTGTCATTTAAAATGTATGTCCTTTCAAATTTGACACTCAGTTTTTCAGTACCTCACAAAAAAATTATTTTGTGTAGCGCCTTCTGCAACAGAACTCAACTATCCCTTTAAATAATAAATCAATGTCTTTATATTAAAGATTCTGGGCCCGTCTTATCATTATCTACGACTAGCTCTTTACTGAAGTGATGGGAGTTTGGATGTTTACGATTGATTGGAGGACTTGCGACCAACCTCAACACTTTTAGATGACAGGGCACAGAAAGGTTCTTATAACAACAAAAAATACTCAACAAGCCACCCGAAAACAAGAAGCTCTTGCTGGAGTTTATCATGATATTTAGTTTATTAAATTGCATACATTTTATTCAGGCCTTCACATATTTTCTTTCCTTGAATGAAAATTGTTTATGGATTAAGTGAGATTCACAAACAAAAAAGGTTTTTAAAGTTATTAGTGGCTTTACTTCCTATAGGCTATTCGCATTAAATACGTCACTCTGTCTTTATCCCTGCGTTAAATCATTTTTCATCCGATTGATTGATTAAATCGGTCATCATTTTTAACGATATAAATCGTCGGTTGAAGAAGAGAATATGTTATGTTTTGTAAGTGAATGTAAAATAAGGAAATGATGTTTAATAGAATTTATCCTCATCTTAAAAATACATCTTCAATTGAAAGGTAGTCAATGAACAATTGATATTAAACTGACATTCGAAAATGTCTATTGTAAGTCAGTAAGATTCATGACCGCGGTTCCATATCCGCACCAGTTCCCTTTGTTGGGTGGTGTGTTTTTGTTCTGTCATGTGTAAAAACACTACCGTTCTAAAGAAATAAGAAAATGTCCTTTCATCTGTAGATAGCATGAATCTAAAAACCGAATGTCAATGGGCGTTTTGTTTGAGTAGAGCTGGTAGCTGAATGGCGAGTGTGCGGCTGAGCCTCCGCTGTTGCGCCGGCCCTAACCCGAGAGCTGCGGGCTGCTGAAAGAGCTGAATCAGGCTCTCCTCATGTCCAGAATCGATGAGGGATTGCATGAGGTTGCGATAGAGTTCCTTCGATTCGTGCTCGGGTTGGGGTTTAGGAGGGAGGATGAGCTGGACGCCGTTTTGGATGGTGAAAGACATCCGTGGAGGGTCATCAGCTGGTCGAGAAAGAGAAGTCATCAATAATTTATCGCATCTTTTCCCATCATCAGTGCCCATATTGTATGTTTTTATTTTGTCCATCCTTTTCCATTTTGAAAACAATTTCTCCCTCTTTTCAAGATTATTTCTTAAGTATTAGTACCACTCCCAGTTCTTTCACTCCTCTCTCTTCCAACAATTTCTGCAGACTGTCCATCCAAAGTATCCTCCTTCTTCCCACAATTTTCCCTGTCAAAGCAAGATTCTCTACGCCTTCTTTACGTGTAATGTGACCCATGAACTTCAACTGCCTCATCAACATTTTCATTTTCATCATTTTCCTTTGCACTCCAGCTCGTGTAAGAACTTCCTCATTACTAACTCTGTCAGTCCAGGGGATTTTCATCATTCTTCTTAAGAACCACATTTCGCAACTTTCCAAACGCTTTTTAGTATCAGAGGATAAAGTCCACGTTTCACTACCATACATAAGTACTGGGTAGATGTAACAATTCAATACTCTTATTCTGGTCCTCATACTCATTGTTCGATTTGTCAGAATTTTGCCTAGCTTTGAAAATGAAGATTTAGCGAGATCTATCCTTCTCTTGATCTCTGTCTCACATCTGGCATCCTCGGTGATCATGCTGCCAAGGTAGTTAAATGAGGAGACTTGTTTAATAATCTGTTCTTTCAGTTTCAAGTTACATTTTGGACTGCTCTTCTTAGGGCGTGTTTATGCTTCACTTTTTCTGGCCAGAATCAGGCATCTGTTACGCGTTTAGTTTAAAACACGGTTGCGTCCATGCTCACTTGACAAATTGTAAACACATCTTTTTGTGAGTTTACGATCGGCGATCGTGATCGCCGCTTTTCGGTGATTCTACACAAAAAGATGTGTTTACAATTTGTAAACGCGTTTAAATGGGGTCAACGCACTGACCTCTAATGGGTCTACGTAGCATGCACAGTGAAGGTTTGCGAATTCAGCTGGAAGACCAATTAAGGCCACACAGGGAGAATTGCCTGGAGGAGCCAGAGAAGTGAGCATAAACAGTACACCGTGGAACTGCGATTACGATGAGCGTTTACGATGAGCGTTACAAATCGCTCATTCTGCCTTCAAAATTTAAGCTTAAACGCACCCTTAGAGACCACCAGGCACTTTGTCTTGGTAAAGTTGATCTCATTGTACATCATAATAATTATTTACAATTAAGTATTAGGTATATACTATATACGTCATAGAATGTACATTCATTTTACATGATTCACTATGATTTGGTAAAATTAAATGTACATCATTTTCAATAAAGGTTTTGTTTTATTTATTCAAAAACAAAAACGAATACAAAAATAAAACGACTAATGAGAACCGGGCCATCCCATCCCGAGTATAGTCAATAGACCCACTATACGAGGTTAAAGATAAACTCCAGTACTGGTAAAAAAAAAAAAAAAAAATTCTCACAGAATCAAACGAAACTTACACTGAATGTTCAAGATTACAAATAAATGACATGTGCCAAACAATTTTGGAAGAAAATGTATACTCAGTCTGGCTGAGTAATGAGCATAGAAAGACAAGGAAATCAAGGTAGTACTAGCCCCGACACCATGTGTGTTGTCCCATATATAGCTTTCTATGTGAGTGCTTGTTACTTTACCAAGACTGTCAAATTTATTATGATTTTGATGACTCCAGAACCTTAATTGCAGTGCACACCAATACTTACATGCTACATGATCAACTGTTTCTGATCCTTTCCACACCTTTTCTTTCACAATGCAATCGCATTACCAGTACTAAAGTTTATCTTTAAACAAATTTATGGGGTTGATTTGTGTGCATTATCATACAACTTTGCAAAACATCGGGAGAAAGTGTTTGTCATTTGAACCGACATGTTCATCCGCTTATACAGTCAAACCTGTCCATAGCGACCGCCCAAGGGAAACACAAAAAGTGGCCTTTGTAGACAGGTTCCTTTAGTACATGTTTCAATGAGAAACCATTTTCAAGGGAAACAAAAAATGTGGCCTTTGTAGACGGGTGGTCTCTAAAGCAGGTTTGACTGTATAAGTATTCCATCCTAACTTACCGGAAGTTCCAATGATTGTCTTGATCTTGACCCCACAAACGTTGGGCGTGGAGGTTTTCCTCTTTATTTTAGGCTTCTTCTTGAGTGGAGGGGGCCCACTGGGAGGGCCGAATTCTCCAGGGACGAGATGCTTGATGATCTTGGGTTGAGGCCGAGGAGCTGGGATAGTGGTTTCCTCGATCATGGGCGACGGCTTGTAGGCTAATCTCTCTCGTGTAAATCTGAGTATATCAAATAACGAACGAATAAATAAATGAATATTCCCTTATACTGAAAGAGAGATGACTTACGTATAAATAAATAAATAAATAGATTATTGATGGACTGTAAGGTAGGTATTATTAAAAAAAATAAACAAATTGATCAGTAAATTGATGAAAAAAATACAAAATACAAAAATAAACTAGATTTGTAATACTTGTTTGGAACAAGTATAGGTGGGCTGATCCAACAAAAAATTGAGACAAAATAAAGGGTACATTTGAGATAGTTTTTTGTCTCATCTACAACATACTCGAAGTTCAGCGTAAACGAAGCTAAAACGACGTAGATATTGCTCGCGAAAGACGGGAATGTAGAATAGAGTTTTGAGAAAAAGTCATATCCCATAGAGAATACACGCAAAATGTAAAAAAATTACATGCCTCCTTTAATCGCAAAAATACGCCATGCCTTTGTCAAAATGAAAAATAATAGCAATTGCCTTTGTAGAGAATTGTCTCAGCTAGAACATATCAAAATTTGGAAGAAAATCAATCAATATTTACAGAGATACAATCAATTTTCCATAAATATGCTGACGTCATAATATGCAAATTGGAATTTTGAGTTCGGAGGCCATTGTGATGACGTCATGAGTTAATTGAGGGTCGAATGAGACATGAAACAATATCTCCGAATCATACTCTATTAAAATATGAAAACAAATTGGGGTCACCTTGCATCCTAAAGAGCTACAATGGATTTTGTATAGGCATGTTTTTGCCCATATTTGCTATGTATTACAAGAGCTCGCGCGCACGGAAATTTTTGTTAAACGGTCGATCAATCCGTTATTAATAGTCATAAAGAGACAAACGTGGTATCAATTTGTTTGTAAATATATGTGGTATATTATGAAAGAAAAAAAAAAGCAATTCAATGTTGTGCAAAAGTTTTACGCGCGAAAACGCGCGCGCATGCTCGTACGCGCGATTTTTTATAAAATGCTTAGAATGGCCTAAAACGTATGCAAAATGATTTTCAGACGATTTTGAGCATTTCAAAATTTTGCGCGCGCATTGACGCGCGGTCGTACGCGCAGGCGCGCGTTATTTGACCTTTTATTGACCGGACGGATATTGACCTTGATCATGATAAATATGAACGAGAAATACTTTTTTGTTATGAAGATATGATCATGAGTTGATTTTCGTAAAATTTTACAAAATGGCGCCTAGATGACGTCATCAGTGAAGGTCAATGTTGAAAACGTTATTGTGCTTTGTACATATGTCTATACATATGTGTGCCAAATTTCTAGGCATTTGATTGAGCCATTTCCAAGTTATCTTGTTCACAAAAAAGTGGTTAGAAATAAGAAAAATATATAATAAACTAGATTTGTAATACTTGTTTGGAACAAGTATAGGTGGGCTGATCCAACAAAAAATTGAGACAAAATAAAGGGTACATTTGAGATAGCTTTTTGTCTCATCTACAACATACTCGAAGTTCAGCGTAAACGAAGCTAAAACGACGTAGATATTGCTCGCGAAAGACGGGAATGTAGAATAGAGTTTTGAGAAAAAGTCATATCCCATAGAGAATACACGCAAAATGTAAAAAATTTACATGCCTCCTTTAATCGCAAAAATACGCCATGCCTTTGTCAAAATGAAAAATAATAGCAATTGCCTTTGTAGAGAATTGTCTCAGCTAGAACATATCAAAATTTGGAAGAAAATCAATCAATATTTACAGAGATACAATCAATTTTCCATAAATATGCTGACGTCATAATATGCAAATTGGAATTTTGAGTTCGGAGGCCATTGTGATGACGTCATGAGTTAATTGAGGGTCGAATGAGACATGAAACAATATCTCCGAATCATACTCTATTAAAATATGAAAACAAATTGGGGTCACCTTGCATCCTAAAGAGCTACAATGGATTTTGTATAGGCATGTTTTTGCCCATATTTGCTATGTATTACAAGAGCTCGCGCGCACGGAAATTTTTGTTAAACGGTCGATCAATCCGTTATTAATAGTCATAAAGAGACAAACGTGGTATCAATTTGTTTGTAAATATATGTGGTATATTATGAAAGAAAAAAAAAAGCAATTCAATGTTGTGCAAAAGTTTTACGCGCGAAAACGCGCGCGCATGCTCGTACGCGCGATTTTTTATAAAATGCTTAGAATGGCCTAAAACGTATGCAAAATGATTTTCAGACGATTTTGAGCATTTCAAAATTTTGCGCGCGCATTGACGCGCGGACGTACGCGCAGGCGCGCGTTATTTGACCTTTTATTGACCGGACGGATATTGACCTTGATCATGATAAATATGAACGAGAAATACCTTTTGGTTATGAAGATATGATCATGAGTTGATTTTCGTAAAATTTTACAAAATGGCGCCTAGATGACGTCATCAGTGAAGGTCAATGTTGAAAACGTTATTGTGCTTTGTACATATGTCTATACATATGTGTGCCAAATTTCTAGGCATTTGATTGAGCCATTTCCAAGTTATCTTGTTCACAAAAAAGTGGTTAGAAATAAGAAAAATATATAACTAGTGTAACTAACTGGGCGGGGCTTAACGTGACCTCGAGCGAAATGAGACCAGACCTCTTATCACTATCGCGAAACTCTATAAAGAATCACGGAAAATGTTGTGTGTGGACAGGGGGCATTTTATACGATGATTCTTTAGTGACGACGTTTCTTGTGTGTGGACATCCTGGAATTTATACGATGATTCTTTATACGACGTATCGTTATAGAGTTTCGCGATAAATTGTTTTGTGTGTGGACACGCTGTAAGTAATCCCCCTGCCGAGACCTTGGCGAGGTGAGAGAGAGAGAGAGAGAGATAAGCGTAATAAAGGGAGAGAGGAAGGGAGTGCTAACTTTTACAATTAAAATTGTTGTTATATCTCCAATCCTGGGTTATTTTGCTTCGTTTGAACTTTCATTATGGTCTTCATCTAAATTGTAAGTGACTTTTGGACATGAAAATATCTTAAAACAAGTAAAATATATATTTCCTACTTCTCATTTCCTTTCAGGCAGAGCCCCAGTAAGAGTTTGTTTACACTAGTATTACGTATATAAGATGATGAACAGTCCAGCTGCAATCCAATTTCATAATCTCTCACGCAGAGCCTCATGCAAGGCTCTGTCTAAGTTTATAACGAGAGAAACGAAATTGGGGTAGTGATACATGGTGATACCCCATCAGAGTTACATTGGTGCCTGTGTTATAGAAGTAGCTCTCTCAAAGTTTTAACGAGGGAAACGAAATTGGGGTGTTGGTACGTACCCCACCAGATTACATTGATTCCTGTGTTATAGTGATATGGGGTATAGTTTTAACGAGAGCTTTTCGTAATGAATATTTACAGAGATAAAATCCTTTTTTCATAAATATGCTGACGGCATAAATGCTATTTCGTATTTTTAGTTCAAACTAAAGGCCATTATGATTTCATAAATATGTTGACGTCATATATGCAAATTCGTATTTTGAGTTTGAAGGACATTGTGATGACGTCACAATATTTTTAATGGCCAAATGAGACATAAAATCATATCTCCGACTCATAAACTATCAAAATATGAAAAAATGGGGTCCAGGTGCATCCCAAAGAGCTACAATGGATTTTGTATAAGCATGTGTTTGCCTATATAAACTTTGTAATACATAAGCTTGCGCGCACGGACATTTATGTTAAACGGACGCTCATTCAGGCATTTTTGCCTGCAAAAGACAGGAATGTAGAATCCAGATTTGAGAAAAAATCATGTCCCATAGAGAATACACGCAAAATGTGAAAAATTGACATGCCACCTTTAATCGCAAATATACGCCATGATGCCTTTGTCAAAATGTAAAATTGTGGGTACTGCATTGGTAGACAATTGTCTCAGCTAGAACATATCAAACTTTAGAAGAAAATCGATCAATATTTACAGAGATACAATTGATTTTCCAAAATATGCTGACGTCATAATATCCAAATTGAAATTATGAGTTCGGAGCCCATTATGATGACGTCATGAGTTAATTGAGGGTCAAATCATATCTCCGATTCATACTCTAGCAAAACATGAAAACAAAAATTGGGGTCACCTTGCATCCTAAAGAGCTACAATGGATTTTGTATAGGCGTGTTTTTGCCCATATATGCTATGTATTACAAGAGCTCGCGCGCATGGAGATTTATGTTAAACGGTCGATCATTCCGTTATTAATAGTCATAAAGAGACAAACATGGTATCAATATGTTTGTAAATATATGTGGTATATTATGAAAGAAAAAAAAAAGGCAATTCAATGTTGTGCAAAAGTTTTACGCGCGAAAACGCGCGCGCATGCTCGTACGCGCGATTTTTTATAAAATGCTTAGAATGGCCTAAAACGTATGCAAAATGATTTTCAGACGATTTTGAGCATTTCAAAATTTTGCGCGCGCATTGACGCGCGGACGTACGCGCACGCGCGCGTTATTTCACCTTTTATTGACCGGACGGATATTGACCTTGATCATGATAAATATGAACGAGAAATACCTTTTGGTTATGAAGATATGATCATGAGTTGATTTTCGTAAAATTTTACAAAATGGCGCCTAGATGACGTCATCAGTGAAGGTCAATGTTGAAAACGTTATTGTGCTTTGTACATATGTCTATACATATGTGTGCCAAATTTCTAGGCATTTGATTGAGCCATTTCCAAGTTATCTTGTTCACAAAAAAGTGGTTAGAAATAAGAAAAATATATAATAAAGGCAATTCTAACGAAATTATAAGGTGGTCTGTACGTTATACAGCCCACCTGATAAATAAAGGCAATTCTAACGAAATTATAAGGTGGTCTGTACGTTACACAGCCCACCTGATAAAATCGATGTCTAAATACATTTAGTGAATTTGAAAAATAAATAGAGAAATTTAAAATATATATTATCTAATATATAGGCCTGATATGAAACCCCAATCAATTATGAACGGGAATATTACAACAACGTACGCTAAAACCTGTCCTATATCGGCCACCTCTTTACAAAGGTGACTTGACTATAGTGGCCGCAATTCCTGTTTCCTTTTAAGTGATGTAATACCTTTCTAGAAAGACGACATAATATCTACATGGTTGAAATATACGGCGCCTTCAAATAATGACTAACTGTGCACAAGGCACCAGTGGAAAGCGGTGTAACTGCCTTTAACAACAAAACATCATAGGATGGCACTACTACCACAGAAATGCATTTGTATCTATTTATTTATTTTTGTAATTAATTGTTATTCTGTTTTAGTTTATTTATTTATTTTATTTTATTATTTTTAGGGGGCGGGGTTCGGTTGGTATTCGAGACGCAGATCATCCTAAACATTAAAGCTTATCTGCCATAGTTTACAGGAGGGATTAGACCGCCCTACAAGGTCACTGGACAGGTGGTTATCTCATCAACTCAGCTCTCAGTTAACATAAGAAAAAGAGGATCATGGGGGACCAATGGTCACTGATTAAGCATTGTTTGTTATATAGAGGGCGCAAGTAGCTACAAGTAGTGCAGTGGGGCTTTAAAAGTGTTCTTGCATGTCCCGACCCCTACAAACAAGAAAGAAAAGAAACAAACAAGAAAGAAAAGAAATTTACTTTTTCCAGCAGTGGAGGAGAACAGTGAAGATATGAAGAGCTGCATCATGAAACAAACCGCGTTCAACGATTCCATGTTGACTGTTATCTATGATGTCCTCTGCGGTATCTTGAGGAATATTAATCTGCGTCAAAAAATCGTGATAAAATCGTGATAAAATCGTGATAAAATCGTGATAAAATCGTGATAAAATCGTGATAAAATCGTGATAAAATCGTGAAAAATGCCTTGGTAAAATAAAATATCAAATTTGATGCTTATTCACAATCAATATTAAAAGAAAACAAGGACAAAACAGCGAAGTGTTGCATGTATATAAAAACATAATTTTCTCAACAACCCAATACTTTGACAGCGATTATTTAAAGGCATATGATAGTTTGTCTGGGTCCCCATTTGTCCTGATGTTTCACTTGTTTGATAACCATGATTCGTTTTCGTCTTTAAATTTTTTTAAAATAAGCAATCTTAATTTGAATTAAACGTTCCTTGACTATGTTTGTCGTATAGTCATAATAATTCTCAACCACATCGTCATCATCATCAGAGTGATTAACTCTATTATATAATAAATTGTACACACGGTAGGTCATCATCATCATCATCATCATCATCATCATCATCATCATGTTCATCGATGAGTCCGTGATATCGTAATCACAATCGTCTTAAACATTATCATCATTATCATCGTTGTTTCTGTCGTTTCACCATTATCATGATCATCAACATCACTATCAACAATATTAATATCGCCAACATCACTCTCAACTTCATCGTCATTATCTTCATCATCATCGTCGTCGTCATCATCATCGTCATCATCATCATCAGAATGATTGGTAAATACTGTATGATTACCTGCACCTTCGGCGGGACGAATGAAGCGAGAAAGACATCAATGATTGTGTTTGCCTTATGCTGTACATATTCCTCATCCTCGATCGTGTATGTGCCGGCTGCAGCGGCACGGGCAGCGTTGTCGGCTAGTTGCTTGTATCTAGCATCGAAAGTGTATTGACAGGGAGATATTAATAACAAAAAAAGTGTAAAAATATTGATAACTGTGCCTTCGTGTCCGTCAGTGCTCTTGATCACCCAATCGACCTCCGTGTGAATTTAAAAAAAATGCAAAATGATTTGATATGACAATAAAAAAAATTAAAACATAATTATAGCATTTGGGCATTCTTCTTATAAATATAATGACGTTCTTATTGAATGGACATTGAACAAATTTATGTATACCATGCTAAACTACAAAAGCGTTTCGTGTTGAATAATGAATTTAGCCCCTTAATACCTTTCGACTTCAGCCCAGAAACAAAGATCATTCTGGAGTCTGTCGACACAGACGGCCCTCCCGCCGATAATCCTCTTGGTGATTATCCCAGTCGCTCTACGTTCTGTGACAATGAAAAGTATTCAAAAAGAAAGAAACATCATACTTTATTCAAATTCAAGTCACTGCTGCCTCAGGCAAGACGAATTTACTAGTCATATGGGCAAACTTTTATGATAGAATTTTAGCGAAACTGTTTCAGAAAACAATGCATTTTTGGAAAAAAGGGCATTATCTTTATGTGTATGACTGGGACTTATTAGTTCTTGGTCGTTATCATTATTGGTCGATCAGCATACAGGATATACACATGGAAGAAACCATTTTTCATATTTTTAACAAATAATTATGTAACCATGCCAATGCATGATGAAACATTTCGATTTTCAAAATAACTGGTGAATAAAAACGAAATGGCAATGGTTATCTGAGCATGCAGAGTCTTCTCTTTAAAAATAAACTCACTTTCCATTTCTCGAAGGACCTCTTTACCAAGGTATTCCTTGAAGAGGGATAAAAGCCAGGGTGTCATTAAGCCTCGTCTGAATTGACACACGTTCGATATAAACATGTTCCACAGGTATTTCTGTCAACAGAGGAAAAGATTGCACTCCATGTTCTGTTTATTATGATGTAATGGGATCACTATAATTTATTATTGGCTTGTGCCTATGCTGTATAAAGACGAGTTGAAATAAAATAAATTATACAAAATCATATTTATTGTTATCATAACCAATAAGCATCGTCGTCGTCAACATCATAACCACAATAATCTGATCATTATAGTTATTACATTCACGGTTATCATTAGTGCCATCACCATCATCACTATCATCGTCAGCGTCGTCATTGGCCTCATCAAAATTTAAAACATTTATATTTTTATTTTTTCTGGGGGATCCACAAACTACAAGCACTGCTTTTCCTCAGAAATTAAGAATTTCTTGTAATTATTTTATTATGTGCAAAGTTTATTTGTATAGTTTCTTAAAAAAAATGAATTATGTATGAAATAAAATGTAATATCTTTGTTTACCTTTCTGTTGGAAATGAAATAAGTATTAATATGAACATGAATCATCATAATCATCATCATTGTCATCATCAGCATCATTAGTATAATTTTGATCGTTATTTTCCTCCTACTCTTGCTTCCACTTCTCCTTCTCCGAATCATTAATTATTATCATCATATCGGCGTCAATTTATTTTGACTCTTGAATTAATTAATTTACCGTTCTGCCTTCTTGTCCAAACTGTGCCTGTACGGGGGCCTCACTGGCATCGTCAGTCGACTCATCGGGATATGATTTCTTGTAGTCGGCATACCTGAAAAATTAATTAGTCCAGGGATGAATTCTAGCATTTGAATTCGTATTCACTATTCACGGTGAAATATATTCATAGGGGGAAGTATAATGAAGTAGGCCAACATTGGTGTGTACTCTAGAATTACGGGATGGATAGGGAGACTGGCGACAAAGCAGGCTTGGCTCCAGAAGGGAGTTGAGATTCGTAAATGAATAGTTTTCATTAAAGAGAAGGTTGAGTTCTGGGAAGAGGTGAAAAATAATTTGTGATCGTTCTCATTGTTATTAAACAAGTGTGGAAGAACATCAGATAAAACATGTTCCCTGAAAAGCATGGCTCTTCAAATGCCTTCATATTCTAAATATGGCATGTAACATCATAAAAATCGGGACAGATTTTTACGCCACGTGTTCGTGTATAGTCCCATATACATCTTTCTGTGTACAGTGCTTGTAACTTTACCAAGAATTGGCCCAATTTCTCATCATTTTGATGATTCCAGAACCTTGTAATACACACGAATACTTATATGCTAGATGATCAACCTTTTCTGATCGATTCCACACCGTTTCTTTCACAATGCAATCGCATGCCTAGAACTCAGCTTCATCTTTAAGTTACCCTTGGATACCCACAGCCGCCACTTAAAAAAAAGTGTACGCTGAGGCATCCCATTAAGGCCAGGGTTGACTGCGACTATGCACCTCCATCTTCTTCGATCGTCAGTTCTTGTTCTGACCTCTCCCTAGCACAGTCCTGTCCACTGCCTGATCTTGTCAAACCAAATAACTCCTTGTATTGCCTAATTGAATAAATAAATGTGAGTTTACATACCATTTCTCTTCCATGCTCTTTGCGACACAGGTCTGCGCAGACATCAACATCTGGGGCGTGACCTTCTCCATATTGGGAAGATCAGCGATGATGTCGGCCTCCGTGGCCAGATCGGCACCTAGAATCAGGGGCGGATCCAAAATCGGGTAAAAAGGAGGGAAGGGGGCACCGTTCCGAAAAATTACACGATTATTGAGGGCAAAGTTTTTCGTTGTGCCGACAGGGTTTCACAAAAGGGTGTGGGTATGGGCGACTTGTGTCCGCTAAATCTACCACTTCCTAGAGACATTACATTGCCCAATTACTTAACAGCCTCCTGATTTCCCTCCTTTTATCCATTTCTGTAGACTCCGGCAACAAGAAATGGTCATGATTCCTATCTGAGATTATATAGGCCTAAGTCTCACATCAAAAACACAAATACAGGTATGAATTTTATATTTAACTCAGATTAAAAGTTTGGTAGTGACTCGCCATACATGTAGACAGTCATTTCATCCATGCTCCGATATTTTATGCCTTTATGATGATTTTTTTCATCTTTCATATGTTTTCATATCTTACACAAGTTTGAAGTTTGAATTGAATAAATTATACAACCGAACAATTTTCTTTAACATAACACTAAATTCCAAATAATATCAGGAAAGAAAAGAATGTATGGTTAATGTTCACAGTAAGCACGTGTCCCAAATGACCACAAATATCCACAGATCTTTAAAACATGAAGAGGTCCCACTTTGTACATTTGGAATAATCACTCCTACAGCGATAGAGGTGCTACATAAATAGCCTTTGTTTCCCCTTTTCAAATAATACTCCCACCTGTGTATCATGGAGTGCACTGCTTGTACATACATGAAAATTAATTACATAACTTTCATGAGCACGTATCCAGTATTTACGGTCTCCGTGTATTTCACAATTTGGTCGGCAATGACCTTTATCTGTTCATGCTCAGACTGCAACTATGAACTGGCTTATTTGAACTTCGTTTGATTAAAGGATGCAATAGTGTATTCCAAACACCACTTTAATGTTAATAATCAACATCATTTTGTTCTTTACCATAGTTCGTGGATTTATTGAAGTATTTCTTGATGATGGCCTGAGACTTTGCCTGCCGGACCTTAGGATCCCGGCAGGTCCCCGTGCGGAGCTGCTCCACCGAATGCCAGAAGGCGAGCGGAAGCTCGTTATCCATCTCCACCTGGAGGTAGCGACGGAAAAACTCAAAGTGGCTCTGATCGTGTAGCACCTCCATGAAGCTCCTGCATGATAAAAAGGTAAGAATTGAGCCAAGGAACAAATATTCATTATACGTGTATTTTCTTTCCAGAAGCACATCTGAAGCACTATCAGATTCTCTTGATTTATTTTTCGCAACTCAATATGACAAACCTTTTTTAAGAAACTGGAGCAGAAAAGGAAAGTAGAACAGTTAAACGAAGCACATGAGAATAATACGACAAATGAAACTGATAGAATACCTGTGCTTTCTATATAGAAAATATAGAAATTGAGAAAACAAGGAATCCTGAAGGAAAATTGTTTCAACCTCGAGTACTCTTACGCGTGGACTCTCAAGAATCATAATTACATAATATCAAATGAATGCATGGGTAAGAATTAATCACGCAAAAAACAAAGATAGCCAATCACTAACTGTTATCGAGAATATTATTTGACATGTCAGTGAACCTCTACTGCATTTAGCTCTTTGGCATATCACAGTGCAAAGTCTATGAAGGATAACTTTTCAAATAATGCCTGGGATTGAAATGACCGGGTTGCCGATTTGAACAGAGATACAGTTTATAGATCGAGACGTCTTCATTAAGGTCACAAAGGTTCATACGAACGATTAATTTCGTACGAATCTCCCTGTTTTAACATTGTCTTCCCGTATTTCCATTGTCTGAAAATCGTTGGTACGGCGTTCGTAGCAGTTCGTAGCAGTTCGTAATGGCATTTGTGACCGAGGCATAACGTACCGCGGTCTTGACGGTCGGAAGATAGTTTTGCCTCCTTTCCTAATGGCTCGACAGACACCGCCCTTGGTCGTCTCTTGATCGAATGTGCTTTGTGATTTGTAACCCTGGCTACTTCCCATCATAGCACGAGCGTGTGCTTCGGTCTGCTGCTGGGTGTCTTTACCGCCTGGCCTGTTTTTTCCCCGCGGTGGTGGACTCTTGATTTTACCTGTGCAAAGCAGATTATGAGAACAAGAACAAAAAAAAAACACAAAAAAAACATTAGGTTTAGATACAAAACCTCATCCCATCTCTACTCAGGTATTAAATATACACACCCTATGAACATGACGGACAAAGAAAGAGGACAAATTATACAGTTCCTCATTCTACCCTCAACAATTGCTGTGGTAGACAAAGGAACATCCCTTCACTGTTATTATGTAAACATGTGTAGAACAGGTGACTATGCATGTGACACCTGTTCTACACATTTTTACATAGTAGCAGTGAAGGGATGTTCCTTTGTCTACCACAGCAATTGTTGAGGGTAGAATGAGGACTGTATATTTTGTCCTCTTTCTTTGTCCGTCATATTCATAGTGACAGGAACGTAGAACGGAAATATGCAATACAGCAATAGGGTTGTGTTCATTGTTTCAATCTAAATGTGACGTTATTGTGACTGTTGTGGTGATCCTGTATGACGTCATGCTGTTCGTAATATTTTATTAAAGCATATCTGCCATAGTTTACAGGAGGGATTAGAGCGCCCTGCAAGGTCACTGGTCAGGTGGTTATCTCATCAACTCAGCTCTCAGTTAACATAAGAAAAAGAGGATCATGGGGGACCAATGGTCACCGATTATGCATTGTTTGTTATATAGAGGGCGCAAGTAGCTACAAGTAGTGCAGTGGGCCTTTAAGACATCAAATGTGCACAGCTACCGTTAGTGTTAATATGCAACTCCTTGTTCTTTTCCCCTTTCTTTATGTTAGGTTATAGTAGTATATCATTCAATGTATACAATTTAAGTATGAATGAATTCACTTAAAAGATTTCAACGAAATGCTCATAGAACCATAGAACATATACCAGTATATCTAAAATAATCTAGTGACTCAATCTCTCAGTTAGTGTCTTATTTGGGTGGTACATGCACAACATTACTTATTATAGGCTCTGTATAAGCTTGGCTTGTTAGCTTGTGAGTAATGTGCCGCGGGATTCCATATCCTCAAACTGCTGGCGAACAGAGCAACAAGACCAAGCTCTGTAATTATTAGGATCTCTGTCCAGTAGTGCCGTGTTTGTGCCATCGAACTTGATCGACCAAATCAATTGATTCATAATGTATAATATTTTTTTCTCGTAACATGAGAGTAGAATTTAATAGTTTTATACTATTAATTAAATGTAATGTTAACTGTTATTGTATTATTGTTTTAAATGGGGGCACGCCACAAGAGTCCTATCTCGCACTCCGGGGCAACGTGTCTGACACGGCCGGTTGTAGCAACTACTCCGAAGATCAAGATCTAAGAAGACACGAACGAACGAACGGCACCTCAATGTTTGGTAGGTTTGTAAAGAGACACACACAATATTTTGTTTAATAACCCGTTTTCTTCCGTCTCTTGTTATTCTGAATAAAATGGAGTAAAGGTTTCCTTCAGGCCTAATTATAACCCTTCCCGGCTAAATCAATCGTGTCTATTTTGTATTTATTGAATATGTCAATGAGACAGTTAAAAAAACAAATACAAATAATAATTTGATACGTTTTCTCAGGACGATCATGTTCTTTCTGCGCAGACTCCCTTCATCGTCAGATTCTTCATCTGGGTCACTTGGGTCACTGACCTCGGCATCTGGCAAGCCTACATGAGTAAAGATCATGAACACACTTGTGTCAGTCAAACTAGTTTTACATTTTGTTTAATTTTGTTTGATTTAGCTGTACATATTTCTAGCTTCCAATGTCAAATGTTAATTTCTCTGTTTTGTTTTCATTTTTTGAATATCAAAGAAAAGGATTGAACAACACGCTAGACATTAATAATTCATACTTCTGTTTCATTTGTCTTATAAAGACACTGATAAGGTATCCTAACACGGGAGATAACCGATAGGTTTCCTATTCTGCAAAGCGCATAATAAACATGTTGGTGCTACGCACTATACAAAAACATTTAAATATCAGTATTATTATCATAAGTTGAGATGGGCTGGGCATGTAGCAAGACTTCAGGACAATAGATGGACAAATCGTTTAACAGAATGGCAACCAAGGATGGGAAAGAGAAGAAGAGAAAGACAGAAGAGAAGATGGAAAGATGACCTAACACCATACATGGGAACGGCCGCTTGGACTAGGACAGCTAGAGACAGAAGAGAATGGAATTGTTATGAGGAGGGCTTTGTCCAACGTCTGGATGAACTATAGCCTGATAGATATATAGATAGATAGATTATTATCATTATTTATGTTGTACTTTGTTACTTGACAAAACCATTATGGTTGATTTGAATGGACAAACCTGCTAAAGGCAACCCCGAAGAGATCTTTACAGCTCGTATCATTCTGTACGGCGCTACCGAGTTTGTCTGGTCGCCGCACTCCTGCGCCTTTGCCGATAATGTGGCACATTCGACACTCTTTTTCGAGCTCGTCTTGCGTGCATCGGCGAGTACCTGGGAGAGCGTCTTAGGGGCAGCTTTCCCGGAGAGGTCCGAAGGGGTTGTTTTTACCATGCGGTTGTTCATCAAGTTTAGGGTCGGGCTGGTGTAGAGTGGATAGGCACGCTGCTGAGCATTCTTCCTCTCGCTCTGTAATACGCAGTTTATTTTGTTATTGGATGGTCCTTTGCATTGTAAAATAATTATTTTCAATGTGTAACTGAACTGACCAATTAATAATTAATGTACATTACGCTACATCATTGCACTTATTGAGACTGACTTTTCCTCTTCTTCCATAAAACTGGAGGATGAAACATAAATTCTGTTTCATAGAGCTCCCTCTCCGACTATGTCCCTCTCCCTCTCTTCTTCCACCCCCCCCCCCAAATCTCTCTTTCTCGTCTCTCTCTCTCATATAGCCTACTCCCCTCTCTCCTCCATCACTCACTAGCTTTCTCATCCTCCCTCCTTCACTCACCGCCCTCCTTCACTCACCGCCATCCTTCACTCAACGCCCCCCCCCCCCTTCACTCACCGTCCTACTGATGAAGCTGTCCACGTCGTGCTTCTGGAAGTCTGCCCAGATCTCCCGCAGAGCCTCGCAGGCGAGATCCTGTGCGTGTAGAAGCAGCTCGTCACCGTTGCCAACCCCAAGTTGGATCCTGAGCTCTGCGGTGAGCAGACGACCGATCCGTACTTTGCGATCATCTGTTGATCGTTCGAAAATTAAGTCATGGGTTTAATTCTTGTTTGAAATGGCGGTGATTCATGTCCACTGCACATTGATGATTGAAAACAACATTGGACCACCAACAGAGCCCTGTTGGACTCAAAAACTCATAGAGACATTATTATCATATAGTAATTTTTTTCTTTCTATCTTTAACTTGTATAACTATTATTATTATTATTTATTATTATTATTATTTATTATTTTTATCATCGTCATCATAACCAGCATTATAACTACTGTGCATTTTTGTTGGTTTTTTGTTATCATCATCACAGAATATAATTTAATATCATTACGTTTATTTCCAGTAAGATCATCTAATAACAAGGCAACATACAGTAAGATATTCTTAGGGACGTTATCTCTAATATTTAACGCTTAGGGTTTAACATTATAGTGTGTTAAAAAAAGGCTTAGGGGGTCACCTGCAGGTTGGAGAAAATTAGTGATGAGTTCACCGGCCAGTTTCTGTCTCATTAGATTTTGTCGCATCTCAGCGATCGGGTGAGCAGCATCCAGATACTCCTGTGCAGCGTGCCAGAATCTCAGATACCGTTGCTCATTGGAGTAGCCGTACCGCACCAGAAATTTCATCCAAGGCCTACCCGCAAACTTGTCGGACAAGACAGCACTCACTAGCAACCTATTCTTGGAGCGGAAGTCAGCTTCGCCCAGATTGTATCCAGACAAGAGTGGTTTGGTGATACTTAGAGCATAAGGTCGTGGACTTTTTATAGCAGGAAGCATTTGTGTACGTCTCGGAACCAGTGAATCCATCATCCCTTCTTCCATTACCTCAAGCGCCTCTGGAAGATTGCAGACAAGCATCAACCTTCTGTCATCTTCAGAGAGTTTGTCTTCAAATGGGAGAAGAGAGTACGCAACCCGCTTCCCTTGTCGATTGGTCATCATCCCATCGTTGATTTTCTCGTGCCCTTCTTTTTCACCTAGGGAAATAGAGTGCAGCCGCTCCAGTTTTTTTAGAGCTGTTTTATTAATGTTAGAAAGCGGAGCCACCCTTCGACGTCTTCTCATTGCTATGTTTTTAAGATTGCTGAATAGGTCATCATCACCACCTTGTAAGGTTCCTCGATCAGGAACTGTACTATCACTTGAATGTGCTTGCTTTTGTCTTGCTCTTTTTCTCTTCAGAGCGTTCTGCTGCTGCTTTAATAGTTCTCTCTTCTTCTTCTTCTCTCGTTCTTTCTGTATAACCTTAAGAGCAACAAGATCAGCTTCTAGCTTGATATTTTTATCTGACCCGCTTTTAGAACTTTTCTTTTTAGTAGAATCGTTTTCCTCTTTGTCGATGAAGACAGAGAAGTCTCCGAGACGGAATTCAACAGCTTGAGACCGTGGTCGACGGGCCCCTGGATGCTTAGGCATTGCCGGTGCACGTGGAACTATACCTGTGGCTGTTGCCAATATTCGACGCTTTGAAAGAGAGATCATTGATCCCGACGAAGCGGAAGCGTGTCCGACGGAAGATGAGCTCGAGTCTCTGCTTGATGATCTTGATGAATCGGAGTTTTTGCGATATTTATTGAGATCAGCGATGGTTCCACGATGTTTAGGCCTACCCTCATCTTGATCTGTTTTATGCCCATCCTGATCTGGAGTATGCACATCCTTACCTGTCGCCATTTCTTTTGATTTTGTTTTCTTCGTAGTATCGGTAGCATAGGTTAAATCAGTTTTGTCGGTTTCTGATCCTTCTGTCGAAATGGTTCGAGTAGCCGGGATGGGTGGTTTCGGGGACTTTGTGTGACCTTGGTCTGATTCATCACTACTGCTTGATCTTGAAGATGCCTCTTCCTTATCCGAAGTTCCATGTTTGCCGTAGTCTTTCTTTGAAGATCCAATGTTTGAGGTTCCACTTTTTGAAGAACCCCTTCTAGCCGATCCTCTCCTTGACCTTCGTCCAGATGATAACCTCCTCGCGGATGCTGGTCTTTGGAAATCCAAATCATCATCCGCCATAGCACTTCTTCGAGAAGGTGCACTGCGACATGCTGAAGACCGGCGAGAAGAATGCTTTGACATCTTAGATGTTTTCCCACTGAAGAGGAGCGTGGATTCTAGCAAACAAAAGGCAACAGAAAACAATAATAAAAAATGGGATTGTGTTCTCATCAATAAAAACATATTTGTATAGTTCCTCCATCAATAATGTGTTTTGAAATGATGAAAATAATGTACATGGCTATGAGTAGGGCAACTTTTATCAATAACAACAGTGAAATAACATCGTGATACAATGCAGTCATGCAAAGTAAAACATTTGTATAATTTATGCATAGCATCTTTCAACAAAAATAACAACAACTGATATGTTTTTCCTTGATTTATTTTTCCTAGACCTAAGTGATGAATTGAGTTTTGAGAACTGCCTTTAAAGATGGATCAGGTCAACTTACCCTCATCATCACCCTGATCACTTTCGCTACGACCGTCAGTGGATGTGGAACTTAGATCAATTATTGATTCCGTAATGCTTGGAGTGCCCTTGACTGGTGATGCGCTGCGACTGCGTTCGTAACTTGCACTCTCTTCTGATATGGCTGGCAGTGGGAACTCATCCGTCAACCAGTCATATCCCTTGGACTTCATCTCTCCGCTCTCCTCCCTAAGATCTGCACTTTCAGAGGATCCCGAACGAACCATCTCACCAGTGTCCTCTACCTTGAGAAGCGTCGAAAGCTGTGACCGCCTGACTTGGTTCGAGCTGAACATGGACATGAGGTTTCCGACGCTCTGTCTCAGGAGCTGTAGTTTGCGGATACCGTGATGGGACCGAACATCGGATGGCGTCTCTCCTTTTTCTTCGCCTTCGCCTTCGCCTTCGACTGTGATCTCGGAAAGGCTCCGAACTCTGATGGCGTAACAGTTGGGTCGATAAACCTTGAAGGTGGTTATTTGGGAGTACTTGGTAAAGCGTTGTTTACAATGGATGAGGTAGCGTGGCGCCCAGTAGTTCTATAATGTAATCAGATTGGTTGGATTGATTGATAATTCGGTATATGCTTCTAGGTTCTTCAAGGCATTATAAGAATTTGAGAATTAAACAAAATATCAACCAATTTGCAAATAACATTAAAAATTACGATTGTGGTTTGTTGATTTGATTCTTATAACATGCTACGATTCATTTCCATCCATTCTTTAGGCTCGATCCTTGTTTCTTCTTCTTCTTAAATGGGGCATGCTTTTAAATGAAAATAAATAGGCTGATAGGATCAATTTGCAGAATATGGGACAGCAAGTATTATGCCTGGCGAGTATGACGTATACCGAAAAGAGAATCTTTAGAAAAGGAAGAAGAAACTGTCGGGCACATCAGCCTTGTATATATCCAAATATATTAGTTTTTTTAATAATAAATCATAAATCATTTGAAATGAGTATAGTCATGAAAATAAATCATTCATGACCTTGTTTCAAACCAACACGAGATTGTTCAGTCTCTTTCAAGCTATATCATTAAAGGAAGCATGTGTATATTTCTTCAAGAGGTGATCCATAAGCAAGACATATTTAAGAGAAGTTTATGAATTATAAATGAAGATGTCAAACCTGTAGAGATTTAAGAATGAAACCCTGGATAGCGAGGCATGTATCTCGGGTCATCGTCTGCAGTGTGCTACCATCGGTCGTTTCTGTATCCGTAGAACTGCTTAGGCTTGATTCTGCAGTTAAAAATCACATTCAGATTTCCTTGAGCAATACAGATGATCGCATTCTTGTACTAACTATTCAGTTTGTAATGCATTTATTTAACGTATTATTGTTACAATTTTGGTTTATATAAAATTCGCACAATTTAGACAAATATATTTGCTAAGTCTGTTTCAGTTATTGTAACAAGAAACACAAGTACATCTATAAAGAATTTTTCTGAACATGGGTTAAGAACTAAAGATAACACCTTTCTGATCATCGGTGCTACGAGCTACATGAAACATTTCATGAAACTTACGATATAACTGGAGCGGTGACATCTGTGCGGCTGGAGGTAATTTGATATTACGACTCTTGAAGTACTTAGTTTCCACCTTGCGGTAGAACAGCGCCCATTGCTCCTCGCCTTGTTTCGCTGCCCTGCGGAACTTTTCTGTGTCCAACCAAAACTGAACAGCGTTTTCCCCAAGAGTCTTGGAGATGAAGCAGCGAAATCTGCGCATGCCTGACGCTCTCTTCAACCAGCGCGTCATCAAACAGTGGTCCATAATTTTCTCCTTTGCGCCTGCGCAGACGGTGTGACGAATGAGAATTGAACAAACTTATTACAAAATTTGAAAGGTTTTTTAATGAAAAGACCAGGTGTCGGACAACTACCGAACTTAAAAAAAACCCATATAAACTGATAAAACTGCATCTTCCTTCAAGTTAGGCACAATGAAATGTAGAATATTCTGCAAATTCTTAAAGCTATTTATATACAGGTAAAGAAAATAGTTTGTACTTAACTATAGGCAGAGTTCAATAGATTTTTCTGCGATTGTTGTGTTTGACATGCACATGTATGCCAAAATATTATGTGCCTTCGCTCGTTGACGTCATTGTCGCGTCCGTCAGTAGATTAGTGACTATATGCAACATAAACCATTTTCTCGGGCGATTATTACTCATGCATTGTAGTACTCGTTAAAGGCGCGGCATTATCCAAAATTATTTTGTTTCAATCAAAATGGAAACTTTCTTCATCTTTTTTGTCTTCGCATTTCAGAAGAGTCCTGCTTTGGACAATTAATAAGTATAGATATGTTATTCTGCTTTTTAAAAACTTACTTGTAGCGTCGGGACCATAGTTGAACACCAGATGTAACTGACTTTTCTGAAGTTGCTTGCATAGTACGTACTCGAGGTAGAGGTCGCTCTTGAAGAAAAACGGAGCTCTCTTTGTTCGTACCCATCTCATCAACTTAATTCGATCTACACGCTTGAATCGAAGGATAAATAATTGAAAGAGAGTAAGAGCAGTTGCTTGGGGATTACATGAACGTTGAAATACGCAATCATTACGATCATGATGATTATCCTGATATAAGAGTAATACCTACGTGTTACTTTCAAACGGATTCTAATTCCAAACCGACGAATCTCGGTCATGCATGCGAACGAACTGACGAGTGCACCATTAATATTAAATCTCTATCAACAAAAATTAATTATATCTAAACTTTGAATGCATCTTTGTCTGTTTTTTGTGGTTGTTAATATTGGCCCTAATGGCGGCCCATAGGCAAGGGTACTGTAATTTTTGGTTCGGTTCGTGTAGCTAGTACTAGAATGGGGTATTAAATTTCAAGTAATGTGACACATCATCACAAATGCTTTATGACGTAAAGCTGTTATAGAGGTGCTTGTAGAGGTGTCGTGGTCGAGTTTATACGTCACCGGACTGTCGATCACAAGGTCTTTTGGCAAGACATTGATCTACATTTGCCACCCTTAACCCAGGTGATGTAAATTGGTACCTGACAGGAATTAATTCGTCCTTGTTTTCACGAAGTGACGGTAGTGAGGAAAATCGTAACGCAAATTTTTTTTCACTACCGTCACTTCGTGAAAACAGCGACGAATTCCTTGAAATTGAAATGCTGGAGCGCTGTATAAACGGCAGCTAGGCTGAAGTCGGGGTAATAATAAATGCGCCTCGGAATAGAATTATCTAGAAGATATCCGGCCGGCGCTATAGAAATGCCTATTATTATTATTATTATTATGATAATATGAACGTGAAGTACTATTTCATGGAAAGTAAACGAAAGGTCATGATATCAAAGTGAGAAATCTTATTTTTGTAAAGACGATACATGTAGTTCTGTTAGTAGTATATGTTTACATGAAAGCGTCCACAAGTAATGCGAATATGAATTGTACATTCGAAATTTAATCGCTTCTACTTTACAATGATCGTTACCGCGCGAACATAAATGGAACACCATGCGTTTGTGAAAATTTTATATAAACTGATAATCTGCATGGTATGATGAGACTGTTAAACAGTAAGTGGTATCAAGAATTTGGCAAGATATTGATCTACATTTGCCACTCTCCACCCAGGTGTTAAATGGGTACCCGGTAGGATGCGATAGCTAATGTGCTTAGATTAGCAAGTGTGCGCTTGTAAAATTGACGCCTGGCTGGAATGCTCCCCAGGGAGTGGAGAATGTGCATTGATTGTGTGCGGGTAAGCCTGAATCCGATGACCGGGGTAATAATCTGTAAAGCGCTTTGAGAGGGCCTTCGGTCCTGAAAAGCGCTATATAAGAACTAGCTATTATTATTATTATTATTAGGAATTAAACCATACTTACATATTGGTTTCTTTTTAAGGGCGGGTCAAGTTCAAAGCTTTGGTCTGAACATTTAAACAGCAGTCTCTGAGAAAATACCTGCAAGAGAGAAAGAGAGAGAGAGAGAGATAGAGAGAAAGAGAGAGAGAGGGAGAGAGAGAGAGAGAGAGAGAGAGAGAGTAAAACAAAACCCAAAACAAAACAACTAATCTTTAAGAAATCACTGAAGGTCATTCGAATACAGTGAGTGAATCAAACCGTAATGGTGTATTCTGCACTTTTATCTTGTTTATATTATTACGTAATTAACTTTTTTGTGTGTTTCTGACTGTTTAATCCTGAAGAAATGCAAGATAACTGAATTAGAAACTTTTCCTCTGCTCTATCATTTTGCGATTCTTAGTGTTAATGATTCAAGAACAACACTTTTTCAGCAGAACAAAATGAAGTCGCACCCGTGGTCACTCACTTAGGCTTTACAAGCTAAAATGCCGGAAGACATTTAGGAAAACTCATTTTAGCCAGAGAATAATCTTCCAGACAATGTTGTGGAGAGTACCACTATCAATCGTTTCAAATCTGGACTTGAAAAATGGTGGAAAGATGACCCAGATAAATATGATGACAACCCCAACCAAAGGACATCGTGGATAGGAACAACAGTCTAAATACTGAATAATCCTGGATCAAGTGAGTTACAAGTGAGTATAATTCGAGTGGATTTAGAACAGAAAAACTTTTAAAGAGCTAAAAATGAAAAAACAGGGGGATGAGAAAATATCGGAGTAGGCTACTTACCGGTAAGGAGAGGAAGACGTTAAAATAATCAACAAAAGTCTTGTCGCACAGCAAACGGGCAAACTCAGATTCAGAGGGGATTTCCCCTGTCAAAGTGTGGAAAGGTATATACTTTAGCAGTTAATAGGCAAATATATTGTGATATATTCAGAAATTGAGCAGAAAAATAAGATTATCCAAAAAAAAATATTCTCAAAAATGATTCTGTGATATGTTTCCATGACGATATCATTATATTACGCTTTTTTTCTTCTATCTAATAATTTTTTGCACGTGAATAATAAGGCAGGAATGCTGTTTTTCTTACCTTGAGCACAGTTTAATATCTTGTTTTACTCATATGTAATTTTGACAACTGAAGGAACTTAAAGTAATCCTTGAAGATGTTCATCTGTTTGGTTGTAATTCCATCTATGAACCTAAAGGAAGTTAACTAGTGAAACCCTTGTTGCATCTGTTCATTTATCAGAAAGGCTATACTTAAAATGAATAGAATACACAGAGAGTAAAAGAACAAAAAAGTAATGAGGACAAATTTTGAAACAGTACATACCCCTTGGTTCAACTTCGCTACTGTCCTGTTCCATTCCGACCTATTCTTATGTTTTAAACGAATAAATATAAAGGATAATGATCCTTCGCGCTGCACCTTCTTTCGTTCCTTGATCTTGTTTGACTTTCGCCGTGTACCGTATGTAATGAAGTAACTGAGATGATGGTATCTATGCATGCGCAGTGGACTGTGCAGTGCTATATCATTTGCGCGCATCTATTATGACGTAAAAGTTGTCATAAAAGAATCATTTTTTTTTAAAGTACGCGTAGTATTCATAGTCAGTGGAGATTTTATCGTTTCCTTGAAATAAAATAAGAATTGAACCCGAGATGATATCAGATTTTTGTAGCATTTTTATTTTAGAGTATTTTCACCATGGGTGTCGATCCGGGGGGGGGGGGGGGGATGGCCTGTACAATCATCCCCCCCCCCCCAGTAATTCACCATAAAAAAAAAAAAAAAATTAATACTAATAAAATAAATAATACAAACATATATAAATAGAAAACGAAGTAAATGAGTCAACCGTATATCAGACAAGAATAAATTGAATTCTCGCTCATATGGCTTCATCAGGAATTGATGAATTTATTCAATTTATTCAATCAACAACATCATAGAAATGCAGTGCGCCAAATGCAAAGCCGCAGCGTTAAAAAGCAACGAGCTTAATGTTAAGCGCGAAGCGCAAAAGTGCAAAAAAGGAAGATTTTTGGACATTAGTATGACTTATAAGATAGTTCACTAGTTCTTATGTTGTTTCCGTTTACCATTTTTAAAAGTCACGTCATCGTATCTTTATTTGTTTGTTTTTTCCCTCATTTTATTTCCTGATATTTCCTAGAACATTTTTTAAAACGCGCTAAAAGTTACAGTCGTGTACCGGTATTTGTTTAACTCTTTTAATTTGGGCATTATTGCCAAGAAAAATTATCAACCAATTTCTCAATATAAAGAACTCTTAAAGGTAAAGGAAAGCATCTGAGCAAGAATATCACATGACTTTTGGCCAGTTTAATCTGAAGTGAACTTTAAAGCTATTGGGGTTAATGATTTCATAATGCAAGTAAAGTAATAAAATATTGTATCATTGAAGAGAAAAACGGTTTTGTCCAAATGGCAGCATGTAGGAGACGAAAATTTCAGTTTCTTCCCTGGTTCGTACTCAATATCTATTTTGTTTGATTGATTTCATCCATTTCTTTGTTTATTTATATCTCCGATGTAAAACATTTGAAGAGCTATTTTCCGAAAGGAGCAAAATCTTTTGATAGCAAATGGAGATAATGATATACATTTTCCTCTATTTACATTGAACAAAATTATTAACATAAACTACGAGAGAAATTATGAACATGCATCTTTTAATAACAATTTTCCATAGACACCTGAACAAAATCGGGTAAACAAAGAGTTCTTTCTCAAGTTACACACATGGATCTAGTGCCTCTTGAAAATAAGCTCTTTTTATGTACATAAACAAGCAATACAACAGAATACTCCAGTTCGATATTTTGGAGAAAGATTATTATGTCACAACCTATTTTTGTTTTATTGAAAAGCTGATGTAGGCCTATGTATTGTATTCAAACGTAACAGGCATAAGATAGTTAAGGTGTTTTTGAAGGTTATAATGTTATTAAGTTAGAAGTTTTGTTTATAACACCTTTCCAATAATAGTGCACCTTCTAAGACTGATTATAGTTTTTGAAGAAAAAAATAGTGCTCTGGTCAGGGCCTTAGGGGAATATTATGCTTATATTTTAGAGCGTATCTTGTATGATAAGTATAAGGTAAGAGCACTTTTTTTCCCCCGAAAATTTAAACAATTGGCCGACCGTTATTTCGTTCAGTCGGGGGGGGGGGGGGGGGGGGGGGTAAGGTAATCTTTTTTTGGTCACCCTCTAGCACCAGAGGCATTGTTTGGGAAAGTGCAAAAATCGACTTGTGCCAAAGTGATGTCTACAGTATGTACTATGTTGGGATGGAGAATGAATTGAATGTATCAAATTAAATGCATTGCATATGCTTTTTGCAGAAGCAAAGTCACACACACACACACGCGTGCGCGCACACATGTTCGTTGATATTTGATATTCGATATGTGTGGCATGATTAATTTTGTTGGGGATGTTGTTTGGATCTGCAAAGATCGAATTAATACTCAAATCCCGATTGTTTTATTCAAACATTTCGCAACTTTGGCGCAAGCCGGATTTTGCACTCTCGCAAACAATGCCTCCTGTTCATCCAAGCGTGAACAGATACCACACAAAAATCATACCAAAATGATTCGGGATAAAACACTCTTTCATAAGATGTATAATAATTTACTGTTAATAAATGATTTTAAAAATAATTAGCAGTTTTCTTGATGAAAACTTTTTTTTGACTCGCACTGTTATTTGCAAAATTGCGTAAAACATGAAAACGATGAAGTGAAGAGTTGATATCGAACCTATTGTATGTATTTTGTCATATCTTAAAGGTTCAATGTCCCATTTGCAGCCAACATCAAATTCTGTAAAACTTTGCAGGAATAATGAACATGTCACGTATATCCTCTCTGTGAAATTTAAACAATAACAGTGTCCTAGTATTCAAATTATGCTAGGAAGCCCGTTTACTTTCTAGACTTCACTGTCAGTCGGACACTATTGAGTGACCGACTGACTTCCTTTTTTCTTTGGTAATAACATGAGCTGTAAAAGGTACATGATCATGTACCCTTTTTGTCTATACATCAATAACGCACTACTTGTAATGGCCAAAATTAACCTGATTGAATCTATGGAAGCACAAAATGTATGAACATTAGGTAAAAGGGTCTGAAAATCAGACTATTACTTAGGTGATTGCAATCACTTAAAGTCGATTTGACAACTAATAGTCGTTATTTTCCCCCTAAAAGCCATTTTCAAGCCTTTTCGTTTTGAGGGAAGTTCTAAATTAGTATTGTCTTTCAAATGCTGTTCAGTGGAATTTAACCTTTTCATTTTTTTATTATTACAAAAAAGTGGAAAATACTAATAATTGTAGCCAATTTGAGGAGGAAATACAGATTTATCTTGACCTTTGGAAAACTCTGATCTGCTATAATACATAGTAAATTCTGCCGGTTCATACTTTTTCATTTTGTATATACTTATGTTTTCGTACGTTATAGATATTCTACAAATTCATCATTATTTTCCTCTTCTTCCTCCTCCTCTTTTTCTCCTTCTCCTTCTTCTTTTTCCTCTTGTACTTATTGTCATTTCTATCATGAGCTCAATATTGTTATTATTATTATTATTATCTTTAATCAGTAATTCTTTTATTTTTCTTATCTGTCTGTATATGTTACTATTTTAACTTATTAATTTGTATACATGTCTGTAAAGGAAATAAGCTCTCGAGCTATCGTGGGGTATCCTGTTGAGGCTGACTTATTTTTTATCTGTTATTATTGTATATTGTTGTATGTTGGAAGCTTGTCGATTAAAAATCAATCAATCAATCAATCAATGATCTTTATGAATATGAGCCTTTCTTCAAAATCTATCGGGACAGTGTAATATGCTCAACAAAACGGCCACAAACAAAATACACAAATAAACAAACATGGTTGAGTAGTATGATTAAATGTGGTTTTATTGCACTCTGGTTATCTTTCTGATCCAGGAAATATTGCACAGGTAGATATAGGTTTCTTTTGATAAATAAGTTTGTTAGATCTGTGACAAAAAATAAAACTAAAACTAGCCACTCTAAGTATTAATGAATACATGTAACATAAATAATATTTGAAGGCACGTGTATGTATTGCACATCTTTACAGAGAGATTAGTAATGTTGAACTTCTCTGGAGTTTTTATAAGTATTATAATACTGCAGAATGTATTTTACCACTGGGAATGTTTCAATATTGCACTCGAATTTATTTGATAGAATATTGCACTTATGAGTATCACTACAAATTGATGAGACATTAAATTTTATCCAAAACAAGTTTTGTATTCATTACAATTGTGATAAACCAATGAAGTTAAAGTAATTAGAATACGTTGTTAAATACTGCCCTATGAACCATCCAAGATATAACATTTTCATTTTGGAAATGTAAAATATGAAGAATGCTTTTAACCCATCTTAATTTTGTACAACGAGTGTGGACTACATTTCCATTTTCAAGTCTACTGCTATTGTTTGTTTAATATCACGTTGATCATACATGAACCATGTAAAATGATGAACAATGTAGAAATGAATGAATTAATAAATAACTGAATAAATACAGCGAATGCTATTAAAGCAGAAACAGGTAAATGCATTGTGACGCTAATTCCTATGAGAGATAAATTGTCACACAAAATTTTAGCAGTGAAACAAAGAATTTAACTAATCTTCTTGAGAATTCATTTACGATTACGGTGCACTCCTTCTGAGGCACAGGTAGTCAGGCAGTAAAGCCATTTTCTACGATGCTCTAGAAATCATTAAAGTACAGAAACGTGTATATGCATTGTGACGCTAATTCCTATGAGAGATATATGGTCACGCAAATTTTTTTTGAAGTGAAACAAAGAATTTAACTAAATCTTCTTGGGAATTCATTACGATTATTACGGTGCACTCCTTACAAGGCACAGAAGCGAGGCAGAACAGCCATTTTTCTACGACACTCTAGAAATCATTAAAGTAGAGGAGCTTGCTGGCGAGGCACTCGTACTCCACCTCCAAGTACTTGAAGGTGTCTGGGCAGGGATCGGGGAAGAACTCCCCGTTGGCCCAGACTTCACACTTGGCGTGACCCTGGCACTTGGACATCACAACGCCCAGGGAGGTAGGCTCGTGGCACGACTGGTCACCGATGTTGTCCGCGGCACAGATCTGGAAAAAGATATGCAACGAAAGAGGTAATGATGAACGTCTTGATCTGTTTGTGTTATGTTTACACTGTGAGTGTTTTGTTCATACCCATTACAGAGCAGATGCAGGGAGTAGTGTAGCATGAATTCCATTTAGAGGGCACTTTTTTTTGGGGGGGGGGGGGTGGTAGGAGGGTAGGGGAGGCAGGCCAGTGAAGTCACCTTTTTTTACAACGTGGATGAAATGCGAATGCAAAAAATAATGCCATAGATATAGTATTAACATAACAGGGCCCAGTTTCTTCAAGCTCACTCGAGATGGAGTGAAATAAAAGTCAATATTGTTAAAGGGGAAGTCCCCCTGAATATTATTTTGGGTTTAATAAAAGAAGAAAATTTAAAGAAAAACACAGTAGAAGTTGAGCAATATCCGATTCAAAAATAGGAAAGTTATGAATTTTTGAAGTTGTCATCAGTGAAATAAATATTGGCAATAGTGTGAAGCCGCGAGCTCCTCTCCAATTTGCTCTGTACAGAATATTTCATAAACTTTTAGTTTCTTTGTTATTGATGACGGAATAGACTTGCTTCAGACAGGGGTTGACTAAAAACATATTTGCAATAATTATATTTAGGGTGAATGTATGACTGGGAATTTTCTTAAGGGAAAATATAATTTTTGTGAAGATTTTTTAGCTACAGGGCAAATGGGAGGAGACCTCGCAAAATGCGTCACAGATTTGCAAATTTGTGTTTGATTGATCGCAACCTTCACAAATTCATAATTTCCTTATTTTTCATTATATTTTGCTCAAACTTTCACTGACCTGTTTCTCTCCCCTTTTCTGCTTCTATTAAAACCAACTTAATATCAGGGTGGACATCCCATTTAATAAGGTTAAGGTATTAAGATGTGACAGTATCTCTCTGTCAAGATTTTTTGTGAAGGTATTTTGCTCAAACTGTCACTGATCCGTTTTTTATCTCCCATTTTTCTGCTTCTATCAAAACCAACTTAATATCGGGGTGGACTTCCCCTTTAAGGTCAAGGTATCAAGATGTGACAGTATCTCTCTGTCAAGGTTCTAGCTTACATCGCGTCCGGTGGAGCGTCCGTAGCTGGCGGAGAGGACGTTGATGAAGCTACCCTTGCAGTTGAGCACGACGGGGTTGTTCTGGCAGATGATCTTCTTGAAAGGCATCTTGGGGTGCTTGACCACCGGGTTGTGGGAGCAGGTGTAGTAGACGGACAGGTAGTGGCGCTTGGTGAAGCAGGGGTCACCAAAGAGACGGTCGCAGGCCGGGATCTAAAGGCAGGGCAGAAAAGAACAAGAAGAAAGTTTACTTGATGTCTACCAATAACCTAGGCGGACAGGTAGTGGCGCTTGGTGAAGCAAGGGTCGCCAAAGAGACGGTCACAGGCCGGGATCTAGAGGCAGGACAGAAAAGAACAAGAAGAAAGTTTACTTGATGTCTACCAATAACCTAGACGGACAGGTAGTGGCGCTTGGTGAAGCAAGGGTCGCCAAAGAGACGGTCACAGGCCGGGATCTAGAGGCAGGGCAGAAAAGAGCAAGAAGAAAGTTAACTTGAAGTGTAACAATCGCCTAGACGGACAGGTAGTGGCGCTTGGTGAAGCAGGGATCACCAAAGAGACGGTCACAGGCCGGGATCTAGAGGCAGGGCGAGAAAGAGCAAGAAGAAAGTTAACTTGAGTGTAACAATCGCCTAGACGGACAGGTAGTGGCGCTTGGTGAAGCAGGGATCACCAAAGAGACGGTCACAGGCTGGGATCTAGAGGCAGGGCGAGAAAGAGCAAGAAGAAAGTTAACTTGAAGTGTAACAATCGCCTAGACGGACAGGTAGTGGCGCTTGGTGAAGCAGGGATCACCAAAGAGACGGTCACAGGCCGGGATCTAGAGGCAGGGCAGAAAAGAACAAGGAGAAAGTTTACTTGAAGTTTACCAATCATCTAAACAGATCATTTCTGTATAGCTAGATTGTATACAGACAGGTAGTGGCGCTTGGTGAAACAGGGGTCGCCAAAGAGACGGTCACAGGCCGGGATTTAGAGGCAGGGCAGAAAAGAACAAGGAGAAAGTTTACTTGAAGTGTACCAATAACCTTATAAGATAATATCTCCTGAGGACGGATAGTCGACCTGTACAAAACATCGAGCCACTCCTCCCAATAAGCTAAGAAAGATGACCAACAGTCTTTTTCAGGACTACACACACTCAAGAAAGAAAGATTACCAAGAGCCCCTTTCAGGACTCCCCAATCCTCCCTCTCTCTCACATGGTGCAACTGCAAGCCTATTGTATGAGATAATATCTGTATAGCTAGATTGCATAAAATCAAGTTTTAAAATACTGTACTTGGCATTCTATTGGTTAACGGCTACGCTACATGTAGCTTGAAGAAAATCAAAGATATCATAAAATGTCAAGTATAGAACCCATGTCAGACTTGGGTTTCACGTGCACTATTTCTATGCAAGTGCATACTTGTGCATCACTTAGTATACCTTTTACTGAGAATGAATTAACACTGCAATATCGCTTTGCCAGGCAAAGGCAGCGGTACAAGCGTCCTGCTGAGAGAGAAAGGGAGGGGGACACCTTCTACAGAATTCTGCAAAAAAAAATGCCCCTTCCATTTCGGGTTTCATGTGCACCATCTCCACCTTACCTTGCATCTCTTGTATCCTTGGCACATTCCCAGGGCCATGGCATAGGAGCTGTAGGACTCGCAGACCGGGTCCTGGTCCTCTCCTCCTTCGCAGACCGTGTCCAGACTGCCGTAGCCGACGTCCAGGACGTCCAGCATGTAGTCTCCGCAGTCCAGGTTCATCACCTGACCCTCCGTGACCACTGCGTGCATCCTGGGATACTCCATGACCTCCACTGTGTGACAGACACAAAGAAATAAAAAGATAATCAAAACACTGACAAAAATGATGTTTACATCATACTCCATAGAGTCAACCTTTACATCGAGGGTTCAGTGACACAAAGACGTAACTCCACATTTGGCCAAAATGAGCATTTGATATCAAAATGTTAAGAAAAATGTGGGCTTTTCAGGAAACACAAAGACTTAACGCCACGGAACACCCCATTGAAGTCAATGACTAGTGAAACATAGACTTATTAAGGCCCAAGTGCTCAGTGACACATAAACCGCTTTTTCTCAAAATGGCCAAAATAGAGTTACGTCGTTGTGTCACTGACCCCTCGATGCATATGCATAAACCTGCAAGTCTGGGCAGCCCCAGAAAATTTACGGTTGAGGATACCATGCTGATGATGACAGACAGAACTAAACATTCTCTGGCGCACTCTAGGGTCTTTTTCAGCAAAACATTAATCTACATCTGCCACTCTCCACCCAGGTGTAGTAAAATAGTACCTAGTAGGAATTTATTCCTTGAATGATTTCAATAATACCGGCGCATTACGCATCTCCTGGGCATGATTATGATTATGCTTATGAATATGATTACGATTATTATTTCATAAAATCCCAGGAAATTTGGGGTTCTATTACAGCAAATTTTATTTTGATGATTTAAAGCACTGAGTACTAGTAGTGGTCGTAGTAGTAGCAACATGAAGTAATAGTAGGCCCCATAATTGAAAACATTCTGGTAGTCTTCTAATCTACTGTAGATATGGACATACTGGAGGGTGTTTCACAAAGTTCCTAAATCAAACTTAACTCTAAGTTGGACTTCAAAATTATGGAGAGCCATTTTTAGACTTAAAATTAAATATATTCAACAGTAAAAATTCAAGTATTTTAGACTTTTTATAAATTCAACATCAAGAACATGAAATCTCCTTGATAATAGAAAATATGAATTGTTTGAATCAACATTTTTTCCTTTTTAAAATGACTTTTACAAAATATTTTCATAGATGCTAACGGCTTTCCATAATTGTTAAGTCCAACTTAGAGATAAGTTCAACTTACGATCTTTGTGAAACACCCCCCAGGAGTAGATATATGTGTGCCATATAAATGTAACAATTATCAATATGATTATCACTGTAAAATGGTTCTTTGAGTTCTTACTGTGGCACGTGTGTCCGTTTCCTGAGTACCCAGCCCTGCAGTGGCAGCCGTAGACCCCGTCCATCCCTGCTAGGCAGGTGGCGTGCTCGTGGCAGGAGAAGGCGTTACAGCTACTCAGTCCACCTTTGTCACAGGTGCACTGCATATCACAGCCGTATCTGGTGTAGGTGGTGCCAGGCTGGAAGGGAAATTAGAGATAATCTTTGAAAAAACTGCAGAATACCCAGAGCTGCCACTCTTGTGCAACCAAAAAAGGAATTTTAAGCAAAAAAAAGAGAAATTCATTAAAATGAGACTTACAACCACGCGGGACACATTTCAATGCAGAAATGTCATCCTGTTATTTATTGGTTTTTGGTATTATCGGCGCTTAATTTTTTTGGAATATATTTATGCCTTTCACTTTTCTTCTTCTTCCTTTTTCATTTGTAAATCATTAATCTCTAATGAATTTTCTATTGAAGTAGTGAGCAACATTTTAGGGCATTTGGTTGAAGTCCGGTATGTGCACACAAAAAAAAAAAAAATTGAGAGAAAAAAAAAATATATGAAGAAAAACGTACTACTCTAATTTTGAGAAAAAACGGAATAATTTGGGAAAACCTAATGGTTGGCAGCTCTAAATGCCTATCTGCACCACAGAAGCAGCCAAAGACGCTAATGAAACTATTTATAACCCACTCTTCATCAAAACTACTCTTGATTTCCAGACACTATAGCAACATGAGCAACATTGGCCTGAAGGGATAAAGCCTTATTCCTACATATTGGGGTAAGCTATTGAGAGGAAGATGATGCTATCGTTGATGAGAACAACTGTGATTTTGCATTTAATAGAGTGCAGAACTGTACCACCCACCAGGCCTCATTAACTCACCGGCACGTAGTAGGTGTCGATCCCGTGCTCGTTCAAGCAGCCGCACTCCTCTGGGGCGACACACATGCCTCTGCTTGACAACACCTTGCCCTGCGGACATTCGCAGACCTCATAGCAACGCTTGCTGCAGGATGCCTCCAGTTCGGTCACACCACAGTGGCTGGTGAGGCCTTCGGAGCAGGCGGAGTAGACCTTGCCCAACGGACACATGAAACCTGCCAAGAGAATCAAGAAAGTTTATTTAATAGTAGAAATTATTGATAAGTTAGGATCAGGTATCTTTGTCTCAGATTCTGAACAAAATCCTGGATTTAGCTCATGCTGGAATCATAATTATTAACCTTTAGGTCAGTCAGGAATCCCATGACCTTTACAAGCTGATCGCCTGTCTGATTATCAAGATATTTATGATTAGAATTCGAAATTTCAAATTCCAAATTCTATAAATTTCTATAACACTACAATCAATTGGGAGAAATGAGTATGGTAAAACTGGTCACTCAAAGATTTTTTACTTTTTTGAGGAACTTCATGATCATTTCGAAGTGCAAATTTTTCAGGGCTTCAATATTACACCATATGAAAGATATTGACAACACGTATTTCATATTTGTAAAACTGAAAACATTGTAAAACAATATGCAATCAGCTCTTGAATGACTCACCACAGCTTGTGGCGTCTCTCCATCCAGGCAGCTGGACTCCCTTGGCCTGGCAGGCGTCTGCGTAGGCCTCGTAATGGGCACACTTGAGATCCTGCTTGGGAAGCAGGGCACACTGGTCCTCCAGGCAAGCGTTGTAGTAGAAGTCAGGGTCGACCTCGTCGAAGCAATCAGCAAACGGTCCTGGAAAAAGAAAGGTAGTGACTTGAAAATCAGTGCTCCCTTCACAATCAGAAGAAATTGCTTACTTTTTGAATGGCTGCATTACTTTAACCATACATTCTATCAGAAAATGAATTTATAAAAGTTGTAGTAAATTCTATACCCTTTTGAATGATTATAAACACTTCCACTTTACCTATTTTCAAGCATTATTTTGTTGTTGTGAAGCAACAGTGAGTTTCTTTGGGTCCTTTTTATTTCTGTTACCATTAGTTTACCATTGAGAAATTCCAAAGAGAAAATATTGTGTAGAAAAAACTGAAAATCAACAAATGGTCCTGGAAAAAGAATGGTAGTGATTTGAAAATCAGTTCTTCATTCACAATCAGATGGAAAATGACATGTTTTGTTGAGCTTTCACTTGCGTGCTTGCTGCAAGCTTCTTTGAACTTTTGTCGTAGCTGGCCCTGTCCCTGATGCAGTACGTCGATTCAAAATTAAAACGTGTTGCAAAATTTTTCCCACAATATTTGCAAAGTCAACGTAGTCGAAATATATCGAAAAGAAAAGAAGTTAATCGGAATAATCTGAAGGAAAAAAATTCAAGCATGATGATAACAGACTCGAACCGTGGACCCTGTGATCCACAGTCCAACAACTTATCCACTAGACCACAACACCTCTACATTACAACTTTAAAAAACAAAACTTATTGGTTTCGATTTATTTCATCTTTCACAAATCTGCTTCTCTGATTTTTCTGTTTTCTTGTCGGTGCAATTTGCTATTAAGGTTGGATTCTTCATCAAGGGCATACCATTGTCGTCCTTGAGGATAGAGCACATCGTGGTTGCGTCTGCTCGATACAGCGGCCTCCTAGTGCAGGCATCGATGTTCTGGCATCCTTGGCAGATGGTGCAGTCGCTGGTGCTGTGGGCCCAAGCTCTGGCAAGCCCGGTGGTACCTGTCAGCTAAAGACGCATCAGGGAATTAAAGAAATTCTAATCAGCGACACAAGACCAGTAATTCATCTCTTAAGAGCCAGAAGGGCATTAACTCAAAATTATGATAATAGTATTCAGCTTTTATATAGCGGTTGATACATCAACAATGTCTCTTAGCGCTTTACAGATATAAATGTATTATTACCCTGGTCTTCGGATTCAGGCGTCATTGGTCACTTCCTAACCAAAGACTGGACTCAACATTACACCTACATGTGATATCAAGTCTATCCTACAGCAATTCAAATCACAAACCAAGCCCTATCCCAATATCTGTGACAAAATAAACCCTACATAAAATGTAATCAAAGCACATGTCAGAGCATCTATTTTCAATATTTTTGTCGCTATTCAATTAGATACTTTTAAAATTGTACACCAACATAGGGATAAAATAGTAATAGATTAGTTATGCTAAAATAATTTAATTGAATCGATTTTATTGTCCATAAAAATGGGAATTTGTTGCTTACTGGTACAGGTGTGTTACGAACAGTGTACACAATTATACAGATTATAAAACACAGTACAGCATAACATCAATGGCGTTACATCTAACAATATGGGCGACTTCCCACATCCAGGCACCTTGATAATTTTGGTACTAATAAGTTTGAAATTTACCGTTTGTCCTTCTTTGTTCTTGAAGTCGTTGGTCGCATCTCCATCAAAGTCTCCACACATACCGCATGTTCCATTGAAGCCATTGGGGATCTTGATCGATACTTGACCTTTACCGTTCCACTCGATGGAAACGCCAGCACTGGTTTCAACAACCTGCAAGAACGGGTAAGAGTTAAAGAAGGGAATGGGTAGTCAGTTTCAAGTGCAGAAGTCCATAATATGCTGACACCAGACTTGGTGGAAAAATCGTTAATGGGTGTACAAGTCTGCACACAGCAAACCTGTAGTCCTATAAAAAAAATACCCCGCCATCTCTCACAGAGTTTTTAGGTGAGCTTGGGCTTGTCCACATTAGATCGCACTCCCATGGGTAGGTTGTTCGTGCTCATATGACATTTATTTTCATGCACACGGTGAGTTTGTTAGCTCACCCGGTGTGATGGGGATGTGCGCATCTTTGGGTAGTTGTTGTGGTCATGGACCTACTACTCAGTAGGTCCATGCTGTGGTCGATGCATCGTTGGGTAGTTGTTTTCTGAGTGTATTTAGTAAATAGCTTTATATCTTCCATATATTATTTGTTGTTGTATTCTTGAATCAGTTCCTTGTCACATCATCTGAGGGGCCTTAACTTAACAAGCTGTGCTTCAACCAAGGCCTCCTCGTCTTTCTTTAATCTACATTGTACTGTTATACTCTATTTTATTTTGTTACATGTGATTTCAGGAAGACAAATAAATTGATACTTGAACATAAGATAATGACTTTAACATATGGGGGAATGGGGATTAGGAGTCAAATTTTAACACTTGAAATTCATTATTGGCCTTTTAATTTTTAAAAAAACAATCTGTTGATAAAGATGGGGTGGATAAACAGCCACAGACTCACCATAGTATTGCCAGCTTGCCTGACAGTCAGCATGGCATCGCCTGTAGAAACAGTAAAGGGTGCCTCCAGCTCATAATCATCTACCTCATGAAGGTTGTCTCGACCTAGGATGATCTCCTTCAATGGTTATAGATAGAGAAAGAAAAATAATATATATTAAGACAGAAAATTTTATTAAAGCAATTCTCAAAAACAATGAACACTGTTCAAATTTTCATGAAAATTGCCCTCAAGCCTCTTTTAACATCAACTGGGTTACTTTCACTCTGGCTTGAAGAAAATACAACATGGAAAATAGCCCTTTTGAAATTTTCTATTTTTAAAACGAATTTTTCATGAAAATTGCCCTCAAGCCTCTTTTTACATCAAATGGGTTACTTTCACTCTTGCTTGAAGAAAATACAACATGGAAAATAGCCCTTTTGAAATTTTCTATTTTTAAAACGATGAGCCCCTTGCCATTTTTCTCAAATTTAGGTGTGTTTTTTCCAATTTTCAGGAACAGTGTGCCAACAAAAGAGCACGCTGTGTTCTGGACATGATACATGGGCATTGCCGGAGACTATCCTGTACATGGGACCTTCCTTTCATGTCCCAAGGGGATGTCAGGGGGATTTTTCACAAAGATCCTACGTCGAACTTAACTCTAAGTTGGACTTTAAATTATGGAGAGCCATTTGTAGCCTTAAAATAAAATATATTCAAAAGCGAAAATTCAAGAGCGAAAATTCAAGTATTTTAGACTTTTCATAAATTCCACATCAAGAACATGAAAATCTCCTTGATAGTAGAAAATATGAATGATTTGAATCAACATTTTATGCCTTTTAAAATAACTTTTACAAAATATTTTCAAAGATGCTAACGGCTTTCCTTAATTGTTAAGTCCAACTTGAGAGTTAAGTTCAACTTTGTGAAACACCCCCTCTGACCTTTCTACTCACCCTGGTTCCCAGCTTGATGTGGACCTCCCTGATGAAGGAGATGCTCCTCACAAACTTATACACCTGGCCTCGGACCGAGACCTCGATGGGGGTACGCCCGTTGTCCCTGGCAGAACAGTCCTTGAAGAGGGTATACAGGCAATCCCCATGGAACTGGTAGTGGTTCTTGTCGAATGTGATGATCTGGGAACCGCCGAACACTCGGCACTCTCCCTCCACTGTGCAAAGGAAAGGTTAGATGCCGAAAATAAGCCTACATGTATGTCTATAAAAAAAACAGGGACCCAAACCTCTTTAATATATAAATCTAATAATACAAACTGCTAAAATCAAATTGAATTATATTAAGTCACATCGAATTGTGCATACCGGTAGATGGAATATTACCACATTTTAACTTTAGAATAGTGTCCAACCGACTCTGCTATTAAACATCTTATGGGCTAAAGATCATGCCAAGGTATCTAATAAGCTAGTTTCATCTGAGAACGCTCCTTTCTTTTTGTAACAGTAACATGTACATGTAGTACGGTACCCTGTAGTAGATGCAAGTTAGTCAAGTGGTCAACTCTCTATCTGCCTATTCAAGTGTCCTTTCTGATGGTGACATAAAGCAGTTGGTCCAATGGTAAAAATACTGTATTAACAACATTTTATGCAGGTGGTTTTATTTCGGCCTGTCACTCATTGATTGCAAATTTAACAACACATGAAAATATTTCCAGCACATAATGTTGTTATCATCATCTAATTCTACTAAGTAATAGATTAATTTCTGCCTAAATTATACTTATATGATGATCAGGATACTCAGTAATAGGTTCATGATCCATTGAAATAGAATGATAATTACTGATATTTGGTTATGGTTGAGGCTTTACACAAATTTAAGAAATCACTAATTTTTCTTTGAACCCCTGATCTGCAAAAATATAGCTTTACTCGAAAATAGTGGCTCATACGGTTACCGGTATCTGATCTGGAGAGTGTTTCACAAAGACTATGATCGACTTTACGTTAGACTTAACTATGGCAGGCCATTCATGCCACTGGTTGCTCAAACCATTGGTCTCTCAATTATGATCTTTAGATAATATTTTTTCCATCGATAATGAACTATCAAAAAAGGTAAACTCTGAAGATTTGTGACCATGCTTTGAAGTCCTTTGATAAGCCGATGCCAGGAATGGTTAGAGGAACTAGTGGCATGAACGGCCTGCCACAGTTAAGTCCAACTTAAAATCGATCTTAGTCTTTGTGAAACACTCCCCTGATCAGGACACTTCTCAAAACATCCACACACAAAAATCTCTCCTCACTTTGATCACACAATGGTCCGGTGTAGCCCTTCTCACAGCAGCACTGGTACCCTTTAGGAGTGTTAGTGGCTATGCAGTTGCCGTTGACACAGGGATTGAAGTTGCAAGGGTGACCCATGATGGTACTGCGATCCACGGGCTGCTCGGAGCACTCAAAGCTCACCTGGATGGATGAGATAAAAATCATTATATAATATTGGATAGCTTTGAGCGTGATACAAGAATATATTGCCCAAGATATGACAATATCGTAACGAGTCGGAGACGAGTCCAATACTGTCAAAGCGAGAGCAATATATTCTTGTATCACACGAAAAACAAAGCCATTATTATTATTGTAATCTATATTAGGCTGACTAGCGAAATAACACAATTTGACTCACCTCAGTACATATTTTGATTTGTAGTAAATATGGCTTTGTGTGATATCGATAGTTCAAGTTCCCGGACGACTGAGCAATACAAAATCAATATTGGTCAGTCATCCGGGTACTGCGCTAAAGATGAACAATACTCCAACTTTGTATTGATCACTCTATGAAAATGGTAGAGAATGCGTGACTGTTAGAGGGGCAAAATGCCAAATTTCTAGGGCATACATGTACGTGTAACTCTGATGTTGAAATTTCGAACCTGATTCAAATGACCTTAAGGTTGACAAGACGATGTGTACATGTAGTACTGCACTAATGTATAAGCTATGTTTTACATACATGTGCATGTAGATCTACATACCGGTACATACAGTAAGTCGTGTATTTTTACTGGAACATTGCAAAAAAGTGTGGCTTACTGGCAATTTTCCTTTAGATGAACATGAGACATGCAGAGAAAAATAACACAAACAGCACTAAAGAGAATATTGAAATCTTTGAATGTCCAGCTAACAACCATGTAATGACATCCAAGTATTCTTCAACCTACATACCTCTAACATGTTGTTAGTTGGCTCACAGGTCTCGCCTAGGTTGTCTGTCGTTGCAACTACTTCACACTGCGTCTGTCCCTGGCAAGCCATTGTGATGATCGCCTCGGCAGAGGGTGAGAAGCACGACTCCTCCCGGTCGGGTCGACCGAACCGGACACGCTGGATGTCCAAGAAGGTGCCTTCTGGGCACTGCAGGTTCATGGTGCTTGCCTGTGGGGTGTTCCTCCTGACAGGGGTCTGAGGGACCTCGCTGCCCAGAGCTTCGGGGGTGCAGTGGTGCTCCACGCGTACATACTTTGCGGCGGTGCAGGGCACGCCGAAGACATCTGAGTTAGCCGTGAACGTGCAAGTTGCCTTGCCTTGGCAGCGATTCTGAACCGCCAGAAGAGTTCCCTCAGCGGCACAAGTGCTCAAGAGGAACCCACTTGTAGGACAGGCACTGAGTTGACCGTCCTGGCCATAGTAGGCGGATATGACATCGATCACACCACTCTCGCACGTCAATGTAATAGCTTCGTTTTCGCACACAGTGGTGGTCGTGGCCTGGTTGACGGCTGGGTGTAGAAAATGCGAAATGATAGACATATGATTATTTTGGGAGTGAGAGTGAGAGTAATTGGCACATAAGGAATTCTAGCTGAGCTTATGACATTTTCCCCTATAATCAGTTTCTAAAACTAGTTGATATAACTAATTTAAGGCTATCAAGAACTACCGCATAGAGAAAATTATGTAATATGCGCTATAAGAATTGAACATTATTATTATCATTATTATTCTTTCAAAATATACTTTAAAGCCCTGAACACGAAAATAAACGTGGGACTTACCGAAGCAGCTTTGCAGTCCTTGACCAGCGAAGCCATCTTTACAATTACACTCCATTCCACTGTCCTTCACAGCACAGGTGGCGTCGTCATGGCATTCTACAGCCTTGCACTCCATGTTGCCTCCTTCATGACATACGCACTGCTCTGTGCAGTCATTGACCAGATACGACTCTCCAATCTGTTGCCAAGATATGGAAGCAAAGCCAATATTTATAGAGAAATGTATTGTAGCTTTTCATGAAGACAGAGACTTCTCTTCATTGTGCAAGAGAGAAAGACGGTAATACGAATCAAAAATAATATGATAGTTTACTATCCGAACGATCAAAAGTTTTGTTGATATTGAAACAGGTTGTTTTGTTGTACTTGTACGTACCAGGCTGCGACGGGTGACAACTACTCGGGTACGATTTCTCTTACCCGAATATTCGACCGCCATTTTGTTTTTTTTAGGCCAGTGCTTCCCACCTTAATCACTGTCAACTCACTACTCAGAAACTGTGACCAAATGTCCGAATTTCTGTCTGTCATCTTTTGTTACAAAGTTTACAGAGATCGTAAAAGCTAGCGAGGGTCGGTTTGTGCGGCCAGGGCCTAAAACAAGATAAGATAAATATTGTTCACGACACTCAAATGGGTGGCTATATGTATTCATGAGCGCATGCCGCATGCACAATTGCAGTATTGCACACAATATGCCGCATGCACAACAGGCTGTGCGAACAGCTGGAGTGAACGGCCAATCAGACAGAAGAATTTTTATTTACGTGCTTCTGATTGGGCGAGAGCACTCAGGTACGGCGCGTGCCGGTGAAAGAGAGAGAGAGAGACACAGAGAGAGAGACAGGGTGTTTAGTTGTTTACGAGATTAGAGCTGGCCGATCTGGCTAGAAACAGTGGAAAGGATAACGAACAGTTTATGTCGTTAAATTTGGGTTTGTTGTGATTTTTAAACTTGTTTTCTCCTCAGCATCCCGTGTAAAATTAGAGGGGCACTGGAATTGATATAAATGTTTAAATGTAATATATCTCGATGTCGTGAGGGGGTCAATCGAATACTGACGAGGAATGCGAGTGCTACGATAGTATGAAGTTAGAGTGGTGAAAAAATCTCAAATAAATTGTGTACGAGAATGACTGCAACTTTGTATGCGTTTTGCAAAGATGTTTAATTTTGGAAACTAAAAGATTACAATCAATCAATCATGGTGCCACTTCCAGTACGGTGTACATTTCTTTCACTTAACTAATTAATTTATTTTATTTTATGGGGGTTGTCTCATGGACTCCAAATAATAAATGGAGCCACATTTTATAAACTTCCCCCAATCCGTGCCTGTTGGTCTTATTGGTCCCCCATGATCCTCTTTTTCGTATGTTAGTTGAGAGCTGAGTTAATGAGATAAGATAGCCAGCCACCTGTCGCTGCGTGGTCTAATCCCTTCTGGCCCAGTAGTGTTGATGAACTTGGCGGTCTTTAATAGCCAAGTTATAAAAGTATGTTGTCTTTTAATCGAGAGGGATTTAGCTGCGAGACTCGTTTATTTACTGTAGAAGAAAGAAGGAAGAAAATATGCAAAGCACATCGTTTTCGTTATGTAACCCCCCACTCGTCATACCATTGCACTCCTCCCTAGAACTGGCTTGTAGCATTTTACTTCAGATTTCGATTTTTCTTCTGAAGAGTAAGACGTCCCTCATCAATTCATCATGCCTCCAAAAAAGAGTTTCGTGTGGAATCATTTCGAAAAAATAAATGACAAATCTACGAAATGCAAAATATGCAACGCTATATTGGCGTACCATCAATCAACGGGGAGTATGATTCATCATCTGACCCACAAGCATCCCGCAGCAGCAAATCCACAAAGGACGACAGGCCAGCAGCCAAACCAGGAGACTCTGACTACTTTCATGAGAAAGGAAAACTGCAGCCCAGCACGATCATCCAAGATAACGACTCTGATTGCGTCGATGATTGGAGATGTCAACCTGCCTATAAGTGTGGTGGAGGAGCCAAGTTTTAGAGAGCTTCTTCGTTACATCGAACCGGGACACACGGCCCCCAGTCGGAAGTCGATGACCTCACAACTCCGCCTTTTGTACGACACTAAAAAGGCAAATATCAAGGCGGGTTTGGCCAATGCAACTTCGGTTGCCGTGACAACAGACTGTTGGACATCGCGCACTCAAGAAGGGTACATGACACTCACTGCTCATACGGTCGATGAGCAATGGAAATTCCACGCGGTGGTACTTGAAACATCACCCGTAGTCGCCATCGACGAGGAAGGCAACACTGTCCCTGGTCGTCACACAAAGGTCATACTTGCTGACCAGCTGAGGCGAGTAGTTGATGACTGGGGGCTACTGGGGAAAGTTTCAGCCGTCATTCACGACAACGCGGCGAACGTGAAAGACATTGGGAGGGATGCATTCGGGGCCATCGATGTCGGATGTGCAGCCCATACGTTGCAATTGGCGGTAAATCGAGGATTACAAAGTAGTCGACACATCTCAACTATGATTGGAGCTGCCAATCGTCTAGTCGGTCATTTCAAGCATAGCGTTCTAGCTACAAAGGCTCTGGAAACGAGGCAAGACATGATGGGCCAAAAAAAGAAAAGACTCATCTCTTCTGTGGTTACTCGCTGGAACTCCGTACTCGACATGCTAGAGCGATTGATCGAGGTTCGTTGGCCCGTGTGTAGCGTCTTAAGCGACCGGAACGTAACAAAACTAGCAGACGCAACCACCCTTGAAATGAAGGACAACCAGTGGGCCCTAGCTGAGATGCTCATTCCCTGCCTGAAGCCACTGAAGGTTAGTTGGGAACTTGACTTTCATCTTATACTGAATAATTGTCTTTTAAATCTCTTTGATTGTTTGCTTTTTTTTAAAAAAATATGTGATTTACATTCAAATTGTTAAGTAAATTAAATCACCTCAGTTACTTACAGTTTTAAAAAAACCTGAGATAAATTAATTAAAGTACAGTACACATATTTTATTTTTAGAAAAAAGTTGAGTTGCAATTTGAATACAGAAACATATTTATTTTATACAATTATACATATTACATAATCGCCATAACTCATAACGCAATCAGCCTAAAATAACACATATTTGTCTTTGTCATTTTGTACTGCAGGTTGCAACTGCCGTCCTTTCTGCGGAGGAAAACGTCAGTTCTTCAATAATTCATCCTATAATTTCTGGATTGATGCAACATCACCTCGATGTCAAGGACGACGACGAAGAAGCAATTCGGAGCTTCAAGAATACAACCAGGCTGCAGCTGGAGACAAGGTTCAGACAGCCCGACTTTCAAGTTGGAGCGGCAGCCATGGGCGCAGCAGTAGATCCACGGTACAAAGATCTGGCCTTTCTACCTCAGGCGGACAGAGAAGTGGTAAAAGCGGAAGTTCGAAGATGCTTGGGAGCTCTCCAGCAGGTCCGTGACGACGCTCATAAAGAGAATGGGGCCGCCGATGACAATGACGATGACGATGACGAGCATGCCGCCGAATTAGGAGTCAAGTTCCTGATGGGCGCAGCTCCCGCTCCAGCTCCGAGGGAAAAATCTGCAAACGAAGAGTACGACGAGTTTCTGGCTCAGCCGCCTGCCAATGTAACTGTCAATCCCCTCATGTGGTGGCAAGGGAGTGACAAGAGATTGCCACTACTCCAGCAACTCGCCCGCAAGTACCTTGGAATCCCTGCCACGTCTGTGCCATCAGAGAGGGTGTTTTCTACAGCGGGGAACATAGTAACAGCGAAACGCAACTGCTTGTTGCCTGAGAACGTGGACATGCTCATTTTTTTGAGCAAAAATAAGTAGAGACTAGAGAGCGAGAGACAATTAAGACATTAATTGGCCAAGATTTCAAGTTTGTAACTGTAAAATACTGTCAATGTATTAATTTAATGTAACATATTTCAGTTTCAGTAGTTATTCTGTACCAAATCGATATAATTAATTTTACATCTTTAATAAGTTTATTCCAGCATTCAGAGACTCAGAGTAGACAACGTATTTCTTCGCGAGATCTCTTTCACTCTCTCTCTCTCTCTCTCTGTTTATCTAATCTACTCCCTCGTTCTCATTCTCTCTCATTCTTCTCTCCTGAGTCCCCCTTCCTCCCATTCACCTAGATGTCCCTCTCCCTGACTCCCTCTCTCTCTCTCTGCGTGACTTTTTCTCTAAGTTTATATCCTCTTATTAATTTGTATTTTGTAATGTTGTCTAGGCATGCTATTTTATTTATTATTTTATTGCTATAACTAATTAACTAGAGTTAATTAAGACTGTAATATTATTATAAAGACTAGTTTAAAGACCAATACATGGCATGTATTATTTACTCATTCAAACTCAAAGATAGTTAAATTAGTTAATTGAAGTTAGTTCATTCATAGTTCGATTTGTATTTGACTTGCCGACATTAAATTTGGTTGTCAAATCAATTACGTAGGGGGTTGGGTTTGCAAACTTTGCGGCTGCTCTTTGTCGAAGTTAGTTCTCAGTCAAAGACCGCGCGCTGCCAAGTGCCAACTCTCCAGTGCAGTCCAGAGGACAAGTTTCGCCATGTGCACCTAGCTCTATTTAACTACTTATGAATATTCATATTGCGATCCGCAATGCGTCACATAAGCACGCATGCCCAGATCAACATGTATCGTTGGTGTACTGTATAAGCCATGAGGCTATGCATGCTGCGTTTTGTAGGGTGGCCTAGTTTTTTTGTTTACGGATTTACGGAGATCGTGTGTCTGTGTGGTTAAGGCAATATATTGTGTACATTCCATTTGGTACGAAATAAATGTAAATACGTTTTAATAGATTTTAGATGTACAGTAAGTTCAGTAACTGTAAGTCAGTAAAGTAAAGTCAGTAAGAGTTAATAAAATTGCTATCAGCAGTGACTTGAACTTCTTGAATGTAATTACTTGAAAGTTGAATGCGATCGTTTAGCTAAGGGGAAGGGGGCGGAGTCGGAGGGAAGAAGGAGTGTAGGAATGAATAGTAAAAGGAACGGAGGGTAACCAAAGGCGACAGATCAGATCAGAGCGAGTGAGAGAGAGAAAGACGGAAGCATAATTAATTATTATCAAGATATGAAAAGTGGAGAGAGGTGGAAGGAAAGAGGGAAAGAGAATAAGAGATGAATGGAAACTGGAAAGAGAAAACGATAGAGAAAGAACGAGAGAGCGAGAGAGGGTGAGGTAAAAGGCTGAGGTCATGATAAATATATCAGCAAGTTCAGCAAAGAAATGCGCATATTATTGACTTATTAAGGCTTATTATTTGGCTTCTCTAATTTCCTAGAATCCTATTGAATCTTATTCTCCAGCCTTATCCATTATCGTTTCTCTCTCTTTTCCTTCTCATTCACGGTTTAATACACCACTACTTGTAGTAAAGCTTCCATTGCGTTATCTTAAGCTTATTGCTTCTATTTATGTCGGTCGCATTGACAACACTACTACTCGTGGGTCTTCCTTAGGCTAGCGCTTATGGAGGGGACGCCGCTCGGCAAGCCCGACGGACCAGGCTCGCAGCGCTGCCTCCTCCCTCTCCCTGATCAATGTGATCATCGTCAAATCCACCATACTACCAAATTACATGGGAGGGAATCGATAGATTTTAATTTATTTCCCTTTGAAAATGTTGCATCCCCAACTCCCCAAGATATGGTATGTTGCTTAAAAATTGGTTTGTGTTGTTAGAGTGATTGAAAGGGTGTGTTTTTTTTACTGTTTTCATTAAAAAAAAAATATTTAAAAAAAATGGCGGCCAAAAAAAAAAAACATGGCGCCCGAATACCCGAATATTCGCCTGTGAGTCTAGAAGTGTACTCGGGTACCTCATTACACGGTTGTGCACAGCCTTATTATTTATATTGTATATCTTTCATTTTGAGTACCAATGTTCGCCTAAATATATTCTTAGGTTCTTCATTTAATTGATTTGGAGCTCACACCAGCTGTTTCTTTGCCCAAGTTTGATTCTTTTTTTTTTATTGTTTATTTATTTTTTACTGTGTGACAATATTGGCCCAAAATCAACAGCATCTATCTCGTGAAACAAAACAGATCGAATGAAATCTCCTTGATTTGATCAATATACACTATGAGATTTATCAACTAGATTTATAATGAAAACAAAAGAAAACAATAGGGCCTATCCCCATCCGCATCTCTGATCGCATTGTAAGATTCATCAGTATGCACAAGTAGCTAATCAATATTGTGTGGAAGTCAGGTAATGTATGCCATTTGCTGCTTAACAGTAACAGATGTATATATATATTTATATATATATATAGATATATATATATATATTTATTTGACGAATTGATGTGCCTAGCCACTCCCAGTTGTAGCAACAGCATTTAACCGTCAGTTCCTAAAAATGTAATCGTTACGCACCGCGCCCTCGATCCAGGAAGGATTTTCAAGCTGCTTCGAACAAGGTAAGTTGCATATGGGTTTAGGTTAGGTTTAAGGACACCGTCGGACCCAGGAAGAATCTTAGGACTTGAACAAGTGGTAGGAACAGAAGAAAGTGAAACTGTCTGGGTAACGTTTAATTGTCAGGGCAAAGTTCCTAAAATCTTGCTAACTAATGTGACAGAGCAGTACTCTACAAATGAAGAATTTCATTCCATAAGGAGCTACATGTAAATCCATTTTTGTAGCTTCAGAGAAAAAAAAAAATTGTTTAACAGATTTTGTACAGGCGTCTATGGAAAAGTGATATCAGAAGGTGCATTTTTTCATAATTGCTCCCAAAATTTAGGTTAACAATTTGTTGAAAGACGAGTAATTAAGTGAACAGTGTTCTGATATCAAAACTCAATTTTCATCAAAAGTGGATTTAGCTCCTTTTGGAATTAAGGTCTTTAAATAAAGCCAACGTAAATGTTTGACATACATCGTAGCTCATGCCCTCCACGAGGCATCCACACTCTCTCTCGGCAACACAGGTCTCCATATTGAAGACTAGACCAGGGGAGCATGCGTAGCCTTCCACGCAGGTCATCAGGTCGCACTTCTCCGCGGTGTTTGGGTTGCCGCAGGTCGGGGTGCACGGGGAGAGGCAAGACTCGTACATGGTGCCTGGCGGTGGAGTAGGGGCTGTGCAGGGGTAAGTTTAGAGGAAAAGGAGACCATTAAAAGCACTGGGTAAAGAGTGTTGGTATATGTCATCCAGCCGTATAGAATATCTGTGCTCTTTATTATTATGACTATGTTTTGACATGTTCCACAAAATCACTGTTGATAAAAGTGCATCATTTAGAGGCTGAATCCTGACAATCCTCCCATAAACAAATTTTTTTTAATTTCCTAAATTACAGGGGTCTCCATAATGATATTTCACAAGATTTATGCTATTAAAAGCTAAATTTGTATAGACATACATTGGAGGTCCCCAAGCCAGGTTCTTCACCTGCAGGAACATACCTACTTTTCTCCAAGCATTCAGGGAAAACGAATCATCAATCATTCATTTAGTCGTAGAATTCCTACGATGGCTCAGTAGTAGCTACAGCAAAGGTCATGGCACCTGGAGATCCCAAGTTCAAAGCCATGCCAATGTACTAGTGCCCTTTTTGCAAGGCATTTATCCATATTACCTAGCCCCTCGGAGAGGACAGTCGGTCCACCGGTACTTTACCCGACAAGCAGTCGGTAGAGCAGTGGTCTCGTAATCCGGTGACCCGGGCTCAAAACCCAGGAGATGCGCTAGTGCCCTTTGGTAAGGTATTAATCCTCATTACCAGGTCCCTCGGGGAGGATCTAAAGCCGTCGGCCGTCTGGTTGCTTACTAACAAGCATTTATGCTTTCTTAGCAGTCAGGTAAAATAACCCCCACTAAATCGTATAAGATCGTAAATCCTTTCTTAGCAGTCAGGTCAACAACAAATCCAAACGAGAATTTCCTAACAAAAACTTACCACATCTGGTGATGACATCTCTCCAGCGTCCGACGGACAGGCCCATCACCTCGCACTCGCTGGCCAGGTTGACAAGCATCTCACAGAAGAGGTCGCTGTCGCTATCAGTGGCACATATGCCCGAGGTACAATCACTCATGTAACTGTTGCCTGGCATAGCAGCAAGACAGGTGGCGAAAGGAGCTACATGTACACAACGATGAAAAAAAGGAGGGGGAATAAAGTCTTTAAGATTGAAACTAAAGGTTTTTTATGAATCCTCGTCAAATGATTGGCTGAGAGTTGGTATATGTACTGTTTTGTGAAGTTTAACCTTTACATTTTTATTGCTACTAACAATGATGCATTTCTCTAAGACAAGAATGTGTTTTTAAAAACTTACAGGCATACATCAACATGACTGAATAGGATGGATTCACAATTTACAGCGCCCCCACTGGCAAACTGCTACAGGCCAATTTTCAGCTCGCGGGTCGACATCTTTTAACCAGGGAAGCGCAGCAAAACACACCAAAGTAGCCCAAAATGTTGTGGGTAGAGTCAATAAAACTGATTTTTTTTTAGAATCAGCACCAAACTTTACCCCGAATAAGCTATTCAAACTTTCCTTACCAAAAATTCTGATTAAACCCCCTTATCTCCTAGGGTATATAACAATGCCACAGCTGATTTATTTGTTGACCTTTTCCCATAATGCATCACGTGAAGTCGACTGAACACTGATGTTGCTAGATGGCGCTGTGGATTGTGAATCTACCGTATTCAATCCCATGGTTGTGGTGTATAATACACAGTAAACTGTTTTGATCTTTTACTAAACCATTTCGCAACAATCAATCCAAATTGTGTGGTTTGGCTAGATAATGTTTGATTCAGAGCCCTAACAAATGTCCGGTCTTTGCTACTACTATCATTATCATCGTGAAAATTACAAAATCTCTTACTGTTCATTTCGGAGCAAATTGTTTCCGCAGATAGCTTGGCAACATTGTTGACACAAGAAGGTACCTCGTTGCAGAACGGGCATGTTGCTGTGCACTGCTGTCCGGTCGACGCCCAGCTAAAGGCAAACGGAAGAGCACTAGCCACCTGCCCACATATAAAATTCAAAAATAAAAAGGTTGAGTTCTGGTAATGGTGTAAAATTACTGGACATTTCTTACCCTATGTCGGTTTGGAAGAATATCAAGGAAAAATATCATAAAAGAAATTTCCCCTGAAATGTACTGTTTTTCAATGCTCTCATATTTGAAATATCAAGAGAAATAGCTGAAATGTTTGGAACAAACTTTCATGTCACAAGTTTGTGTAGTCCGATATAACTATTTCTGTGTGCAGTGCATTCTTTAAAATTGGATTCGACGGACTTCGTGGAGCTATGTGGAAGAGGAGAAGCGGTCCAGAGAGAAGGCTCAAGACCATTTCATGAAAATAGAATGGCCAACAATGTATTTCTATAGACAAAAAAGGAGTGTAGGAAAAATGGCTAGGTTACAATGGAAACACTCTGTCCCATGGATACCATGTTAAATGGAATCCCCTTAATTGCATCAAGTAGTCAACACCTTTGCATGTTTAGAACCCACTGCACTATTCAAATAAATATAGGGGAACCCCACAATATAGTGGCTGACCAGCACATCGCTAGCTGATATACAAGGGGGGTGTTTCACAAAGATCCTAAGTTGAACTTAACTCTAAGTTGGACTTAAAAATCATGGAGAGCCATTTGTAGCGTTAAAATAAAATATATTCTAGAGCAAAAATTCAAGTATTTTAGACTTTTCATAAATTCAACATCAAGAACATGAAATCTCCTTGATAATAGAAAATATGAATGATTTGAATCAACATTTTTTGCCTTTTAAAGTAACTTTTACAAAATACTGATGCTAACGGCTTTCCATAACTGTTAAGTCCAACTTAGAGATAAGTTAAACTTAGGATCTTTGTAAAACACCCCCCTGGAGGAGAAAGCCAAGAGTTGCAGTTATTCGGGTTGTGTCAAATAATGCATTAAATAATAATAATAATCCACTGACCACAGATCCAGCTTGCATTCTGAAGTCGTCAGTTTGGTCATCGTTGAAGTTTCCGCAGAGCCCACACATCTTGTCCTGTAGGTGGCTCGGAACCTCAATCTTGACGGTGCGCCGGCCATCCCACCATACTCGCAGGCCAAATTCCGTCTTCAATACCTGAATGAATCACATTGCAATACTTTTCATGTTAACTATGTGGTATCATTTTGAGGGATAGAACAACCCCCTTCACTATTCCCAGGTATCCCTCTATTTTTACAGTGCGCCAATGACCAACTACTAGTACTCTCAGGGCAATGTCCGTCTTTACCACCTGGATGGCATAAATTACAATAAGGCAGTTCCATTATCACATTCACAACCCCAGAGGAAACCTTGATACTAACTCAATCATCCAATCCCCATCATGGCCAAAGTCTGTCTTCAACACCTGAATAAATTAAATCACAAAAATAATTGCTTTAACTACATTTTTTGCTTCCCCCTCCATACCCCTCCTCCCTCATTGAAAAAAATCTTCTTTTTAAAGATAATTTTCTTCATATTTCAGTGTTGGATCCTGGGTTAAAATTAGTAATTTACTTCGCTTAGGAAAATGAACCCATAGCAATGGTCAAAGGAGTAACGTTTTGTCGTTCAAACTCTATAAAGGCTCATTCAGATGCGAGGCGGTATTAAAACCACCTACAACAAGAAACACCATTACAGGTTATGTACATAAATCAATAAATGGACTGTGCGCAACAAAGGTCCTTCACTGAGCTCTGTGTTATAAGATACCGATATGTGAAGCAAATTACATTTTACATCATCTTAAATTTTAAAAACTACCACATTTTTGCTGCTTTATATCTGAATGAGGCTTAATTGATTAGACCGTCTTCTTACTGGGAAGTTGTTGCCCGCAAGGATGACTTGTACATTATTTCTGATGTAAGGAAAGGCGATGCGTTGTCCGTCCAGGTAGAACTCTTTCTCTCCTTTCAGCTCGTAGGTCTGTGAAAATCAAAGAGATAACACATTTTATGTAAATCAATTATATTATATACTATTATTGTTATTTGAATATTTTGTATTTGATTTTAAATAAATACAGAAACATCTGCTATAATAAAAAATAAAAATAAAAAAAAATAATAAATATAACCAACCTTTCCATCCAGTACTACTCTGATCTCCCTCCTGTTTGGTATGTAGGAGGCAGGGTCCGACGGGATGTTGTTAACGAAGACCTGGAAGCTGTCCTGTCCATTCTGATCGCACGTCTGGGATGCCACGTACTCGCATTGGCCGGGGAAGTAGTAATTCTTCTCATCGTAGGTCGTGATGGACGACGTTGGGTAGAGGACACAGGTTCCGATTTCTGAACCAGGATGAAAAGAAAAGTTTCTTGGTGAAATAGACTACTGGGCCCATATTCAATTCCATACTTAAGTACAAAATTTAAGCTTTTTACTCAGTATTTGGCTTAGATAAAATACCTTGTCAATTTTGGTATTTAGTTCAAACATGCTCTGCTCCCTGGGGAGCATTCTGGTCAGGTGCTATTTCACAAGCGCCAACATGCCAATCCAATTCGATTAACCTTTGCATCCTACCGGGTACCCATTTAAAACCTTGGTGGAGAGAGGCAAATGTAGATTAATGCCTTGCTAAAGGACATTAGTGCCGTGGCAGGATTCAAACCGCGAAAATCAAATGATCCACAGTTCGGTGACATATCCACTAGACCACGACACTTCTCTGATATCCCAATATATCGTGAAAACTGATTCCTAACATTGATTTGCAACTAGCTAGAAACGGTTTCTAGTCCTGACCTTCATCGCACATCTTTCCGCTGAAGCGTTCCTGGCAGGCGCACATGTATCCGCTGGTTCGGGTGTCATGGCTACAGACTCCTCCATTCTGGCAGGGACTACTGTCACAGGGGTTGTCGGCTGCAGAGAGAATTCACAGAAAATTAGTTATTATTATTTGTATGAAGGGTTTTACTCTCTTGCCACAGAGCATTAAGACTGGAATGGAATAATAACCCTCAACATCTTGATTGATAATCAAGGGATGAATTTCTTTCAACCACAAACTTATTATCCAACAATTATAAAGTGAAATATCATCTTGGAGAAGACAAAGGATGCATCCTATATTCATATGTCAAAAAGATTGCTTTTTTAATTCTACACTTTCTCAATTGACCTTTGAACCTTGACCTCAATGCTTGCTAATTATAAGATTTTTTTTTTTTCAAACTCAAAATTATCCAACGATTACAAGTGGACTTCAGGAAGAATGAAGGCTGTGACCTTCTTGATTCATATGTCCAATTCAACTCTTTAATAATTGACCTATGAACCTTGACCCCATTTACTTACCAAGGCAACCGAGAACCTCAAAGCGCATAGAAATGCGAGAACTCCAGTTCTTTGGGAGGATGCGGATAACTTCAGCCTTGACAGGCTTCCAGAAATAATTTGTTACGATGGTCTCCTTGTCTGTGTTCCCCATGAAGGTCTATGAAAAACAACAGAAGCAAGAAAGGGGCATATTAGTTAAAGCTCATCTGTACTAGTTTATAGGAGGGAATAGACCACCCTGCAAGGTCACTGGACAGGTGGTTATCTCATCAACTCAGCTCTCAATTGTCATAAGAAAAGGAGGATCATGGGGGACCAATGGTCACCGATTATGCATTGTTTTCTATATAGAGGGAGCAAGTAGCTACAAATAGTACAGTGTGGCTTTAAAGGGCTGTGATCACATTTTTCTTTCCTTTCCCCTCCCCGACATACGCATTGATGCATTAACCTATTTAATACCTGGCACTTAACGCTATTTCTTCGTACTCATATAAGTACAGGAAAGCTTTTTTTAATGAAAGTTTTGAAAAGTTGGTGACATACAAATAAAATACTGATGAAAAAAGTCCACTAAATTTGAAGCGTGGAATATGAGGCCTTTGGAGAATTTGCATAAGCAAAAAAGCCTATTCTTAATACTCTTAATTATCAAAATTTCATTGGTTTGGGAATAAAAAACATTTTCTTAATAGTATATTTCTCCAGTACATATTTGAGATCTCCTGTTTTCCTGCCTAAAAATTATCATTGTTATCGTTGTTTACCTGCATCATATCTTTATCATCTCTGAAGTACTGTGGCATATCACTACCAAGTGCATACTGAACAGCATAGCTGGTCACCCACTCCTGGCTGGAACCGCTGCCACCGCCTTGGGTCTGCAAGCCGACCACGTTGGTGGCCGCGTTGAGTCGGACCTGGATCCACTGACCGCTCTCGGACGTTGCAGCTGTCCATCCTTCGCCGCCCATGAACAGCATCCCGACCAGAGAGTAGAGGCGGCCTTCCGACGCTGGGCTTCCCTCGATGGCGGAGGAAGAGGTGATGGATGCGTCGGGGATGGCCCTACTCATCATGCCGAGAGGAGAGTTGCAGTCAACTGTGTGGCAGATGTAAATAATAATAATAATAATAATGATGATGATGATGATGATGATGATGATGATGAAGATGATGAAAATAATAATAAGGATGATAATATTAATAAGGATAATATTTACAATATAATAATAATAAAAATAATAATAATAATAATGATAAAAAAAATAAAAATGATATTGATACTAATAATAATTATGATAATTATGATGAAGATGATAATATTAATAACAAAAATAACAACTATTACATTGATAAAAAGAATATTAACAATGATTATAATACTACTAATACTACCACTACTACCAATAAGAAATAATGATAGTAATAAAAATAAAGATAATAACAATAATTACATTAATATAAATAATAGTAGTGATAATGATTATGATAATAATAATAACATTTTCTTTTTGTATAATGCATGCCACACTATTAAAGAGATACATGTAGTGTCCTTTTGTGCTCCTAAAGATCTGTGGAAATCATAACCAGGCATTAAATCAAGGAATATTCTGACCAGATATACAATTATTTAGACGTAAATCTAGGAGGAAAACTTACTTGATGGGCCTTGTGGTTCTCCGTCTGTAAGACAATGAGAAGTCATTAAAAAACATTAAAATACAGGTATAAGCTTTTTGTCTTGCACTTAACAAAGCAATATGTAAGAATGAACGAAGAGACAAAATCAAAGAAACAAAACATAAGTATAACATAGTGAAAACAATTTCTATGGGTAAAGGGTAATTCCTTTCATACATACATGTATTTCATCAGCCTGCTTCATTTAAATCTTATGGTCAAATTAGGGTTTAAAATTGCACTTGATATAAAGTGAGTCTAATTTCAAAACTATCTGCCACTGTAATAGGCCATTTTCGTAACCTTCATGTACTCATATTTATACCTATGTCTTTGTGAATTATCTCACCTGTTTATTATCTCAATAGTCAGAACTCAAATTGCATGCATTAGTTGTTGCTAGGCAGGACAAACAAAATGGTTTGCCCTACCTAGCAACACATGATATATGCAATTTGCATTCTGACTGTTGGAATACAATTGTTCGTAACAGGTATGAAACAATTCGTACCGAGGCACTAAGTATAAATTTGGTGTAATTACAAAAATGGCGTATAAATGTAGTAGCAGACTACATTATTACTGAATACATGTGCATGTCTACCTTCTGACAACCTAGCCTGTAGATTGAAATAGAAAAATATATTTTATCTTGCATTTGATAAAAATTAAATTTGAAACTGTTTTATTCAAATCCAGCATTGCAACAAAAAGGCAATACAGGATGTTTACAAAAACCACAGCATAGTTATTATGTATTTTGCAACGACACTAAATAAAATAATTAAGAGTAGATATAACTGAAGCAAAATCAGACTTCTACCAAATCACAATGTGACATTAACATATCAGTTAAAGGAGGATTAATATTTTGTAATCATTATTCTGTAAATGATAGCACTACTTTTTTGTGTGTAATAGCCAGCTACAACGAACAAGAGAATGAAATAAAATGCTTCATCTCAATCATCAGCTCATTTATCCCTTTTACCATATCTGTATAATAATCATCACGGTGGTACAGTCAAACCTGTCTATTAAACCGCCCAAGGGAAACACAAAAAATGGTCTTTGAAGACAGGTTTCTGTAGTACATGTTTCAATGAGAAACCAATTTCAAAGGAAACAAAAAAATGTGGTCTTTGTAGACGGGTGGTCACTAAATCAGGTTTAACTGTAGTTTGTACCAATTAAGCACCTGTCATCAAACTCACCACATTCGCAATCAAGCGTAGCCATGATGGAGTACTCCCTCTTCTCCTGTAGCTCCCTCTCCGTGATGAATGTAGTGGTACCTGGAAGAGACGACGCGATCGCCGGCACGTGGTTGTAGTCCACCACCAACGTCGCGGTGCTTGTAGGCCCGCCCTTGGTATAGGAGACCAAACCCGTCTGGAAGCTGACGGCCAGGAAATCACCCTTTCGGTATGGGATCGAGATGGCGAGGGTCTCGTTGAGCGTGGTAGGCGTAACAGTCTGACTGCCGACGAGGATCAGCATGTTCCTCCCCATGGAGCGGTAGAAGCGCACGTAGAACGGTTCCAGCACGCGCACCAGGTAATTGATGGAACCCTTATCGCCATGGCACTGCATGGGGTCGCCGTAGAAGATCACCGTCTTGTCGTCGCTGTCGTAGTTTGGACGGGCAAATACGTCAAACCCGTAGATATTGTCGCACATCTCAGGAACCTCTGCTACAGGGATTACACATACCATTCATGTTAAGCAAAAAGTAGACTCAAAACCAGCTTGTATGAATGTATTCAAGAAAAAAGAGTATATTTACTTCAAAATGTAACTAGGTAGGTACTTGCACATGTAGTAGCATTACACAAAAGTATGGATATTTTTTTTAACTACCAGATTGTAAACAATACATGTGTAAATGTTTATTTGCTGTAAATTTGTTATTTGAATGGAATAAGCTAGATTATTTGATGAGAACGGTTTCCTCTGTCAATTCATTTAAGAGATTGTTTAAACAAAGTTGTAATATGTGAATGGCTCAGCTGAACATACACTACATGCATGTTCTGTAGTATTAACATGATTTATTCACATAATTGCGACTTAATCAAAAAAAATTCTTTTGACATTACTGTTGAACTAGGTTAATGATATATGTTTATTTTGCAAACAAGTATTATTTTTGCAACGTCTATTATTGCTGTGTCATATCTTTCTGAATGTACCATGGAATTTTATTCTAACTGTTCTGTATAAACTTTATGCTTTTTAATGTAAATATGTTCATGTTTATTCAGGGCCCCATGGAAGACCACTACTGTATGGGCTACCCTCACAAAAGATTAGAAATAAATAAATAAAATAAATAAATAAATATACTGGTATATTTGTTTTAAATATGCACAAAAACAAAGGAATACAACCTTGCCATGATTATCTCCCTAGACAATTTACTTACCGGTTGGCGGTATCGGTTGACCTGCTACTGGTGGCGATGGTACCGGTTGGCCTGCTACTGGTGGCGATGGTACCGGTTGACCTCCTACTGGTGGCGATGGTACCGGTTGACCTGCTACTGGTGGCGATGGTACCGGTTGGCCTGCTACTGGTGGCGATGGTACCGGTTGGCCTGCTACTGGTGGTGATGGTACCGGTTGGCCTGCTACTGGTGGCGATGGTACCGGTTGGCCTGCTACTGGTGGCGATGGTGCTGGTTGGGCTGCTGTGTTAAATACATTATAGAGGCAAACCATAAAAGACCACTACTGGTATTCCAAGAATAGCAACAAGTATCAAATCCTACTGACAAACTCCATTTACACAAGGGTAATTAAAGGTTCAAAAGTAATAATAATCAGGAGCAGAGAGCAATTAAGAAGTACGTGCATGTATTCCTCAGACCCTTATTTGTAAGTAGTTGCATATCGATCTGAACTGATGCCAACTCAAGATTGGTAATAAGACAGGCAACTATAAGTTTCTGATTGATTTAATGACTTATGATAATCCATACAGAATGCAGCTACATGTATATAGTTTCAGAATGGGGCTCTGTATACATGCTGCAAAAGAAATCTAAAAGGAAAAGAACAAGAAAATGTAATTTTTTGCCCCAGGGAAATTTCATGGGGCCCTGAATACCAGGTGAAAAGCTTGTCCTTAAGAAGATCTTCAACTAAAATTTGACGTATTTGCAACCTACTTTAAGACATGGCTCAAATAAAATAATATATAAATATATCCAAAATGATAAAATCAATGTTATAAAGATCAATGAAATACTCAAAGTATGTGTAAAATGTACTTACGCTGGTTAAGTTGGAACAATTTGCTAAGGCTAGGCAGATCTGTTTTGATTGTAGAAAAAGGAGAAATTTAATTATCCACATGATAGTCATGATTCTAAAATTTAAGAATTTAAAACAAACAGTTGTGGTGATATTTTAAGTACACACAAAATATTACATGCAAATGGCACATTGTAAATTTATATAATGATGAATGAGGTGTATATCTTTATAGTAGACGAATTTGGAGAGTGAACTTAGCTTTCATATTTCAAAAACCTTTAAATGTAAAAAATGTTTTTAATGAAAACTCAGTATTGGGTGTTTAAAGACCTATAATATTGAAGCTCTTTGTGGTCATGCAATTATGAACGCTGTTGGAGAATGCATTCTGGAGAGTGTTTCACAAAGACTAAGATCGACTTTAAGTTCGAATTAAGTTAGCTATGGCAGGTCGTTCTTGCCACTAGTTCCTCTAACCATTCCTGGCATTGGTTTCTTATAGGGACGTACAAATCGTGGTTTCAAATCTACAAATTTAACCTTTTTTGATAGTTCATTATTGAAAGAAAAAATATTATCTAAATATCATAATCGAGAGACCAATGGTACTGCAACCAGTGGCATGAAAAGCCTGACATAGTTAAGTCCAACTTAAAGTCGGTTTTAGTCTTTGTGAAACACCCCCTGGTGTATGTAAAACTGCTTGAGAGGGGAGGTTGGAAAATTTACCTTTGCTTTCAAAATTACAAAATGTACTACAAAAAAATATTTATATATATTTGGTTAAATTTCCAATCTATCGTCTTTTTTATATATTTTATTTATCTAATTTGAAAATGTATAAGTTTCTATTTTCAAGAAGAGACACAAGGTTTTCTTTGTCCATAAATACTAGATTCAATATTAACACGTGCTGGGCAGTTATACTGCTGACAGCACTAGAAGGGGTAATACTCCAAACTCACTAAGTGGGGCTGGGGCTGGGACTGGGGCTGGAGCTGGTTGTCCTGGGGCTGTGGCCGGGGCTGGGGCCAGATTAAATTGTCCTGGGGCTGGAGCTGGTTGTCCTGGGACTGTGGCCGGGGCTGGAGCTGGTTGTCCCGAGGCAGGGGCTGGGGCTGGGGCTGGGGCTGTGGCTGGGGCTGGGGCTGGGGCCAGATTAAATTGTCCTGGGGCTGGAGCTGGTTGTCCTGAGGCAGGGGCTGGGACTGGGGCTGGAGCTGGGGCTGGTACTCCTAGAGTAGAGCATATATTCTCATCAGATCACAGCAAAAGTGGTAAATATATTTAATAGCAGACACGCACAGGTAAATGTATGCCTCTTTAAAAGTCAATCAGTGAACCATAACACAAGGTAGAGTCCCTGCCAGCAAGCAGTAGATGGCAGGTTCAAGTCCTGCTGGTTCCAAGATTTTTTCTGACTTGTTTTTCAATACAGATCGATCAATCGATCTTATTTACTGGGTGTATAAGCCACAAATATGTTTAAATAACACAAGATACACATGTATGAGAAAGCATCCACTTAATACAATATACATTGTTAATGAATGATTCATACCCTACAGAGCATATGATTACTATGACAAGGAACTATGCCTCCTTTCAGTAAATATGATGGAGTAAAAAACAGCAAAATGGTAAAACTATTTGTAACTACATGTACATGCACCACTTCAATACAACCATTGCTGGCATTAACTATACATGTTTACTTACACATATCCTACATCAAAATACAACACATAAGCTTAGATACGCCTACGCATTCTAAATGTACATTCTACAATCATACCATATACAACAGTCGGCATTACACGACTGTAAGAATACACCTGTATATACTTATTTAATCAACTCTCTACTTTCTCTGTTTTTCACCTTTTTACTACACAATTCATGTGGTAACTGTATCTGTACATTTCATATGTATATACATTATATTATGGTGTTTGTTGGTTTACTTTGTTAAATCAAATAATGTTTACAATTGTTTTTTTTAATAGTCGTGGGGGGGGGGGATGTCTATATTTTACAAGCTTCTCAGTAGACCCCTCCACATTTTCTTGTAGCTTATTTGTTCTTGATCTGAATCTGTCCACCATGCTTTCTATCTTTTTCTCAAATCAATGTAGATTTTTGTCATAAATATGAACAATTTTTTAAATATGCATGAATAAATAAATGAATACATAAATGGTAAGTAAATGAATAAATAAATGACAAATAGTTAGAAATAAATACTGTATATAAATAAATGAAAATAGATAAGGAAATTAATCTATAAATAAATCAATCAATAACAATTTATTAAAAACATTTATATGTGCAGTACATGTGTCCAAGTGCTTACCCTGGTTGAGTGCGAACAATGAGCCAAGGTTGGGTATTCCTGTTACAATGGAAAAAAGGAACAAAATATTAGCAAAACTAATTAGGAATGTAGATGAAAATTGCAAGGGAATTTCGAAAGCCTAATGTGCAAATTCCTCTCCACTGTAAATGCATGATGTCCAAACAGCCCCCCCCCCCCAAGATTGCTTCAAGAAGAGTTGTTGGTGAAGAAGGATGCTGAATACACCCTCAAACTGAAATTCGGATTCCTATTGGACTTTTCCACAAAAATTCATCGAAATGCAAGATGGAACATCAAAATATCTTGCAAATGTATCTATTGAAAAGATTAGAATAATGAGAGGATGAATTTAACAACTTTCGTTCCTGTTTCCTTTTCGTCACTACTACCGTTGGTCAACATATCGTCCTTGTTTTCACGAAGTGACGGTAGTGAGGAAAATCGTAACGCAAAGTGAATGCAATTTTTTTTCACTACCGTCACTTCGTGAAAACAGCGACGATATTAACCCCTTCCATGCCATGCTGCACAACTTGATTGATCAGCAATGCGTTTTAGACCATACAATGTTTTTCTCTATCAAATAGGTACATGTATTTTCTCTGTAAAATTTATTGCTGGGGACTTTGCTTAATGTGTGTTGCAGGGATTTGCATGGTGAAAATCTCGAAAAATAAAGCTACAGTCTATTGGGGAAAATTAATATGGTAAAAACCGGTCACTCAAAGATTTTTACTTTTTTGAGGCACTTCATGATCATTTTGAAGCGCAATTTTCTTAGGGCTTCAATGTTATATCATATCACAGACACTGATAACACGCAGGGCCATGTATCTCAGATTTAACAGTTTTAAACGATGCCTTTAAAAGAACTCAAGATGGCACACATATTCACAAGGACATACACTTCTGCTTCTTTCCTCACTAATCTACTCGGTACTTCTACTTCGATCATCACTGATCTATTGGAGTATAGAGGGTCTAAGGGGTGGTTTGAGCTTGTGGTTAAGCAACTGGAAAGTTATAAATTTAGTAAACAAAAGAGTGTTCCACATGCAAAAAACATTCTAGCCTTACCCCCTTGTGAAGTGCTAACTGGAGAAGGTACTGGGGCGGGTACCACAGGAGAAGGTGCTGGGGCTACTACTGGCTGTCCTCGTACTGGTGCCTGGACGATTTCTGTAAATCCTACTTCAGCTATGTCATAGGTCACAAAAAAATAAAATATGAAGTAATTAAATTGAATTGAATTCCCATCCACAAAACATGAAATAAATGTGTACAAAATGATACAATCAAGCAAAGTGGAGGGTAACAAAAGTATAAATACTTACCTACTGTAGGTTATCCCCTGATAATAACAACAACAATAATTATTATAATGATTAGATTTATGAAGCACCTTTTCCACATGATACACAGTCCCTCTAGAATGCACAAATCAAGAAAACTATCGAGGTACATGTGTATGTTTTCAGAAGTTTTTGAAGAAGTCAGGTGAAGTTATATTTATTAGAAATGCAGGGAGTTTATTCAACACGCATGGGGCAACAGATTGAAAGTATCAGCTCATTTAGTGGTATGATATAGACTTTTTACTTTTTACTTTTTTCAGTACAACTGCTCTGGCAACTCTCCTGGAAATATAAACAATGCCAAAGGACATGAGAGAAAAATGGTTGCATAACTTTTAATTAATTAAAGGTAAAGACCAGTATTGGCAACGCCCCAATTTCAAAAAATGAAATGGAAGCTCTCATTACCAATCATGTGAAAGAATATGTTTTGACTAATACATGATGATAGAAAATTTGCCGGGAAACCGCCTACTAATTCATATATTTGGTAAATTTATTTCTCTCATGGTCTGGTGAGAGAGATAGGGTAGTCCCATATACATCTTTCTGTGTATAGTGCTTGTAACTTTACGAAGAATGGGTCAAATTTCTTATCATTTTGATGATTCCAGAACCTTGCAGATGCTAGATGCTAGATGATCAACCTTTTCTGATCGATTCCACAACGTTTCTTTCACAATGCAATCGCATGACCATTACTGGTCTTTACCTTTAAAGTTTCCATTGCTGTCCTTCCTTTTGGAAAGTTCTCAAACATTGAACAAAATGTCTCAGCCAGGAATCACACCTGGGCCCCTGGATTAGAAAGAGTGCCGTGCCTTAACCACTAACCCATCTCTGAGGCCTGGTGTTTTTTTTTTTAAATACATGAATATATATGTAAAGCCTCAAGAAAATACAAAAAAGAACAGCACTAACAATGATAACGTTATGTAAATGAACATATAAATGTGATAATTGCAGCTGTTATTAAATGATGTGAATATATAGACATGATATATAATGAAAATCCTAATCATCTTCATTTTTCTTTAAAGTGGGAAGGTTCTTTTACATTTTGAGAACCCCCCCCCCCAAAAAAAAAGAAGAAAAAAAGAAAGAAAAAAGAATAGAATCATACACTACCTGCTGGTGACTGGGAAACTGTAAAAAAACAAACGAGAAATGAGGATAGAAAACACAGTGAGTTGAAATGATTTTTAGGAGCCTCATCATAATGTGATTTTTTATTCAGATTTTCATACAAATTTATTCATGTCATATTATACAAATGATGCATGCAAAAATGAGTTCATTATACGATCTACTAATCTACAGAATACATGAGCCAACAGGTTCCTTGAGGCAATGGGTTAAACTTTGAATTTAAATCTTCAAATTCAAACAACAGTTGTACGACACTTGCTCCTGCGACAACCGCTCCACATCAAATTCATACACTAACCGATTCTTAACTTCAACACTGGACCCAACACCTTACCTAACCACAACTCTATCCTAAAACCCGATTTCAACTTTACCCTAATCATGTACCCCTGACAAAGTAAAGCCTAATAGTTTATAATTTATAATGCGCCTCATACATGTACTTTGTTTCTAGGCGCAGCACTTATTATTACCCCGGTCATCGGATTCAGGCTTACCCGCAACACAATGTATGCACATTTTCCACTCCCTGGGGAGCAATCAAACCCAATCAAACCCAAAATCAAATCATCTAAACCATTAGACTTACAGCATTGTGCCATTGGCACACATCGCCCTGCCTTGAGAATGAACCCGGCCTCGCACACGCACCGTTCGACGCAGGGTAGATTGCAGTTCTCCTGTGCGGTTGGGTTCTGGCAGGTGGCTGGGCATGCAGAGGCGCATTCCTCGTACACCATGTTGGAATCACATTCCATGACTATTGTGAAGATGGAGAGATAATATCAGGAATTAAATTGGAGCCATAACTATTATTATCATCATCATTCCTACTATTATTTCTATCATCATCATCATCATCATCATCATCACTATTTGTTTTATCATCTGTCACATATACAAATTACTACTCTATGTTATACAAAAACAAAAGATTATTATTATTACTATCATCATCATCATTACTATTAATAATATTTGTTTTTATTATCTATCTTTATAAGATGATGATGTGGATCCTAACCAAATGATCGGTTGAGAGCATACAGGTGACCTAGCTGGCATTTATTTTGCCTAACACATAATTTGAATAATGACCGGCCATTATATGAAGGTAATGACCGGTCATTAGTAAAAACATCATTTTATAGAACAAATAAAACATAATCTTATAAAAAATAATACACATCATTTTGGTGTTTGGGTATTAGTAAAATTACCCACTCGGTACCTTCAAAACAGTCCAAACACCGTTAGACTGTTCCTAAGGTACCTGGTGTGGGTAATTCTTACTAATGCACTCACTGCTGTGTATCATTTGTATACTATTAACTATATGAAAGCATAAAAAGATTACCATTACAATTATTTGTTTTTTTATCTGTCACCATCAACATTACTACTCGGCATTATACGAAAGCATGAGAAGATTATCATTACTACAACATTTACTGGTATACTCAAGGACCCCATCAGTGTCAAATTGAGACCTTTGGCTCAGGAGGCGCAAAGCATCTCAGCTTAATACAATGATTCATGTATTTTAAGTGAGGAAACCACTTCTCGAAGAAAGTGGTTTGGGGTGCAGGAGGAGGTTATCACCCAAAATGAATTCTTTGGAGGGGAAAACTAAAACTTTTTCATAGAATACGTCTACATCTTGTTTGTTTCTAATATTGACTTCCTTTGATTTCCTAACCTGCTACATTTTTTTCTTTTCTTTTCTTAAAGTGACTCGGCAACATTACCTCAGATTCTGAAACAAAATCCTGGATTTAGCTCAAGCTACAATCATAATTATAAACCTTTAGGTCAGTCAGGAATTCCATGACTTTTACAAGCTGATCGCCTGTTTGATTATCAAGATATGTATGATTGGAAATCAAAATTTCATTTTTTGTTTTCCTAATGGTTTTTATAACACTACAGTCTATTGGGGAAAATGAGTGTGGTAAAACCGGTCACTCTAAGATTTTTACTTTTATGAAGCATTTCATGATCATTTTGAAGCGCAATTTTTTAGGACTTCAATATTACACCATATCACAAACACCAATAGCACGTAGGGTCACGATCTCAGATTTAACATTGTTAAACGATGCCTTTAAAGAAATCTGCCATAAGAGTCAAATTGCAAGAGTACCCACCACATCCGACAGTCTGTCTCCAAGGCATCAGATTGATGTTCCTGTTCTCACACCTGGTCACGTAGGCTTCTAGAGAGTCGCAGTGCCCTCTGGAGCGGCACACGTCATAGCTGCACTCATCCAGGAACGCAACCAGGGGTTCAGACGCCAAGCAGTTATCAACTATGCGAGAGAGAGAGAGAGAGAGAGAGAGAGAAATAATGGATGATTTTGTTCATGGTCTATCGAGCGGACTTTGCTCAAGAAAATAAATTAGTACTCATAAAACAAATGTATAAAATGCAATTCTGGACATTAAACATGGGTGAAACAGCCCCCACTGGCAAATAATGATAACAAGGTCAACTTTTAACGCGCCTCATACTATGTTTCTAGGAGCTATGGTGCTGTTGTCCTAGCAACCATTAGGTAAAGCATAGTAGTAGTCATGAAGTCATGCAGCGCTTAGAGACTTCGGTGGTAAGCGCTTTATAAGCAACGTTTTTATTGTTATTTATTATTAGTTCTGCCCAATAGACAGTACCAGTACAACAGTACCAAAACTACAAATTTACATGATACTGTACATAATATAAAATACTGACATAATATGAACTTCTAGATAGAAGCAAAGAAAAAAGAAAGAAAAGATAAACACAAACAAATCACCAGAGACAGATGGTGGGAAGTGATCCAAAGTTATGAGTTTTTGACTTACATAGATTACTGCTGAAGTACACACTGCATTGCTCTCGGGCTTGGTCCCGGGTCATGGAGACACATGCATCTTCTGTAAGTGGAGTTGTACAAGTTGTGTGTTGTTGTACAAACTCTTTGGCAAGAGCAGTGATCTGGAGATAAAGGATAATGGCAGAGGTTTCTTTCTTTATAAATATTTTTTCTTTTCTTCTTTATGGTAGCTTTTAATATGTGTATGTAGTGGCATGAAAAGTCACTGCGGAATGCAAAATGCATACTTGATGAAAATCATGATTTGATCACACAAAATACTTGGACTATCTTGATTAGACTTAATGTTACCTAAACTTATATGTACATTCAGATATGTGCCCAGGTCTACCTTGGGGCTACGTACCCCCATTTGAATACTTATATATCTCCTTTGCCTATGGATGGTTCCTACCAAGTTTGGTTAAAATCCGGCCATGCATTTTTGAGAAGTTGAAAATGTAAAAAATGCGATCGCAAAAGCTCAGGTGAGCACAAAATACTAAAATAAGGCAGAAGACGAATCTATTTCCTTCATGCGATACCTTAACCACAGAAGAGCAACAACTTATTTATGCAATTGGCATTCTGAAAATTGCAGTACAAAGGATATGAGCAGGTAATTGAAATACTTCATTACCACACATTTGGGTAGGGCAATGAAGCATCTGTAAATTTGAATACATTTACTTGATAAAGGATTTGGCATATATAGTACGTCACGTTATCAAGAATATGGCAATGCCCATGTCATGCAGAGAAACTGTTATTATGATAAGAATATCCTTCTTAATAACTCTCTCATATACTATGGCGGGAAATCTTGCAGGTCAATGGGCAATAAACCTCTCAGAATAAATATTTATTTCCTGGGGTTAACTTTCGCTTTGCCACAGAGGCACATATATATATATTTTTTTTGCCTAGTTTATGATGTGCGTCAAGTGAAACATTTTCCACGGAATTGCATACTGGTACTTCTATCGGACATGTAAATTGGGTCTACTGCCCGCAAAAGTATGTCTCTGTCGTTTTTACCTCGTCATTTTCAAGTTCAAAATCATTGTCCGCGTCTCCGTCGTTGTTCCCGCAGAGACCGGAGAGGGCGGCTGCGTCACCTGTCATTGTGATGAACAGCGTACCACCCTTCTTGTACTCTATGGTCATCCCAACATTCAGAGTGACCGCAAACTACACGGAAGCAAATACAAGCAACAAATTGATTAATAATGATAATGATACTAGTGATAACAATAATGATAGTGATGAGGATGATGATAATAATAATACGCCATTCTTATATAGAGCATATCACAACTATATTTATAAGTCCCTTTGCGCTCATAGATGATATACACAGAAAAACAGAAAACAGTAACAATATTAATAATAATAAACATAATAATGATGATGAAGACGTTGATGATGATGATGATGATGATGATGATAATGATAATTATAATAGTAACAATAAAATATCATAAAATATCAATGTAAATACCAACTATTAATAATCATGTTCTGCATGTCTCGTATTGACATGTCCTTACAAGTATACAGCATTTCTTAAAAAGATTATATTTTGATTGATTGGAAGTGATGAGTTCCAGTCATTTAACAGCCTTAAACATTCATATACAGTCAAACCTTCTTTAGTGACCACCTGTCTACAAAGACCACATTTTTTGTCTCCCTTGAAAATGGTTTCTCATTGAAACATGTACTAAAGGAACATGACTACAAATACCCCTCTTTGTGTTTCCCTTGAGCGGTCATGAGTTTTGTGAAAAATTCATGCAGTATGTACATGTCAACATGTTTTGAATACGGAAAAATTAAAATGGGAGTTCGGAAGGAGGGAAGGTGGGTGGGGGGAGGGGGGGGGGTGGTCAGTTACCTCTCCATTTCCTTTGTCTGAGATCTGGAAGAGGGGAGCTGAGAAGTCCAGTGCAACGGGCAGACCGTCTACCCGGACATCCTCTCCAAGTTTGATCATCTGAATACAAGACGTTCAATTTAAAATCACAAACTCATTACAACTCAGTTACAAGGTGTTATTCACAAAGCAATCTACAATTAGTTATTGACCTCATAAATGATTTTTAATTTCTAAGTGAATTCCTGAAACTGCAGACAGAACATAAGTGGTAGGTATATCTAAATGTACCAATCACCAACAAATATTTTACTCTGCATGTTTAATAGGGGTTCCATGATGGTACGGTGGACCCCCTCTCTGTTTCCAATATGTATTCCTTAATTGTTGTAAATGATTATACTTGATTTGTAATGTTTTGATGGAAACAGAAATAACATTGAAATTAATTGAGTTGAAAAAAAAGTAAATTATATTCAAGATACAGATTTCCAATATTACTTCTACACATTTTCTCCTCACATTAAAGCGACCTGTGAGCAAAGAATACGATACAACCGTATGTGCTCCCATATAACAGGGCCAGCATGGAACCCAAGTCTTATTATTCTTTATTTTCTTCCTTGTTAGCACAGACAATGCTGGGTATCAAAACACTTTTAGAGTTAGTTTCACATATTCTACCGGCCTGTACACAAATCATTTTTGAGGTGATCGGTACGCTGTATTATAACATGAAAGCACACACTTCTCACCTGAGAATTGATCTCGATGTGAACTTCCCCGTTCCTTGCGAGGACGTCAAAGCTCTCCCCGGAAGCGGATTCGTGTCTGACCAGCACGAACGTGCACTCTTCATTACCGTTCCGACTGATGGGGAACTCGTAGCGTTTGTTATCAAACGTCATGAAATGAGCGCCTCCAAAGTGGGAGCATACGGCCTCACCTAGAAAATTCATTGATAGAATTGATAAATAATTATTTGTGAATTGAAAGAATGAATGAACTAGTCAAATTCTTTTTACTTTAATTTATAGAAAATCGTAGCCTTTTTACCTCATGAAGTTAGCACCTCCAAAGTGGGTGCATGCATCTTCACCTAGAAAACAATTCAACAAAAGCAATTTACATTTTGTGCAAAAAAATTGCTAGTTTTTCACCTTACCGTTATTAACGTTGTATAAACCGCCCTCGTGTATTAACCGCACCCCTCTTTTTTGCCTTAAAAAAAAAAAACTTTTTTTGTTGCCGACTTTCTTTTTGCCGACTTAAAAAACAGTAGAGGACCTAGGATAGAACCTTGTGGTACGCCGTGTAATAGAAGAAAAATTTGAGGAATTATTATTATCAACTACATATTGAAATCTATCAGAAAGATTACTTTCAAACCAAGATGACAAACAAATTTGAGTGTTGTTCTAGTTTCCGAGTGGTGAGTCAACACACCGATTACTGAGCTGGGAGACAATGCTAGGCATAGCGCCAGGTGGAGGGGCTTAAATCAAAACTTTTTTTTTGTTGGTGTACCGTGTATAAACTGCACCTCGACTTTGAATTTTTTTCGGCGGCAAAAAGGTGCGGTTAATACACCGTTAATTACGGTAATCTATAGAGACTCATACCCTTTATTTTTCAAGCGTTATGAAGTATCATCTAATTTGGTGCACACGGCCTTACTTAGAAAAATAATTGAAAGAATCAATTATCCTTTTTTTGAAAAATTCACAAGGTTTTACTTTGATTTATAGGAGCCTGTAGTGTTTCTGATAAAATGTCATGAAATGAGCATCGCTAAGGAGAATGCATGCTGCCTCGCTTAGAAAATAACTGACAAATTTATTTTTAAATTTCTTTCTTGCCATTATTTCAAACCGCATCTTACCGCCAATCCTATACATACAAATTCTGGGCTAGTTGCATAAAAATAACCATTGATGGTAACTTTGCCGTCAATATTAACTACCATGGCAACATATCACTCAACAGTCAATCAAATCAAAGGTTCCATGGAAGTTACCATTAATGACAAAGTGACCATCGATGGTAAGTTTTATGCAAAAGGGCCATGTGGGTAATCCCTGGGGCCCCCATACTCACGTTCTTCGCAGGTAGGTCCTGTCCATCCGGAGGAACACCTGCAGAGAGATGCACCCATGGATCTGAAGCAATATCCTCCATTCATACACTGCAAGTCAATGCAGGCTCCAGTTCGTCCGGTCTTCTCGATAGAATCGGCAACGCATTGGTACCTGTAACATTCAAATGCCATAATCTTGGTCATAAAATGGGGGCCTGCTCGCTATTCTTAAGGACCCCTATTTATAAAAGACCGCTATTCATTTAGTCACGCGTTATGGATAGCGGTACTTTTGAATAGTGGTCCTTATGAATGGCAGTCCTTATGAATAGTGATCCTTATGAATAGTGATCTTTATGAATGGCGGTCCTTATGAATAGCGGTACTTATGAATAGTGGTCCTTAAGAATGGCGGTCCTTATGGATAGCGAGATAAATTGTCTATGGATTGCTTGCTATTTAGGAGGGCCCCTACTCATAAAGGATCGCTATTCATTTTATCATGCGTTATGGTTAGCTGTCCATATGAATAATGGTCCTTATGAATAGCGGTCCTTATGGATGGCTTGACCCATAAAATGAGCGATATCAGCGCAATTCGTTCTCAACTGCTCAACAACAAACAACTTTTAATCCATCTACTTCATCCTTGCATGAAAACCTTTCGATAAAACCATTAAATGGTAGTGGTAACAAGATAATCAATGGTAATATTAACAAAAAATGTATTGTTTCCATGAAAGTATGTAGCATGGAACACTTGGCATAGAATCACCCAAAGAGGTTTCTGAAACTTAAAACTATTATTAGCATCATCACTTAAGGCATGTTTCGCTTAAATTGCTACATGTATAATATAAAATGCTGCAGGTTTTCTGTATCATACGTAAAAGGGCCATCAGAAGTATCAACAAGGAAGACTTACCTAACCGTTAGAGACTTGGGGGTCATAGGGACGCATGGGTCATTGAAGACACCCGCAGTGACCTGGAAAGCACAGCTTGCCTTTCCTTGGCAGCGCTGGAGCACCTCAGAGAAGGAGTTCTCGGAGTGGCAAGGGGCATACGCCTGACCATCGCTGCAGGCTGTGGCTGCTGCCGAGTAGCCGTAGCTGGCAGACATGAGGTCAATGTACTGTCCGTTGGGACATGCAATGCTCATCACTTGGGAGTCGCACACGTTGGTACCTGGTGGGATGATGAGATTAACGATAGTGAAGATGATGCTGATGATGATGATGATAATAATAATGATGACGATGATGATGATGAAGATGATGATGATCATGATGATGATGATAATAATAATGATGACGATGATGATGATGAAGATGATGATGATCATGATGATCATGATCATGATACTAATGATGATGATGATGATGATGATGGTGATGATGATAATAATGATGATGATGATGATCATAATAATGATGATGATGATGATGATGAATAAAGGGCAATGTTTCCCATTGAATCTTGGCTCAGTAGTAGAGTAGTCTTGTGCCCTTTGGTTAGGCATCAATCCTCATTAACAAGTCCCTTGGAGAGGACTTCAAGCCGTTGGTCCCCTGGTTGCTTATACTAACAAACATACACAAGCTTTCTTAGAAGTCAGGTAAAAAAACAACCAACCAACCAACCAATCAAAACCAGTTATAAAAGAGACCCCTTCGAAGTTTGAACTGAATAATCAGTATACAAGGATCATCTGCTGATTAAGATTATTTCTTTCCTCGCGTTAACTTTGTACAAATATTTGACTTGAAGAGTGTTTCTCAATGATACCTTTGTGGAGAGGAAACCTGTACAGAAAAAACATCAGTCTATAAAGACCTCTTTCTTGTTTTCTTGGGGATTTACACTGTATAGACAGGCTACTAGTGCTTCTTACCGAGACCCTGTAAAGGGAACCTATGCACACAACATATCCTGCCTATGAAGCCCCCTCATCTTTTTTTTCCACCAGGGTGGTACACGAGAGGTTTAATCATGTAACAATTTGAATTTTGATTGTACAGGTTTGAAAATCTGCAATAGGTTACTCATTCTCATCCAAAATTATTAATGAATTGAAATATTAGTCATGAAATGGGTTTGAAATTGCTTCAAAATATGGATCAGATTGTTTCAGCCTTTAAAGCAAGCCCTGGAGCCCAGCCATCAGCATTAATTAGTTCATACTCCTTCTGTGATGTTTCAGGTTTTTTTTTAAATTTCGTTTGTGGAACACCATAATTCCATGTGTGGCCTTCCTTTAATACAAGTCTATGTGGAGTTTTCCCCTCATGACCTTGGTACTTACTGGTAGCAGTGGGGTAGGGGAAGCTCCACGTAGAAGGTGAGTTAGGTCCGGAGCCAAAGAGGATGTAACTGAAGGGATGCACCATTCCAAAGTTAACAGCTCCGATGGGTGTCTCCCCACCGCCGTTCTCCAGTTTCAGAAGCTCGATGGTGCCGTCCGCGAGGCCGATGCGGAACCTAGTGGGTCCATCCGTGTTCAGGACGCCAGGTGTTTCGAATGTGATCTCCTCTTCGTCAGCCTCGAAGAAGCTTGTCTTTCTGTTTCCATCCTTACCAATAGCTGGAAGGAAAAGTGAAAGTGTGATAGTTATACAGCGATGATTGAACAAGTGGGAGTCCTTCAAAGTTGCCACATGCATATACATGTAGCTCAAAAAATAACTCTACATTGAATTAAAATGCAATCATTTAAAGTAAATGTTTTCTTGTTACTACTCAAAAACATACAAAATTACACCCTACACTTTCTGCTGTCCTTGTCTGAACAAAGCAAAGTCGAGGCAGGAAGATACAAAAATGCAACGTTTAACCTGGTGACATCAAATTTCTTCAACTTTGATAGTATACTGGTACAACAAATATCAGGCAACACTCTTTAATTTTGTTGGCCAAGATCAACCCTAACCATTCCTCTTTAACTTGTACGGACACACAAATGACCTGCCTGTATCATGTTGTATTTTTCATTTGATACTAAATTATTCAAGTTAGTTAAATTGTTTCCCATTTAAAACTCATCCAAACGAATGTGAAAAGGGTTGTCATGTAGCTAATCACACAAGAAAATGAGTATTTTTTACAAAGCTTCGGTGTTCCACAAGGCAGTTCTTTTGTGAATTGGGACCTTTGTCTTTTTTTGTGTGTATGCCGATCTGCATGTGTGTCAAACAGTCAACCATGCAAATTGGCACTGGTGGCAAATGAAAGGTTAAATTACGAACCAATCTCATATTCTGGATACCCGTCTGGATCGCTGGCGAAAGCAATGTAGGCATCGGACGGCGCATCCACCGAGAACTCGATCCACTCCTGGCCGGGCTCAAGGCGAGGCAAAACATTCATCAGATGCCGGTCTTGGCCGTTGGCATTAAAGTAGAAGGTGTAATCTACGGGGAAAGAATTACAACACACGGTTTTGTACCAATAATCACTATATATTGTCTGTTGAGAGTCAAAAAGGACAGTACCTTCTGACTCTCTGTGAATGATGGATATACAAATCATATTTCATAATGTGTACTAAGTTGTAGCCTCTCAACAAGAACATACTTCAAGCTCAGGGGACACAATGAGAACATGTTACAATCATACAATTTCAAAATTAAACCCAAGTCTGAAAATTGTACTTGTCTAGCAAAGAATTCCTTCTTGCCAATAAATTATTACAGAATTAAAAAATTTACAGTACAGGAAGCTACAAAATAACAGGTTCCCAGCATTTTATGGAGAAAAAAAACCTTGATTCCTTGATTGTTTTTTTTCTGATTTCTCCCTGATTTTTCCCTGATAGAGTCTAAAGTTGACAGGATCATTAATCCAACCTAATTGCAGTTTAAAATGTGTTCAATAAACAGTACCTGCCAATCATCCTATGGATGTGCTGTTTGCACACAAGACACATATATTAAAGACTGGTTACTTAATTCCTTTAGGGCCCAACGAAAATCCCTGATTTTCCCTACATAATTGGATTTGTTTTCTTTGAATTCCCTGATTGGAAAATAGGAGGAACTCATTTTCAAGGTTTTCCCTGATGTCCAGGACAGCTGAACACCCAGGGTAAGAGGTATGACAGTGGAAACCTTACCTTCGACTGTAGGAGCAGCCATGCCTCCTGGATTCAAAGAAAGAAAATGGAAACAAAATACATGACACGTAAATCACATATTCACATTTACAAATGGGAAAGTACAAGGTATGGACATATTAGTCAACAAGGGTTATTGAGTTGTAAAAAAAAAGTGACAACAAATATCTTTTCATTGGTTGTTTTGAATGATTCAAGCTCTAGAAGGGCTATCAGTTTTGAACAGTCATCAGACAAACAAAAATCTGAGATGATGTTGGTAACATATGGGATTAAATCGCTTGGACCATAACAAATCTTTCTATTGACTTATAAAAGTCCACACAGTTTTTTGTCTGTTTGTTTGTATGTTTTAACCCTTCCCTTGTTACAAACAAAATTCTGAGCAACAATTACAACTTTTAATAACTTTGCCAACTCAGAATCATTTTTAGCTCCTTATGCTGTACCACAAAATCAGTGTTTTTTGTGACTTTTGTTACAGTAGTGGAAATGCAAATAACTGTACGTCAATGAATATTAATTTCACATCTACTCTGTACTTTCACAATCACATTAAACTCAAACAATTATTTTTTTCTATTTGTTTTTTCCCTTTAAATCATTTAGTATCTTTGTTGTAAAGACTTTTTTGGGCTTGCGCCTAGTAAATAAAGGTTACGTGCTCGATCTTGTACTTGAAAACAAGTCAGAAAAAAATCTCGGAACAAGCAGGATTTGAACCTGCCCTCTATTGACATAACATATCATACCTTGTCCACTACACCTGAGTGCAGAGACCCTGAAGGAGCCTGTGTCATCAGCGCTGCTACCAAAGGTCACGGAGGTCACAGGAAGCTGATTCTTGTCGCTCAAAATACCTTCATCGGTCAAGGTAGAATTCATGGCGTTAGCATCGCAGTTACAGCGAGCAGCTCCAGCAGCACATCCTGTTTGAAAAGGCAACAAAATGTATTTAATAGTGGGGCATATATCAAGGTTTAAAAGAAAAAGAGGTTCATGGGGGACCAATTAGGCACCGATTAGGCATTGTTTGCTATATAGAGGGCGCAAGTAGCTATAAGTAGTGCAGTGGGGTTTTAATGGAAAGAGAAATCCTGGATTTGCTCAAGTGGAGTTTTAACATTTCTATGACTATCATTTCTTCATATTTCCAGTTTGCAATGCTTATCAACGATCTTGACTATTGTATACAGGTGTCTCCAAAGCTCCCTCCTAGCTTAGCTCTCTCAGCATTCCTTACCATTCTGCATGACCTGGGGAGTGTTTCACAAAGAATAAGATCGACTTTACGTTGGACTTAACTATGGCAGGCCATTCATGCCACTCTTTGCTTTCACCATTTACTGGCATTGTTATCTCAAGGGACGTACAAATTGTGGTCACAAATCTGCAGAATTTACCATTTTTGATAGTTCATCATTGAAGGAAAAAATATTATCTAAAGATCATGATTGAGAGACCAATGGTAAGAGCAACCAGTGGCATGAATGGCCTGCCATAGTTAAGTCCGACTTAAAGTCAAACTTAGTCTTTGTGAAACACCCCCCTGAACTGTTGTTTAAGCTCAGACTGTACTAAACTCCATGTGCCCAGAACAAACAGTGAAGTGGTGGATTGACCTGCCACGATCTGTGCGCCTATCTCCTTCATTAAATGTTTTGAAGAAGGCCCTCAGAACTTTCCTATTCCAAGGATTATCTTTAATTTTGCTACTTGTACTTTAGTTTGTTTGAACTCTGTGAAGCGCCGTGTAACTGTTTAATTTGTGTAAGCTTTTTACTATATAAATGACTGTGTTATTATCATTATGTTATTATTATTATAATGAACACTAGTTGCAGGCACACAAGGCATACGAATGCCAGTTGTCCAGTGTAAATACTGTTTGGACACGAGACAAAATTTACGAGCCTGACTTTCATTTTTGGCCAAGGAAAGTCCCTGATTTTTCATTTCAAGGTTTTCCTTCATTTCTAAATGGAAACTAGCCCCAATACTAAGCCAAAAAAAAAAAGTTTTTTTTTTTATATGACTTCAGACTCTACTTGTTAGTTGGACATGAACAAAATGACTGAACAGAGGGAGAACCCTCAAATTAAATCATAATAAAATTAGGCCAGACTTTAATTGTCCTCATTTTGAGGACAGTTAGACTCTGCTCTTTAGCTCGGGCTCAGTAAGGGGCTGCACATGACTGAGTGTCTGTCCTTGCCACGGACAGACTCTCGTGACGATCGTGGCCCTGGCTTACGCAATAGAAATTCCAGATGTGCTCAAGGACGAAAAACAACAGCTATAAAGCGAAGGACGCATCAACTTTTTTTTGACCCAGAAGGATGTTAACTCATATCATTTATTTAAAACCTTTCTGGTTCCAAACAGACAATATGTCAGTTACTTTGTAGGTGACCTTTTCTAAAAACTCACCTTCGGCAGATGACATGCAAGCACATCCTTTGGTTCCTGTAGGCACACCACCCCAGTTGACCATCTGTCTGCCATGCCTGTCCGTCCACCATGCTTTCTGCTCTTCTCCAGACCAGATGGGGGAGCCCTTGCAATTGAATTCGATCTCCTGCTCACACTTGTCCGATACCTTCAAGTTGTCATAAAGACAAGAAATGCAGGGAAAAAATTGGGGTTTACTCGTCATAACAGGAGGTTTACACATCACAACTGGAGGTATACAAATCACAACTGGAGGTTCGCACATCACAACTGGAGGTTTACACATCATTACGGGAGGCTTACGCATCATAACGAGAGGTTTATACATCATAACTGGAGGTTTACAAATCCTAACTGGAAGTTTACAGATTATAACTGGGAGTTTATGCGTTCATTATATCTTTTAAAGGGATGTGAAATAGTTAATACAAAAGCAGGAAGGTGGTGTGTGGAATGCTTTCTCTACTCCAATTTCCCTCACTTTTTAAATATTTTTTTTCACTTTACATTCCATTTTTGTGCCCGCCAACTGTATGCGTCAGCAAATTAAAAAAACGTAGCAAACTGACTGGAACAGATTGAATGGGGCCTGCCTACCCTTGCAAGTGCAGCTATCTGTGCAATAGATGCATAGTTGTATTTAAAACGTTGTGTGAAGCCGTCTGCGTCAGCAAACAAGTAGCCCTCGTCATCATGATGGATTACAGTCTCCGCTATGAAAGAAAATAAAAATCATTTTATTCCCTGTTTGGACATGACATGGTAGACTGGCGGGGATCCATTTCCCAGAGATGCCGACCTCTTGACACAAAAAAGAAAGACCGAGTATCCTAAAAAATCAGATTTTCACGAAAACTTGACACTACCACTGGCCTGTCGGCACCGGGCCAGTAAAATTTCAGAAAAATATTTTACTTGTAACACTCTAAATAAATGAGAAAATTGGAAAGCAAAGTTTTTGTCGGGGTTGCGGGGGTTTACTTTTACATGTTTCTACATGTATGCAATTCCGCTGTTTTTATGGGTTTAAAAAAAAAAATGAAGATGAAAAATAGTATTTAAGAGGTGATATCGTATTATCCTATCTCACTCTTATTATCGTACTAAATACGATTTAATCTTACTGGTTGCCATCTCTGATTGCCCCATTCCTTGGCACACAAAGAAAAATACATGTACACAGCAAATTGTCATTTCAATTCACTGTCTCTGCTCTGTAAGCATAGTAATGTAGTGCTCAAGAGAACTCTAACCCCTACACTAAACCACAACATGATTAAAAATTAACCCTGATCTCTCTTGAATTCAGAAAGTTTTGAGAACAAAGGTCAACTGCCTTTTCAGTAAGGCCACCACACGGTGTAACAGAAAGCCTTACTTTGTGAATACTCACTCACCATAGAAACCTATAGAGAACATCTAAAGATCAATTTTTCAGGATTACAAAAATTAAAGAATCACTGAAAATATAGATTTTTTTTCTTCTTCTAAATGGTATGTACATCTGTAACGGTAACCAAAAGCCCTTATTACAATAAATATCAATGATAATAACAAAGCTAGGGGACTAATCTCCAAGAAATTTGATACCAATGTTTCCATCCATGCGATTTTGTGGATTTATTCTGCAACAAAGTTAAATTGCATATTAACTTCAGGAGAAAAAAAAATACATACCCATTTTCATTGGCTCAGCTCCTGTGCACAAAACAAGAGAAAAGACAGGAGAGAGAGAGAGAGAGAGAAAGAACAAGAAGGAGAAAGAGAGAGAGAGACAGAAAGAGAGACAGAAAGAGAAGAAATCAAGCAAATATGTTAACATTATATCTTATGACATAACATAAACATCATCTGAGCAGCAAATTTGTTTTACTTATTTGTGAAACCCTTATTATACAGCGACTGCTGGTGTGACCAGCTATCGACAATTATCTGTTGGTACCAGAACTGCATGAATATTAAATGCTTCTTGAATATCATCTATCTACAAAAGGGTGCCATAAACTTGACCAATTGTGTGTTCATGCACGACAAAAAGGGAAATTCCAGCTCAAATATTCTATTGATAGCTTGTATGCTTTTAATCATATGATGCCAAACAGTCACACCAAAAGCTATTATCTTACCACATCAAAACTTACGACTGATGCTGTATCATTCCGCAGTTCTTTAAATATTAGTCGTTCTTCCATTAAAAACATCATAGGTCAGATATCCAAGTTTGAAAATGAACTAAAAGTCTCTGGTATAATCTCATCACTAAAGATCAGGGCCATCTCTTATATAACAGGGAGTTGCATTTGATCCGGATTTATTACAAGTCTCTCAAATTGATACCAATTTGTGATCAATTTCAATGAATAATAATAATAATAATAATAATAATAATAATAATAATAATAATAATAATAGTGTAAACTTATAGAGCGCACACACCGTCCAGGGACGCTCATGGAGCTAGCTCAGCAACAGTTCTCTTTGATACAAGTAAAGTAAACAATTTTGCAATATTTATATAACCCATTTCAATCCTCAGCTCTGCCCGGTGCCCTCTAGCTGCTCCGTTCACTGATAATTTAGGGGCTAACCCAGTCAACACTGTTTATAAGAAACAGTGCCCTGCCCGATTCAACCATCAGAGAAATTTACCTGCTACAGACTCCTCGTAATAGAAATCACAGAAAGCTAAAAAGGGCGGAAGGCTTCCGCTTTCCTGATCCGGATCGATCCAGTAGTACCCTGAATAGGCGTCCCGACCCAAAGTCTCCAAGAATATCAAAACGTCATTGCAGGTCTTTTGCGTAGGAACTGTTATGTAGAGAGAGAGAGAAGAAAATACTTCTAATTCTTCTTTGTAATTAACCACAGAGTGAATACACAAACACACACATGTGCAATGAGAAAGCTAGATACTTGAGCAAAATATATAGGCATGATCGAAATACATCAGCTTTTTAATAAAAGACCTCATCTCAGTTGCCAAGTTAAAATTGAATCCTCTTTATAAAGCATCATTGTATCTAGAATCTCACTAGCTGGCCCATGCATGTACCAGAAGTAGTTAAAGTTGCTAGCAAAGGAAATCATGATGCTACTTTGTGTTTGATTGATAACAAACTTTAAGATTTGTATCTATCAAATTATTTCTGATATCAAAATTTCACTGATATTTTCTCTTAAATATTGTCCAAAATCAGATCACTAATTGTCAGTCAGAATCAATTCGTCGCTGTTTTCACAAAGTGACGGTAGTGAAAAAAAATTGCATTCACTTTGCGTTACGATTTTCCTCACTACTGTCACTTCGTGAAAACAAGGACGAATTGATGGGTGAGTTCTGACATCCAAATTCAATATAAAAATGTGCGCTGATATCAGAACAATCAATCTCTTTGAAAAAGTTACAAAGCTCTGACCACTTTGGTCATGTAGAATGAGATACCAGGGTGGACTTCAACGAGCACATTTGTACACAGAAATTGCAAAGAAAAAATAAGTTTACATACCATAAAATGCTTCAGCTGGTTTTTCTGAAAAATAAAGAAAAGGGAAGATCAGATGTTATTAAAGAGACATTCATCATCATCATCGTCATCATCATGAGGTGACGGCTACAGCCGCGATGGAATTCACTCTATGACGCCACTTGCCTTTTAGTCCAGGCATTTCGTGAAAAAAAAGGGGTCAACCTCCCACTAATTGCAACAGAAAGTCTGTCAACTGTTTTATACCCAGAAACATGTCCTCTATAACATATCAAATGTCTTAAGGAATCCTGGTGGGGGAAAGTTCCGTGGCGGCCATTTTTCAAAATGGCCGCCATGTATAACTACTGTTGTACAATTTTGGGGATTACTTTTTAACAGCACCTCATTTTACCATGCATAAGGTGTCATATGAAAGACAATTACATTTCCTACAAGATGAAACCTCATTCAAGAGGTTTCGGGATGATTTGCTTACCAATTTTGAGCCAAAAGTGTGATTTTTTACCATTTTTTTTTTTTAATGTGAATTGCGCCAAAATACTTATTTCTCCATTTTTATTTGATTATTATACTAACCAACTTGAAACTTGCCGAAAAACTGTTTAGCATCCTGGTTGATATCATATCCAAATTTCAAGTCTATTACTCTTCAAACTAAAAAGTTATAGCGCTCTAAAGTTGAAACTTTGTTATGAGCCAAAATGGCAAATTTGGTTGCTAAGGGCTATCTTCTCCTTATCAACGGTAACATATTGGCGTGAAAAATAGAATATATCACGAGAAACTGCTATCACCAAGCAGATGACTACTTTTATAGGAAGTATGATGTCCAATGATGCATTTTTATCCTATTTTAATGATAAATATCGCTTAGTTCCCGTTGCTGTGGTAATAATATGCCTAGTAACCAATATAAAACACATATTTTTGTTGTAAATCTATTTTTCCCCATATCTCTGCTTCTAAATAACATAGAGTTTTGATTTTAAGTGCTAAACATATATTTCCAGAGACAAGGAATCAAATTAATTAAATTTTAATGAGCTAAACCTAGCCAAAAAGCCGAAACAGCAGCCATTTTCCAAAATGGCCGCCATAAACCTGATATTTCGCAATACATGTATCTCCGCTTCTAAATGACTTAGGGCTTTGATTTTCAGTGCTAAATATACATTTTCTGGGCCCAGAAATCCTTTGAAACACATTTCAATGAGCTACATGTAAACCTGACAAAAAAGCCGAAATGGCAGCTATTTTCCCAAATGGCTGCCATAAACCTGATAATTCCCAATATTTCTGCTTCTAAAGGTTTAGAATTTTAGTGCAAAACTTACATTTTCTTGGGCTAGGAATCCAATGACACACATTTCAATAAGCTAAACCTGACCAAAAAGCATTATTCTGAGGATGTGTCAACTATATATCATGGCATGTCGCATGCCTGATGGACAACGTACATGTATAGGTCATAATTATTATAATACTGCATGTAGTTACATGTACCATATAGCCTCAGACTACCATCTTCGATCCATCAATCTTCCTTAAAAAGTCTATTCATTGTCATCACTGTCACATGCAACTTGGGTTGAGTTCGTGCATGCTGACCCTCTACAGTTGCCACATGCAGCTGAGCTCTCCATGCTCTGCTTCTTGCAGGTGCACTTCAGACTGCTGCAGTCTGTCTGGCAGTTGCAGCGGATCATCTTGAGGAGCTCTTCCGGAGCTGGTGGCAAGTCCGTCTGTACGGGCACGACTCCTCCACTGCTTTCCCGCCAACCCCAGTCATCTGGTCGTAGCTCATCAGCTGCAATGCCCTTCCACTGCCGGACCTGGTAGTAGACACGAAGGCTGTGGTGTTTCGCTGCTGCTGATGTGGGCGGTAGACTTTGGGGTTGCACATGAGAAATGCTGGAGGTGACCTTCTAGCAGAACCGCTTATGTCGCGCCACGTTGAGTGACTCTGCAGGCTAATTCCCATTGTACAGGCATGCCAAGGCTTTTTCTCCTGCTTCCATCTACAACATCATCAGTGGACGCTGTCGGTCTGTCAAACACAATTGCTTGTTAACGGAAGTGCGCACAGGTTTTGAATTTGTGAAGGGAAGCTCCCTTGTCAAAGCCATGCACGTGGGAAGTAGTATCACATCCCAGGAGAGCGTGCATGACGAAAATGTGCTGTACGTGATACATCGGGGCCTAACTGCTGTTTGACAGACTTCATGTTCCAGACACGCGGTTTTTTCACATTCTTCTTTGGCTCGGGTTGGAAGAACAGGTCACATGACTCGAGGTTGGTGTGGTAGATGAGCAGGATGAGTAGATCTGTGTCATCTTCGATCAGCACAGTATCAGTGGTGGCTGCAGACTCCACTGCTTTCTGCACTATGAGGAGATCAGCGTCACCTGCAGCATGATGTGTCTGGCAGTTCTTTGCCCATAGTTTGGTGCTGAGCATGTTGATGAAGTGCTGCTTATTTGTCTTGTTCTTCATTGTAGCCTTCATATCTTCATCAAATGTCACCGATGATCCAGCATTCCCTCTTGCACGTCTTTGGTGTGCTGTGCCCTTTGTTGATGTACTATCCATCAAACACGACTGTTGCCTGTTCATACTTGTTTGGGATATACTCTGTGTATTGCGTGCAGATACATTTGTTTGTTGAGCCACGTGCCCATGGAATATGCTAAACTAGTGCCCCACCATCCAACACCTTTGTCAGAAGTGTCCAGATAGCATCTGCTAGCACTGGCTTCTGTGGCCGTCGGAGCAGCATTGTGGAATCAAACAGAGCTGATGGGTAACTGCACAGCTCATATTTGAACACAGACTCTAGAGTCTCTGTAGCTTTTGCAGCAATTGTCAGTCGCTGGAAAAGCAGCTGGGGATCCACTTGTACTGCCTCATCATCAATCTTTACTGCCGATTTCAAAGCCAAGGTGATGGCCTGATCCTTCCTCTTGAATGTGTAGTCAGCAGCAATTTGTCCATCCATGTTGGTCAGGATTGCTGTTCCAACAATTTTTGCTGAATCCACATTGACTTTGCTGGTTGCATGTACCCCTGTCGAAATGCTGCGCAAGCCCGGATCTGAGCTGAAGGGTGTTCTCTCTTTCAGACAGCTGATAACTGCATGTGTGTCTTTTATGTCACTTGCTTGTCTAGCATTTGTCATGTCCTTGTTTTGTTCACCAGTGTAATAGTTGACACCTGTGAGCTGTTGCATAGCATTGTTGACTTCAGCACAGGCAGGCATGGAGAGCAGCCATATGAGACGCTGTTGTCATGCCTCGCCCTCTCGTCAGGCCACTGCTGGTCTTCATACTCCTCATTAGGACCTGTTCGATGGTGAGATCTACGGACAGACCAGCCCATAGGCAATCACTTCTTCTGACAACATTGAACCCTTCTTCGAATCGTTGGTACACATCTGGATGTTCATCCTTGAGCTTGCTCATTTGCTGCACATAGAGGCGGATTGATTTGGTGTAGAGGTTGAGCCCAGAGGCTGCCAGGTAGGGCAACATCTCTGACACAGCTTCAAGGTGCAATGCCCAGTTGCCAATACGCTCTGCTCTAATAAACTTCCGTAGTATGTCAACCATCTCCATGTACTGCAGCCAAAGTGTGGCGGTCCTAGAGGACTTCAAGGATTCGGTTTGGGCCTGGAAGAGCTTCTTGATTCTGGTTAAAACATCAGCTTGGCAGAACTCCTCTGCAGACACAGAACCTTCCATCAGATTCTTGTAGAGTGCAGCACGTTCATCAAGATCAGTGTTTCCAGTTCCGTTTGTCGTAGGCTCATCATCTGGTGACACTGTTGCCTCATTGGTCTCCTCCACTTCATGTGGATCTACAGATGGTTTAGGGAGTGGCACACCAAGTGCGTTTGACAAAATCAAGGCGTTCAGTGCTGCATCAACAAGTAGATGTCCCCGTATTGATCGTGCAATAGCCTTGCTTGACATCCTGTGGCCACCGCGTTATCTGCATAGATTGCTTCCCAAGAAACTCATTTCTGTGTGAAAGCCTCCCAGGCGCAAAAGCATGTCATTCAAAACACTTCCTGTGAGCTCAGTCTCGATGATCATGAGGGCTAGCCACCATAGTGGTTGGTCAAAGGTGATGATGGGTGTAACACCATGGGGGCAAGCATGCTCACACACAAACTTCAGTGTGGAATAGATGCAAGTGACATCGCTGGGATTCATGTCGATCATTGGGAGAAACATCACCCATGATTTCCAGGGGTGGTCACCATGATGCACAAGCTGCATCAGTTCAGACCATGCCGGTCTTGGTGAGGTGAACATAACGGATGTCTTCCACAGGAGATCAAGTTCTGCTGTTGGGTCCTTTGCATTCATGTTGACCACCTTCTGGTATGCCAGTGTTGTCGTACCGCGGCTCTCTTCTTTGTGGTAATGGATAGGAATTTGTCCCACCATGGAGATATCGCTGGAGGTGACCTGCGCCCTGAGGGTAGGTCTGCTGGTTTTGGTGGCTGGGGTTATGGCAGCAATCATCCCCATGCCATGGAATGTGTTGTTACCATCAAGGGTACGGATGTTGTGGTCTACATTGTCTGCAGCATACTGGACAAACTCCGAATTGAAATCAGGTATGTCTGTTCCATGTGACATCACAGCATTAGTTAACACTGCAGACCTGGTGGTACACTGCATCTGCAGCATGAAGGTCATGCACATGGAGGACACGGGCTTTGACTGTTTCTGGCATCCTTTCTTTCGTCACAGGATTCCAAGATATTGTCCTTGAATAATTATGACCTATACATGTACGTTGTCCATCAGGCACACGGCATGCCATGGTATATAGTTGACACATCCTCAGAATAATGCTTTTTGGTCAGGTTTAGCTCATTGAAATATGTTTCAAAGGATTCCTGGGCCCAGAAAATGTATATTTAGCACTGAAAATCAAGGCCCTAAGTCATTCGGAAGCGGAGATATTGCGAAATATCAGGTTTATGGCGGCCATTTTGGAAAATGGCTGCCGTTTCGGCTTTTTGGCTAGGTTTAGCTCATTAAAATTTAATTAATTTGATTCCTTGTCCCTGGAAATGTATGTTTATTACTTAAAATCAAAACTCTATGTTATTTAGAAGCAGAGATATGGGAAATATTAGATTTACAACAAAAATATGTGTTTTATATCGGTTGCTAGGCATATTATTACCATAGCAACGGGAACTAAGCGATATTTATCATTAATATAGGATAAAAATGCATCATTGGACATCATACTTCCTATAAAAGTAGTCATCTGCTTAGTGATAGCAATTTCTTGTGATATATTCTATTTCTCACGCCAATATGTTACCGTTGCTAAGGAGAGGATAGCCCTTAGCAACCAAATTTGCCATTTTGGCTCATAACAAAGTTTCAACTTTAGAGCGCTATAACTTTTTAGTTTGAAGAGTAATAGACTTGAAATCTGGATATGATATCAACCAGGATGCTGAACAGTTTTTCGGAAAGTTTCAAGTCGGTTAGCATAATAATCAAATAAATATTGAGAAATATATATTTTGGCGCAATTCACATTTTTGGAAAAAATGGTAAAAAATCACACTTTTGGCTCAAAATTGATAAGCAAATCATCCCGAAACCTCTTGAATGAGGTTTCATCTTGTAGGAAATGTAATTGTTTTTCATATGACACCTTATACATGGTAAAATGAGGTGCTGTTAAAGACTAATCCCCAGAATTGTACAACAGTAGTTATACATGACGGCCATTTTGAAAAAAATGGCCGCCATGGCACTTTCCCCCACCCGGATTCCTTAAGACTTTTGGTATGTTATAATGGACACCTCCAAGAGCACAAAACAGTTGAGACATTTTCTGTTGCAATTAGTGGGAGGTCATATCAAATTATGCCTGGACTTTATTTCCCCATCATGCTCTTATGAATGTCTTTTAATTCGAGATTGAAATTACAGGTACGCTGATTTATATCAATGACCAGCAAGTTGTACTCTGTATTTAAGCCTATCGATCTGCACTAGTTTGGCAATGAGGGATTAGACCTCCCTGTATGGTCACTGACAGGTGGTTATCTCATCAAATCAGCTCTCAATTAACATAAGAAAAAGGGGACCATGGGGGACCAACGGTCACTGCTTAGGTATTGTTTGCTATATAGAGGGCGCAAGTAGCTATAAGTAGTGCAGTACCGCTTTCAAGAATAATGTGTGAAATTGGTGGTACATGTATCTCCACATACATGTACGTAAACCTGGAAAATGAAGAAAGATCTACAGAATTGGCTTGATGGCACCTATAAAAGATCCCTCATAAAAGAACACACTATCTCTTGGCAAGAACATAAGGCCAGTTAAAGGTAATACAAAGTTTTGGGAAATTTTGAAAATTGGGTGGATAGTGATTCTTTACAATTTTGATATATTTGGATGCCCCTGTGAATGTATTATAAACACTAGAAAATTTAGCCCCTAAAACACTTCTGCCTTCGAGAAAAATTGAACATAAAAATTTACCGGTGCTCCCGGTAAATTTTGATAAATTTCAAATAGCGCCTACGGCCGTACAATGGTAGCTGCGACCATGAAATTCTCAGAATAATTAGTTGTGATATATAAATTCCAAACGGGAATAGCTAATCGGTAGATTTTAGTCAAGAAACATTGTTTTATAGCTTTATTAATTGTTTAGCCTGGAGAGGGAGCTATACATCATAAAGAGTTTATTATTTACAATTTCATAACTATACACTCGATTTCAACTGTGACAACAATCACTGAATATTGTAGATTCGCATATGCTTAAAATATGTTCATTTGAACGAAATCCATGACCCCATACCAAAACTTTATATTACCTTTAAGGCCCAGATATATAACAATAATATTTCGGTTTTATATAGCGCCCAATACATCAATACAACGATGTGTCTAAGTGCTTTACAGATATATTATTACCCTGGTCATCGGATTCAGGCTTACGCGCACACAATGTATGCACATTCTCCACTCCCTGGGGAGCATTCCAGCCAGTCGCCATTTTACAAGCGCACACTTGCTCATCCAACCACATTAAATTTCGCATCCTACAGGTATATCCTTCACAAAATATTAACACTTTGGTTGCTTTCTGCGTCTCTCTGCATGGTAGCTCCTTTGCCACACATGCAATTTTTAACGAAACAATACAAACAAGTTGACAGAATCTTTGCTCTGTGCAACACACAATTGTTTTGCAAAATTACCCATTTTTAATCTTGAATAGCTCCATGACAACCCCTTTAACACAGGTATAGATTTATCTTGTACTGGACAGATTTAAATAATCTTGAAACCTTTGGCTCATCTTTCACATGACAAATAGTACGATGTGAACACAGGGGCACTATTTGCGTGGAAATTGTACCAGGGGAGTGTTCACAAATACTAAGATTGTTTCTATGGCAGGCCATTCATGCCACTGTTTGCTCGCACTATTGGTCTCTGAATTAAGATCTTTAGATAATGTATATTTTCCTTCAAAAATGAACTATCAAAAAATTTAAACTCTGTAGATTTGTGACGATTTATACGTCCCTTGAGAAACTAATGCCAGAAAATAGAGGAACTAATGGCATGAATGGCCTGCCATAGTTAAGTTCAACTTAAAGTCGATCTTAGTCTTTGTGAAACACCTCGAAGATAGTTCAACTTACGATTGACCATTCTTGATCCGTTGCATTCAAACCCTCCTAGCTCCAAGGAGTTGCCCGGTCCCATCACCTCCTTGAAGCTGAATCTCTTGGCAGGTTCATCCAGAAAGATCTCATCAAGGGTTTCATGTCCAGGGAAGGCATCACAGTTGCACAGCTGAAAATGGAGTGGAAACATAATGTAGTGTAAAACCAGAAAATGTGCACAATCATGAAACGTTCGTGAGTTGGAGCTGATGGCCTTTTTTCCAGCATGACACATTCGCAAATTGCTCACCAAGAAAAAATGAATATACAGTGCGACCAAGAAAAACGAAACGAGAATTATCAATGTTTTGTCATAACTTAATCACAATTATAATTAATAAATTACACATATTTGTAAAGCTTAGATCCCCCTCTTTTCATTTCATATGATGCATATTTAATGCATGAGTGATTAAAAGCAATTTGAAGGAGGGAAACCAAAAAGTCATTTGGCGGGCGGTATCTGAATTTGGAAGAAGAATTCACATTCCTAGAAAGTTCAGTTTCTGCCCTCTCATATGACACCTCAATCAGGAAAAATGAGCAAGGAATAACAAAGTTCTGTTTGTTTAAAGTGGTGCTTGAATTTCCATAATTTGATTTTAAAAGTTTGTTTTCACTGGCTGTCTGCCATAGCAACAAGAAGAATTTACAAAAGACTTAACTCCATATCTTTGACATCAGCCATGCATGAAGTCTTTCGTCTATGTCTGATCGTCAACGAAACAGAGTTGGGTCTTTTGACAATTCCGTTTGTTGCTACGGCAGGCAGCCAGTGAAAACGAATTCGTTTGACGTTGACGTTCAGACATGTGGAAAAATACTTGTATTACGATCAACTTTGAAAACAGCTTCTATGACCAAATCCCATCTCAAGAAAAGTGTTTTGATGTGTAAGTGTTTGTTTGGTGGCACCATTGAAGTTGACATTCAGGACACTTTCCACATTAAAGACAGAATTGAGTCTTTTAGGCCAGGAATGTTAAAATGGATTTTTTTTTGTAAAGATTTAGTTTTGCCATTACGAGGTGAACCATTATAATTCTACTCACCTTCCCTTCATCACATCCAGCTGTATTGAAATAAAAGGAAGAATGAAATCTGTGATTAGACAAGTCAATAATAATAATAATAATAATGGTAATAATAATCATCATCATCATCATGATAATGATAATAATAATAATAATGATTATAGTAATTACATTAACAATAATCATCAAAATCATTACAACGATGATGATGATGGTAACAATGATGATGATAATTATAATTGATGACTATATATCACATAAAAATATTTCATTCCCTATGGGTGTTTTACAAACAATGTAACAAACTAAATTAACTTCAATCGAATCATAAAGAAAAAAAACAACACTACCACAAGCAAGCTAAATGTTTAGGAGTTTTTGATATTATCTAAATACATAAATAAATGTGAAGGACGTTGAAATTTCTAAAGAGCAGAATTCCAACATTTATTCCTATACCTCTTCAACATAACGCTGGTGTTAAAATAATGGTACAAAACAACACATTCATTACAGCATTAAACAGAGTTTTCTATATCTTTCTTCACCTGAAAACCTACTTAAGTAAAACTAATACCAGGTGATAATAATAGTGAACATTTGACGCTCCTAGTGCCTTCATGAGAAATACAATATAACTATTGGCATACAATTACGAAGTAACTTCAAAACATAATTCTGGTCATTTTTGTCATTTTTGCATGATAGTTTAAAACACGACTTTTAACAACAATTGCAGGAGGTCGTACAAATAGAAATGAATAGCAGATACAGTTCTGGGGGGTGTTTCACAAAGATCCTAAATCTTTGTTTCACAAAGGCTCTAAGTTGGACTTATACATTATGGAGAGCCATTTGTAGCCTTAAAATAAAATATATTCAAAAGCAAAAATTGAAGTATTTTAGACTTTTCATAAATTCCACATCAAGAACATGAAATATCCTTGATAATATAAAATATGAATGATTTGAATCAACACTTTATGCCTTTTTAAAATAACTTTAACGAAATGTTTTTGAAGATGCTAACGGCTTTCCATGATTTTGAAGTCCAACTTAGAGATAAGTTCAGCTCAGGATCTTTGTGAAACACTCCCCAGTAAGCAACCATGCACTATTTACTCACCGGCCCTGAGGCTACAAGGGCATCCTGGTAGAGTTGACCCGGTGCCCCAGCTGGTCCTGACCATGTCGTCCAGACCTGTCCAGGTGGCTAGAGCCTCTTGCGTGTCGCTGAAGAAGGGCATATTCTTACAGGTCGGCTTCACGTACTGCCTGCATTCATGCGAGATGCTGGCAAGGTCGGCCATGAATCTCTCCGATTCGTAGTAGGTTGGCTCAAGTTCTTTGTTGTTTTCATTCAGAAAGTTTACGCCCATGAGGTCATGTCTGATCAGTGTTGTTCCTGTTAGAGGTATCAAAGAAAGAGGTATCAAAGAAACATGCATGGTGTTCAAACTTTTTTCACACGATTCTCAGCTTTTCATGAAAGCTTCCTTGATATCAGTGATTTGTTGAAGTCCCCTGATTTATTCTCTGACTGGATAAAAGGGAATTCACTCGATAAATTCACCCCAATTTTCAGGACAGCTGGAAACCTTGTTTCGAAAACCACAGATCATATTTGTGAAATACATGTATCTACATGGGCACTTTAATGGCAATGAAAAGAATTACATGTACATCTGTTTTCTTTGTAACTTGTGTGTGTCATGGATAGTTGTACCACACTTGCTCCTGCAACAACTGGGCCAATTTCCTACACTGATCAAATTCTTAACTTCAACCTTGGATCCAACACCGTACCTAATCCTAAAAGCTTAACCTTGATTGAATAACTATGACGTTATAAAATCTAGACCAATTATCACAGGGGCTGTGACATGTACATTATACCAGCATTTTTCAACCTTCCTTTTTTATTTACAGCAATCTTTTAAGAAATTGTATACTGTAAAAAACTAAAACCATCAACCGTTTTCCATGTTCATCTGAATTATCAGTTTTTTTGTCAGGGTGGAGAGATTGCATAACAGCATTCTTTTCTCAAACATTTGCTGATTGTGGGGCACATGCTCTGGCTAAAATTGTTCCGTGGTCAACTTTGCTTCATTTGTCTAATTCCAAGTTTCAAACCAGGACCCAACACTAACCTTTACACTAGACACACCAAAAGACGAATTCAAAACCCTAACCCTAATCCTGCATCTGTGATGGACTGAATCGAATTATTGTGATAAAAAAAAGACAATGAAATAAAAATGTTGCTAGATGAAATGTCGTATCATAGTATCCTCAGCACTGCACTGTACTTACCATCGGTTTCACAGAAGACACTGGCTACCCTGCCAGATGCAGGGTTAGGGTTGATCTTGTAGAAACCACGCTCCGCAGGGACACCCATGTATCCATACATCAAGAGCTCATGGCAAGATCTCAGCACTGAGAAGTGAAAGTGTAGTGGAAAAGAACAGTGTGTGACCAGGGTTATTATCATATTATTAACTTTAAATCTTTCTACTGGTTGGCCGAGAGTGGGAGTGGGAGAGTTGAAGTGAGATGGGGAGTGAGGGGGAGATTGAGAGTGGGAGTGAGACTGGGAGTGACATTGAGAGTGGGAGTGACATTGGGAGTGAGTGTGAGATTGGGAGTGTGAGAGTGAAAGTAGGAGTGGGAGTGAGAGTGAGTGTGAAAGTGAAAACAAGTGTGAACGTGAGAGTGAGTGTGGAAGTGAGAGAGGAGGTGAGAGAGGAAGTGAGAGTGGCAGTGAGAATGAGAGTGTGAGATTGGGAGTAGGAGCATGAAAGTGAGAGTGGGAGTGAGTGTGGGACTGTGACAGTGGGAGTGATATTGGAGTGAGAGAGTGGGTGGGAGTAAGAGTGGAAGTGAGAGAGTGGGCGGGAGTAAGAGTGGAAGTGAGAGCGAGTGTGAGTGTGAGTGTGAGAGTAGGAGTGAGAGCTAGTGGGAGTGAGTGTGAACGTGGGAGAGGGATTGAGAGTAACAGTGGGTATGATAGTGAGAGTGGGAGTAGGAGTGAGTGTGGGAGTGAGAGTGGGAATAGGAGTGGGAGTGAGAATGAGAGTGTATGTGAGAGTGGGGTGAGAGTGAGTGTTAGAGTGAGTGTTAGAGTGAGGTTGGGGTGATAGTGAGAGTGAGAGTGGGTGTCGGAAAGAGTGTGAAAGTGAGAGTGGGTGTGGGAAAGAGTGTGAAAGTGAGACTAGGAGTGAGATTGAAAGTGAGGGTGGCAGTGAGAGTGGGAGGGGAGTGAGTGTGAGAGTGGGGGTGAGAGTAGGAGCTGGTATGAGTGTGGGAGTGAGTGTGAGAGTGAGAGAAAGAGTGAAAGTGAGAGTAGAAGTGGGAATGAGTGTGAAAGTAGGAGTGAAGGTGGGAGTGAGGGTAAGAGTGAGAGTGGGAGTGAGTGTAAGAGTGAGGGCGGGAGTGAGTGTTTGTGATGGAGAAAAAAATATTCATTGTAGGATATATAATAAATCGTGTTTTACTAATAGCAAATCAACATATTTACTAGTACATAAACAAGAGAAACGAGTCTAGCATTGATTGTTTTGAAAGGATGATTTTTACTTTGTATAAAGAAGAACGATAAATTGCTAATCAAAAAGGCAGGTTATCATTTTACCATAGAAAATGGAACTGTGTACTACCACCTTTTCACTGTAATAATTGTTGACCTGACGACCTTTTTATTATACATGAACTTCATAGACAGATGTTTCCCACTATTGATTTATAATTATATATGCAACAATTATGCACAAGATTTATGGTATCCTTTCATGAAATATGTTTTGTAAACTGAAAATTGCCAATAAAACATAATTGAAATATAAGAAATAGGAGTGTGGAAGGGAAGAGAGAGTGAGAGAGGGAATGGGAAAGAAGAAAGAAAGAAGAAAGACAGAATAAGGATAGAAGAAAGATGATGGAAGAAAGAGCAAGAAAGAGAAACAAGAAATAAGATACAAGAACACAAAACAAGAAACAACAGTCAAGAAAAAATACAGTATCAATGTATAGCTTTTCACTACATACATGGATCAGGAAGAGTGACTTACCTGGTGCATTCAAACTGTAAATCTCAGCTTTAATCACATGGGCCCTATGACCTACATGGATGAGATTAGAAAAGGCAATACACTTTCATTAAACAGATTAACCTTTATGTATTGAAGGGGAATTACATGTACACATACTTGCATATTGTTATGAATATGCATCCCCAATACCTAACAAATCACATCATGATAACTTGCATAACATCAACACAAAACCAGACAATTTATTACTTCAATATCATTGTGAGTTTTTCTGTCCATTAACAAATCTCCAACTGCGTCGAGATATGACTTAGAATATTCAAAGAAAATGTTCATACTCATAACAATAATACAAAATGGGCAAGTCGCAGCTATTTTTTTTACCAACATCAAGCTATTAGGATATCTGATAACTGTATCAAGCTGATAGGCCTACTAAAGCTTGAATAAGACAAAACATCAAAATAAAATGTTACCTTTTGGACCCATTTTTTCATGACTACGTTTGGCTATAGTAAAGACAAAAAGTTTGTGTTTGTTGGGTGTTGCACAGCCTTAATTACCGTGCTATATAGCCATCCTGAATACTGTCAAACTTACTCTGATCGTTTGTGCACTCGAGATTTCCCACATGGAAGGATCCAGCACCATCAACACTATCAAGCCTGAATCCTGTTATAGGCAGAAGATGTCTGTCCTCGATGACAGCCTCGTTAAGTCCATTATCTCCTGACTTCAGGCACTTGCACAGGTTTGTGGTTTTGCAGATTCCATCTTGAAGAAAAGGAGAGAGACAGATTGATGATCAGAAACAGTCTCACTGAAAACTTCCAAGAAAAGATTGAGAAAAAAGATTAAGAAATAGAGCACAACTTTGGGCAAATTTCTGATACCAAATTTTGATGTAGTCCTATACATATATATCCATATCTATTCCCAATACTTTTCATTCTTGAAAATTGTGTTTGGGTTATCATTTGCAAGATGAAGTCAATATATTATTTAAAAAATTTGTTAGATAACATTACAATACAACTAAAGACATCAAAATCAACGATTCAAGACAGTTTCTTTCACGAAAATATCACACATTAGTACTGAATTTTTTCTTTTACCCTTCTATGCCATCAAGTTTGTTACAAGTAGCTTTTAGTGAAAGGGAGTTTCTTTAGGTTGATTTTATACATTCTTGCTGTACAAATTTTATTTTAAAGGGATCCGGTAACTTTGTCTTAGATCCTTTTAAAAAAATCCTTGATTTAGCTCATGCTGCAATGATAATTATAAACCTTTATGTCAGTCAGGAACCCCACAACTTTTACAAACCGATTGCCGGTCTGATTATCAAGATATTTATGATTAAAAATCGAAATCAAATTTTGCGTTTGCCAACAATTTTCATAACATAACAGTCTATTGGGAAAAACAAGTATGGTAAAACCTGTCACTCAAAGGTTTTTACTTTTCTGGGGTACTTCTTGATTATTTTGAAGCGCGATTTTTTAAGGGCTTCACTATTACACCATATCACAGACACTGTTGAAAACGTAGGGCCGTACATCTCAGATTTAACATTGTTAAACGATGCTTTTGATACAGACTCACCAATGCCACTCCATGGGGACTCTATCTCAGTACCGTTCCTGCCCAGAATGACACCGTTGGACCCATCTTCTCCCAGAGTGGCACCCTGGCAGCTGAAGATGACCTAACGGAGGAAGAAAAGAAAGAATCAGAGATGCATTTAAAGATAAAGTTGAGTTCTGGTCATGCGATTGCATTGTGAAAGAAAAGGTTTGGAATGGATCAGAAAAAGTTGATAATGTAGCATGTAAGTATTGGTGTGTACTGCAAGGTTCTGGAGTCATCAAAATCATAATAAATTTCACCCAGTCTTGGTAAAGTAACACAGAAGATGTATATGGGACTACACAAATGGTGTCGGGGGCTACTAACCTTGATTTCCTTATCTGTCTATGCTCATTACTCAGCCAGTATACATTTTCTACCAAAATTGTTTGGCAAATGACATCTCTTGAAGATTCATTGTAAGTTTCGTTTGATTCTGAGAGAATTCATTTCCTTTTTTTTAACCCAAACTCAAGTTTATCTTTAATCAAAGAGGAAAATTTTGTTTCTGGTCCCAATGACTGAGTGTGTGTGATTGAGTGCACGAATGGGGAATTAGGAACAATGTCCCTAATAAAAATGTCTGTTCATCCTGACCCTCTCTCATAAAAAGTTGCAATCGATCCAAATCCTCTCATCCTCCGATTAGGAAACCACAATCTCCTACCCATCTCCCTGTATACTTACTCTTTAGAATACTTCATGGAACACTGCAAATATGGTAAAATTCTTAACAGGAATACAGAAATATTTCTGGTTCAAACTTAAGTCAAATCTTTAGAATGGCAGACATATAGAATGAAAGGCAAAAGGGCACTGGCCAGTACAAATTGTCCATTTGGAGACAGAAGAGCATTAACTCTGTGTTTTAAAGTATCAGTATAAGAGTGAACATCCTTCTGGCTCCAAACCGACTGTACAATTTTCAAGAGCCCTCCTGCCAGGCACCAGAATGAAATGAACAGCGGGATGGGATAATCATGTACCTTTTGAATGCAGCTTCCGGAATTGTCAATGAGAGCAGTCAGCTGGTCCTGGGTTACGCTATTAGAGCCAGTACTGTAAGTGACTTGACCATTGAAGGCAGACTGAGTGGGATCTACTATCAAACTGGACTTTGTGACATCCACTTGTGTGATGACTGGACCTTGAGGAAGAAATAGAAAAACTGTTTATTAAAGATTCAGTGAAACCTGCTTTAGTGACCACCGGTATGAAAAGACCACCTGTCTATAAGGACAACATTTTTAGTCTCTCTTGAATATGGTTTCCCATTGAAACTTGTACTGTAGGAACCTGTACTGTAGGAACCTAGACATCAAATGGCTTAAAAGCATAGACCACACTTTCATGTCACATGTGTGTTTGTGGTCCCATATACCTACTTCTGTCTGCATGCAGTGTTTTTAATTAAGATCAAGTCAATATCTTTGTCAATTTCCTCTCATTTTGAATATTCCAAAACCTCAAAGTATACATCAAGTCTCCTGAACTACATAATCAACCTTTTGCCAGTTGTTTCCATACTGTTTTCTTTCACGATTGACCAGAACTCAACTATAAACATCTATTAAATTAAAATTTTTCTTGGGTGGGGGTAGGTGTATTATTCAAACATGCAGTCTAATGACATGATGCAATGAAGACATTTTCCACTGCCATTTGGGTCAAGCAGTTCATTGTCAATTCTACAGTGTATTTAGTTTTATAATCATTCCAAAACAGAACAGTATAAGGCAAAAAGTTCACTCAGTCGGTAAAGTGCCTGCCTCTTGAACCAAAGACCATGGGTTCGGATCCCACCCAGGCGGATAACTGAAGCCAGTGTTACGTCTTAACGTGCCCCTCCCAATTCATAGGCTATGATATGATGGAAAAAACTCCATCCCTCGGATAGGATGTTGAATGGGGGTCTCGTGCAGAGGAGACTCACAATAACACTTGCAAGTAAAGAACCTACTGCACTATTTGTATCAGAATAGGGGAAACCCTTGTGTAGTGGTCCATCTTGCGCATCCCCAATCCGTTATATCAGGGGGAGAGACCCTGAAAGTTTCAGTGATTCAGTTTGTTTTTCCCTTCCCAGGCACAGGTGACTATAAATACTTCATAATATCAATTCTAATACATAATAAACCTTCCCCAATTACTTCAAATTGCCTTTTTTCATGAATGACCAATACAATAAGGGGGGGGGTTATTAATTTATAATTCTTACCGTTTGTTGACCGTTGATGGCATGATGCAATGAAGATATTTTCGCTGCCATCTGGGTCAAGTACTTCATTGGGATTAAATTCACCCTCCATGAGATATCGAAGCTCACAGGATGAAAATACTAGAGGGCGAGAAAAGGAAAATGGTTTAAGATACATAATAATGCCAATAATAATAATGTGTTCCCTATATGGGCAAGTTCAAGCCATTTTTTCCCATACATTATTGCATAGCCACATCTAAGTTTTCAGTATATCAGATTTTTTCCACGGTATCTTTATTGAGTATTCAACATCTAAAAGCATTCAATAAAGAACCTAATTAAACCCGTTCCTCTATATAGCCAACACTGCCTAAGCGGTGCCCGTTGGTCCCCCATGATCCCCTTTTTCTTATGTTAATTGAGAGCTGATTTGATGAGATAACTACGTGCCAGTGACCATGCAGGGTGGTCCAATACCTCCTCGCCAAACTAGTGCGGATAGGCTTTAAAGCTTACATCTAATAGCATCCAATAAAGAAACTAATTAAACCCTTCCCTCTTTCATTCTTGAATGACTAAAAAACACAAAAGACATCAAATTTACAAAGGGTATAAATAATTTAGCTGTGAACTGTATGTTCAAGATAGTTCATAATACAAACCTTAAACATGCCCTTATAGATAATAACTCGCGGATAAACAACAAAAGCCCTATCAACTTTGAAGGAGTCAACCTTACCACAGGCTAGAATACACCATTTGTGGCAGCTACATGTAAGAAGATGAATCTATCTTTGACACTAGTGTTCAACTATAAACTATTCAATCACAACTATATTTTGGGTTAAGTAATCTTATATTTCTGATCAGCAAATTCAAATTTCGAGAATGATCATTACATGGAAGTGTACTATAACAAAGTCAACTTGTTCAACTATTACTTTTTGGGTTAAGCAATCTTATCTTCTTTTTTAAAATTATATTTCTGATCAGCAAAGTCAAATTTTTTAAGATTAGCATTTTTTGAGTCATTCAAGTGAATTGCACTGTTAAATAATCTATTGGTTCGACTATTTAGGCATGATACTATATTATTATGTTTCGCTGTACAACGCATACAACAGTTCGGTACTTTCAGTATAGACTTTTGAATAAGATACTATATTTGAATAAAGATCTTGTGAAAATTAACATAATTTTAAATAAGAACTGTTTCCTTTGTGGAAGAGAAGAAGAAGATATGGTACACTTTTTTTACTCCTGTAACGTGACCAAATTGATTTGGAGTTGTTTGACTGACTGGTTAACTATTGTAACACGCTGTAGAATAAAACTGTCCTTAATACATGTTATTATTTAATTTTTGTTTTTCTTTCCCTAATCTACATGTATGTTCTGTATATACAGTATTATGGTTGATATCCGTTATATATATATATATATATATCTTATTATGAAATATTATATGATATTCATTGGAACATATGTTCAAATATGTTATCTTGAGATTGATTTTCAATAAATGGCCTGTTGGAGGGTCCAAAAAATGGAGGAAAAAAAAAATATTATTATAACAGAGTAATTATAATGTGCAAACTCCACATAACTTATTTGCTCAGGGCACACACACAAAATGAGCACATAAAAGTACCCAGAAATGAGACATCTTAAAATCAAATTTTAAAAAGTAAATCTACTGGAAAACAATTTTGAAGGAAAAAAAAATAGTAGTTTAGAGGCCATTTTTAAATGGTAAAGCATTTAATATTATATTGAATTATCATTACAGAGTCCTTATCATAACTAATATTACTCATAATGCAAAAGAAAAGTGAGAACATAAATATACACAAAAGTGGGACAACCTAGAAAACAAAAAGTATAAACCACTAGAAAGAAATTTTGGAGACGAGGACATTTCTAAATCAGACATTTTGTTTAAACAAGCATATTATATTAAATCTTCAATCAGCATATTAACATTTTGAGAAATTGCATTTTTGAGTCCTTCCATGGAAGTGCACTTGAACGAAGTCGATAACTTAAAGAACCATTTGCTATAAGTAGGCTGGACTCACCTTCGTAGAGTTGACCGTCCATTTCCATTAACTCTCTTTCTTCCTTGTCCGGTTCTTGGTTAGACGTGATGGGGTTGGCCTGTCCACCCCTCGTTCTGACCTCGGCGATTTCTGTGTCTCCCCGTACTGCATCTCCACCCCCTGAGGAAGTCTCCGTGCTCACCGATATTACTTGCTGATACCTGACGATACGAGTCTTATGGACTGTGAACAAGCACAACATTGGTCAAATGTGTATCAGAGGTCGCAGTCACATCAGACATGCCAAAGGTCAAAGGTCACAGGAATAAGGGGACCAAAAACTAAGATTTGTATTTCATTAAAATATTTAAAGTCTTCCCCGAAAACAAGACAATAAAATAGTTAGGATTAATAAGCATGGGGGGAAAATAATTTAATATCAAAAGCCTGTATGGAGGTTAACTAGCATGGGCGTGCACTAACATTGGCAGCGTAAATATACATAAATGAATGATACACAGAAATAAAAACTAACACAATAACAACAAGCACTATGCCAGTGCATATTATGGATGCAAGTCAAGTCCTAACAAGTCAGTTTTAAAGTTTATTTGGGGGATTAAATATTACAATACCTACATGTATTTACGTATTTTGAAAGAAAGGAAGAATACAGCAGCTTGGATGCATTTGTATCTTGCTATTTATCAACAAAAATCATGAAATCTGACAAAACAAAATTACATGTAGGTATTAGCTGGACCAAAGTCACAGATTTTAGTGTTTTATGTTAATTCTTCATAAAACAAATAATTAATGTTTTGAAGTTTGTGCATTAGTGATATGCACTCGATAAGACACAATAAGCTTGATAATGAACTTGACAAGTCTCGTTCGTTATCCAATTGTGACTTAACCTGCATGCAGTGAATATTCACTAATGCGCTAGCAAACACAAATTATTTATACATCAAGTGGCCAAAACATATGGAACAATGTGTGTCGTGCTTTACAACTGTAAGGAAAATGCACTACCGTAAAAGCTGTTATTTTCGTGCGATTAATTTTCTGCGCTAAACGATCCCAAAACATCTTCGCTAGTTCTTAAATTCATGTTTCACGCAATTTAGCCTATTCAAAACATGCATAAGAAGTCATGCTTATATATTCACAGGTTTTTATTTTTGCGGACACCGACTTAAGCGCGAAATCCGCGAAAATTAAAACACCACAAATATTACCACGTTTAGGGTATATGGAATACCTTCTGTATTGCACTGGATAAGAACTTACTTGTGGTTGGTGAAGTTCTTTAATTAATGTTTCACGCAATTCAGCCTATTCAAAACACGCATAAGAAGTCATGCTTATATATTCACAGGTTTTAATTATCGCGGACACCGACTTGAGCGCGAAATCCGCGAAAATTAAAACACCGCAAATATTACCACGTTTACAGTATATTGAATACCTTTTGTATTGTACTGGATAAGAACTTACTTGTGGTCGATGAAGAGGCAGAAGACAAGGAAAAAGTGGAGCTTCCCAGGTCTACCCTTCCACTATTCAAAAGAGCTTGTGCAACTGTAGTTTGCAAATGAAAGAAAGGAAGAACGAACTTTTAAAAAGAAAGTATACTCTATACAGTAGGCTTGTGGGTGCACCATGTGAGAGAGAGAGAGGATTAGGGAGTCCTGAAAAGGACTCTCAGTAATCTTTCTTGAGGGTGTGTAGTCCTGAAAAGTATACTCTCGTCGCCAATTGCATTGAAACAACCCGATGAGATAAGGGATAAATAACAAATTTGATACATATATGATTCCATTCAAGGTCAGGGTCACCATCTTCAAGGCCCCTCATGGAGAAATTGTCTCCCATTTGGGGTGGAGTGGGCAGCACTGCTCTAGTTCTTTTTGCCAATTTCCATTTTTCTCCACAGAAATATTTTATCATTTGTATGTATTAGATGAATCATTTTTTAATTGGGTACATGATGTAACACTCACCCACCTCCATCTCCACCGAACTTCGCCCTAGCCTACCCTAATCCCTGCCTCCACCCTAGCCCACCCCATCCCCACCCCCAGCTGCACCCTAGCCCACCCTATCCCCACCTTCACCCTAGCCTACTCCATCTCCACCTCCACCCTTAGCCCATCCCATGCCCACCCTCAGCCAACCCCATTTCCACCTTCACCCTAGCCTACCCTAATCCCTGCCTCCACCCTAGCCCACCTTCACCCCACCCTCAGCTGCACCCTAGCCCACCCCATCCCCATCTTCACCAAAGCCTACCCTAATCCCTGCCTCCACCCTAGCCAACCCCACCTAACCCTCCACCCTAGCCCACACCATCCCCACCTGTACCCTAGCCTACTCCATCCCCACCTCCACCCTCAGCCGACCCCATTTCCACCTTCACCCTAACCTACCCTAATCCCTGCCTCCACCCCATCCCCACCCCCTTATCCCCACCTCCACCTTAGCCTAGTGCTGTCCCCACCCCATCATACCCCCATTCCCATCTCCACCCTCAACCCACCCCTACCTCCACCCTAGCCTACCCTAATCCCGCCTCCACCCTAGCCCACCCCATCTTCACTCCCTACCTCCATCCCCAGCACACCCCTATGCCCAACTCTTATGCATATATACTTACTTGTCTGTACCGTATGTTATAAGATACAAAAACGTGAAGTGCAGTGCGCTGAAGTACATATACCCTGCAATAAACCGCAGCATATGTAACCCTGACTTTTGAGTAGGATTGTTTGATTATGTATGATTAAGAATGTTTCCTGCTTTACAAGAACCCATTATTACCTTTACTTGTAATGTCATAGGGTATGTTTATGCTCAACTTTTTCTGGCCAGAATGAGGCATTTGTTACGCGTTTAGTTCAAAACACGGTTGCGTCCTTTCTCATTTTTGTAGAATCACCAAAAAACGGCGATCATAATCGCCAATCATAAACTCACAAAAAGGTGCGTTTTGGATCGGCGATTCTGGGGAAGCATAAATCATTTGTAAACGCGTTTAAATGAGGTCAACGTAGCATGCACAGTGCAGGTTTGCAAATCCAGCTGCAGAACCAGAATCATGCCTGGAGGAGCCAGAGAAGTGAGCATAAACAGTACACCGTGGAACTGCGATTACGATGAGCGTTTACGATGAGCATTTCAAATGGCTCATTCTGCATTTAAAATTGAGCATAAACGCACTCATAGACAGCACGAGCAATGAATCGTTAATCTAAGAATGAAAAAGGAGATGATAGTAAATGGACAAACCTGATCTTCGTTTTCGCTGTCCCTGTCCCAAATGAGATTGAGTCAAGAACTGTCTCAGCTGTGCAGACACAGCTATGGATACAAATAAACATCAGTCAGTGAAAAGGCTTTTGATTGTTAAATCATTGAATGTTCTTAAAGACTTATTAGTCCACTCCAAAAATAATTTGTTTTTAAAAACAAGAGAAACAACAAAATTTGAGTAAAACTAATAAGGAAGTTATGAATTATGAAAAACTATGGAACTTAGAAAATCACTACACAAATTGCCAATTTGGTTATCAGTTTGTGGGAGTTTTTCATGTCATTGAAAATTCATAATTTTCTTATTCTTACAAGTACTTCTAATTCATTCAATGGAAATTCCATCAAACTTGGGGCAAAATTTGTACCATCTTTCTTTAAAATAGTTGTATAACAACCCATATGCATCCCAGTATCTAGATTAGTTGGGCATGTTCAGTTACACTAAAACCTTAAACTTTCATGAATGTGAATTTTGCAAATGGTTCAGATTGGCTAAAGTTTCATAGCATTATTAAAACGACTGGATCACAACTGAACACAGCACTGAATTCTAGCAATTCAAAAGTTCTTGCTACTGCGATTGCTCACTTCTACAAACAATTACAAGTTTTGTATCGTCCTGTTTACAAGCATTCCATCAACGATCATTTTTCTGTCTATTTCTCCTGTGGGTGTTGGAAAGGCTAAACCAGTCATGAAGTAAAGTGTTATTTTGTATAATGTTGTAGCTCAATTAGTGATACTATGAGGTCATACTTGTTCAGTTAAACCATCAAAAACTCCCCCTCTCTGCCCATTTCTTCTGTGGGCTTTTTATCTTTTTGGAAAGGCTAACTAACCCAGTCATGTAGTAAAGTAAAAAAAATTATATATATAATTTAAATTATACCTCATGCATGTATACTACACCCTTTTGCTCAATTAGCAGTACCATGAGAACAAGATTTTTCAGTTATCCATCAACAACTTACCTGTTTGTCCATTTCTGGAGTGGGGCGTTCTACTGGAAAGACTAAACCGACTATGTTTCTTGATTGAGAATGTGCCGTGGAAAGCTGTGAGAATATAATAGAACAGGATATCGTATGATCATATCTGTCAACCTTCTACAGCCAAAAATAGGATTATCTTATTAAGGCAAAATTAGGAATTCAGTATATTTTGCATACATTTATACAGCGGTTTTCAGAAAAAAAGAGGGGAATCTAGACGAGGGTTCATGATATTGGAACTGAAGGCTAATAAATAAGAACAATTTCTCCAAAATAAGAGGAGTTAGTTTCAGCTATGTATCATAATCGTTTGGAGAACAAGATTTTTTTTGAAAAACAGTCCTAACTTCGTGAAAATGGCAATTGCGGGATATATTTATCTCTACATATACACTGTGATATATATATATATATATATATATATATATATATATATACCAAACTAATAATAAGTGAATTGTGCTTATACTTACATCTTCCTGCTCCAGTCATTACTTCTTGGATATCAGTGAACCATTTACCTGGAGAAAAAAAGAAGAAGAAAAGAATAATGAAACATGTACTTAGAGACTTCGGTAGAATGCTCCCCAGGGAGTGGAAAATGTGCAAACAATGTGTGCGGGTAAGCATGAATTCCGATGGCCAGGGTAATAATATATCTGTAAAATGTACTTCGGTAGAATGCTTCCCAGGAAGTGGAAAATGTGCATACAATGTGTGCGGTAAGCATGAATTCCGATTGCCAGGGTAATAATATATCTGTAAAATGTACTTCGGAAGAATGCTTCCCAGGGAGTGGAAAATGTGCATACAATGTGTGCGGGTAAGCCTGAATTACGATGGCCAGGGTAATAATATATCTGTAAAGTGCATTGTTGATGTATTGGGCGCTATATAAAAGCGGAATATTACTATTATTATCATTAGAAAGTACTTTATAAGTACCGTTTTTATTTTTATTATTGTGGTTTCAGAACCTCAAGGGCCATTCCTTGAAACCTTCATACGACTTACTCCTTGAACATCAAATTTAGACATGTGTTATAGAATTAACACGTGTGTCTACGGGATGTCCTCAAACTTAAAATCATGACAGTTTCCAAGAAACTGGTTCCAGAATGTCACTCCTGTCCTAGAGTAAGGTATTTTATCTGCAGTGCTTCTCTGCGCCCAAGGATTTGAATGGTTTAAAGGCATCGTTTAACAATGTGAAATCTGAGATGCATGGCCCTACTGGTTATCAGTGTCTGTATTAAACACGGTGTAATATTGAATACTGCTCTAGTAGTTGCACTTACTTTTATCCCCCTTGCAGAGAAGGGGTCCCAAGGTATAGATACCCCGCTCCACTCCATCGTCACCACTCGTGTCCCCGAAGCAAAGCTCTTTGACGGGGAGCTTGTCAAGATCTGTCAAGGTGCCCGCATCGGTGAGATTCTTCTGGACGTTGGCATCGCAGTTGCACTTCAAACTCGGGTTGTGGCAGCCTATTAGGAATAATAATGTGAGAGGGAAAGCAAGTCAGAGCCCTGGTTTATAATGAGATGTGATTGAATCAATCACAAACAAACTCCTTATCTCATTAATACACCTTGTGTGCTAGTATTAGCCTGAATCCGATGACCGGGGTAATAATATATCTGTAAAGCACTTAGGCACATCATTGTATCGATGTATTGGGCGCTATATAAAAGCGGAATATCATTATTATTATTATTCAGGATAGATTTTAAGTTCTCTCATAGGTTGTATCAATTCCTAGCAATAGCTTGAAAAAGTAAGCTTTCAAAAGACCATTCCCTGTATGTATACCGTAAATATCTGTGTATAAGACACACTTTTTTGCCGCCGGAAAAAAAAAATATCAAAAGTCGGGGGTGCGTCTTATACACAGGTACAACAAATACAAAAAAAAGTTTCGATTTATGCCCCTTCACCTGGCAATGTCTCCCAGCTCATTAATTGGTGTGTTGACTCACCACTCGGAAACTAGAACAACACTACCTGTATGTCTGGATTTCTGTGTGGACTTAGAGGAATATTTGTCTGTCATCTTTAGTTTTAAAAACAACATTGTTACTATTATTTGTGACAAGTTCACAAGCACATATCGGCGCCTTCAACTGCACCTCGCAGTTAAATGATAGTCCTTCTCCGCATGGGTTTTTGAACACAGACCTGGTGCGTTGGTCTTATACAAGGAGAGTTACGGTACTCACTGTTGGTCTGTCCACACTGGCACCCCTCTCCCTGGCTCTCGGGTATACCCCAGTTGTACATCCTGTCTCCGGTCCTGGCAATCCAGTAACCGTAGTGTGTACTGCCCTCATTGAGCACCGAACCGTAGCAATTGTACTTGACGCTCTGACTGCATTCAGTGGACCTGGCCACGACGGCTGTGATCTGCACCAGTGTTTGGCCGTATTCAATTGTAGGATTGTAGCTGCACGGATCCTCCCCTGAAACTACTTCAACTGCCTGGCTGGAGGTGGTATGGTCGAAGCGGGTAACACCACCTGTTACAATAAGAAGATTAACAATGTACTTGCTATAAATCTTCCACAGCAAAAACTCTCAAAAATCGTTTTCATTTGATTCTGTGAGAATTAATTTTCTTCTTTTTTTACCAGAACTCACCTTTATCTTTAAACTCACAATCTTACATTCTATACCTTGCAAGAATAAAGACAGACACTCAGTTTTGTCACTTAAAATCCTGTGTGATCGCTGATTTGCAGCCGTTTATAATGGCGAGGTTTGTGCATCTGTTGTTAATAACCCGCATAAGTACATAAAAAACAGTGACAAAAGGATGAATTTTGTGCATTTTGGCAAGTTCGCTCACTGTGTTTATCCTTTAGTATCTTCCAGTAGGGTCACATTCTGACCTGCTTAGCACTCTGCTACAAACGGTGTAAAGTCCGATGACATACCATCAGGGTCGATTAAGTAGTGACTGAGTTCTTTTCATTCTTGAATTTACTCATGATCCTGAGGTTTTATTCATGTTTTAGTATCCTTCTGCAACCTTTTAGGCACTGTACTACAGATAATGTAAATTTCTATGAAATTAAATTAGGGTTGATGAAATAGTAACTGAGTCCTTTTCATTCTTCAGATTTATAAATATGATTCTAAGATTTATTTATGTTTTAGTATCCTTCTGCAAACTTACCTTCTAGGCACTGTACTACAGAAGGTGTAAATTCCGCTGAAATACCATCAGGGTCGATCAAATAGTAACCAGGAGGGAATCCTAGTCTACTGTATGCCTGGCACGTTGAGAACGCTGTTAAAGAAACACAGTTGATTTATTTTATTATTTTAATGGAAGCATACATCTATGCCAAGTTTAAGCTCGAAGCCAATCAAAAATAAGGATTTCAATAGCTATTTAATTGTTATTGATAACAAGTTTTGCAAAACAAGGCCCATGGCATCCAGATTCATGCTATTCCATACTCACATCAACGACACTGACACAAGACCGACCCAACAAACCAAACCAAAATTACATACCCCTAGTGGCCAAGAATCGGTCGGATTTGAGTCATTATGGAGTTGGTTTGGTGTCTGAGGTATCATGGCTAGGCCAGTCACTTAACGTCACAGCGACAGTCATACCTCAGTCATGGCTATAGACTGACAACAGACCAACCAGTAATCAGTAATCAGTCACTTTAGAGTTGGCGTGACTATGGTATTATTGTCCATATATGTAACTGGTTTCTATGCATTTCATGAAAAACAAAATTTCTAGTGATTTTACAGAATTTCTCCCTGATGGATGTGCAAATTCCAAGAGCATCGTTTTTTATATTCTCATTTATTTAAAAAACAAATCAAGAAAAAAACAGTAAGAGGCAGGAGCACTATAAGCATGTTTTTCTTTTTTTTGTCTTCAATATTCCACTTTGCATTTGTAGAAATCCTGCAATGATACATCATCTGCAGAGAGTCAGCATGAGACATACACCTTTCACAACAAAAATTCGGAATCTCTCACAGCAAAAATTAGGAATACAGTTCACTTTGTATACTTTTCACAAAAGAACATTTCAGAAAAAGGGGGACAAAATTTGGAATCTTTCAAGGCAAAACTAGGAATACAGTTCACTTTGTACACTTTTCACTGAAAAATATTTCAGAAAAACGGAGAAATCATTCCTCCAAGCTAGGAATGGTTGGCAGCCATGCATCGTTATCTCATCTGCTAAGTGGTAGTTAGCATGCGACACTTATACACAGGTTTAACCTAAAAAATAACAATAAAAAATAACTATTATTCTGGATATTTATATATACTTTCTATTTTATATCTTTAAACCATGTTAAATGTATCATATCATTGAATATTGAATTGTATATCTAATTTAAGGCTGCAACAAGTACTCGCACTGTTGTCAACTACTCGAGAATGATTTTTCGTACTTGTTTACTCGGCCGCCATTTTTTTATTTTTTTTTATTTTTTTCTTCGCCCGTTCACCTGGCACTGTCCAGGCCGACGCTTACCCATGCCCAGCGCTGAGGAGAGCGCTGGCATGGTACTGTGGGTAAAAATGTTTCCCAGCTCAATCACTGTCAACTCACCACTCAGAAACTAGGACCAAATGTCTGGATTTCTGTTTGGACTCCGAGGAAAATGAATTAGTCTGTCATTTTTTGTTTTTAAAACACCATTGTTTACTATTATTATTATTATTAAATCAGTGCCTTCAACTGCAAATAGAAGTAAATCGCGTGAGTTTTCAGAGACGGACCTGGGATACGTCTGCCGTAGTATGGTGGTGGCGGCAAAAAAACAAAAAACCGTTGTGTCCAAGTATTCGCCTGTAAGGCTGGGAGTGTACTCGAGTACCTCATTACACGGTTTATATGCACAGCCTTAATCTAATTTCTTGTCAAAATCATTGTTCTGTTAGAAATGAAAAATAAAACCGAAACTGAAAACCTTTCAAGTAGAGTCAACAACCTTCTGGCACTCTCCAGACCACACCCTTCCCAATACTCACTTGCAATAAGGTAGTAAGTGCCCATATATTGTATCATGGTGAAAGGGAAGCTGTAGGTCATTTGGGTCCCATCTGGACGAGTCGCTTGCTGGACAATCTCAAAATGTTGTGCTCCAGTGCCATCACCTAGATTAATAGATAGTGGGAGGCCAAACAAAAATAACTTGATAATTTCACTGCTATATTAGGTAATTTCAACTCTGCTTCAATTTTTAAGAAGAAGAAATATACATATATATAATACACACATACTATGTGAGTGCATATATATGTATATTTGAATTCAAAACAAATTTGTTGTAGTATTCGGCAGTAATAGTCATTAACTGACTGACTTGCCTAAATTAAACAACAACAACAGCTGTGATCAATTTGAAGATACTTGATGATGATAATGATAGCTTCGCACTCTTATCCGTCATGTTGTGATGCTCATGGCGATTTACCCCGGTTATACTCAAAATGCCAGAGTATATATCTATCGCTCAAACATATCAGGTACCATTTACACATGGGTGGAGAGAGGCAAATGTAGATTAATGGCTTGCTAAAGGATATTAGTGCGGGACTGGGATTTCAAACCTGTACCTTGTGATCTACAGTCCAGTGACTTACCCATTAGACCGCAACACCTGTACATGTATTTGTAAGTTTTCTCATTCTACCCCTCTGCACTAGTTAGGCCAGGAGGGATCAGACCTCCCTGCATGGTCAGACAGGTGGTTATCTCATCAAATCAGCTCTAAATTAACATACGAAAAAAGGGATCATGGGGGACCAACGAGTACCGCTTAAGCATTTTTTGCTATATAGAGGGCGCAAGTAGCTACAAGTAGTGCAGTCCCGCTTTAATATGTCAGTTTGAATGAATACCATAGAAACAATCCCGAAGGAAAGGGCACGCACAGAACCTATAATTCCAACTTGGGTTCTGTGCGCGACCTATAAACACATTTTGTTTATGTTATCCTTTATTTTCTTCATACTCCTAATTCAATTAACCTTTAGACTGCCAAGCAAAGCGTTTTGGGGTTGATTTTAAACATTCAAGCTTTACGCATCTTATTTTTTCAAGTGATTGATACACTTTTGATTGAACACCAGACGATACCATAGTACAGGACATAGTTCTTGGCAAACATGGTTCCAAAAAATATAATTCCTAATAACAAATTTAACGTTCCTGAGGTGAAAAAGGTCATGTGATGCTTGTACAGGCAAACCTGTCTATAGAGACCGCCCAAGGGAAACACAAACAGTGGTCATTGTAGACAGGTTCCTTTAGTACCATACATGTTTCAATGAGAAACCATTTTCAAGGGAAACAAAAAATGTGGTCTTTGTAGACAGGTGGTCACTAAAGCAGGTTTAACTGTACCAATAAAAAAAACTTAAAAAGAATAAAATAATTGAAAAATTTGATGTATACTTACTCAGAATCTTGGATAATAGAGCACCATCCGTGTTCGCCGATGCAAGGAAAGTGAGCTTCCCTTGTGGCATGTTCCCCAGCTTTGCAGTGATATGACCATAGGTGCTTGAATCTTCAGAGACTGCAACAATGAAATCAACAGAAATCCTGGTATTCTATCCTCATAGTTGTGTAAAAAACTAAGGAGCTGTCCTTTTCTTTACCTCGTTTGTCTTATACCAACACATCTATCAATCGCTATTGCACTCCCCACAGGTATATGGGACTACATGTCCAAGGTATTTCGTAATTTAGTGTCCCATACTTTATTAAGTATTCCGGTGTTAGAAATTTATATGAAATCAAACGTGCCCTTTCACTTCCCGGTCGGTCCTAATTTAGATCTGGTAGGAGAATTAACTTTATACAAATAATCATGTTTGCAGGTGCATTTTTATGGAATATGCACTGGACACAATCAGATAATGAACAAGACTTCTCAGGTTCATTACTCTTAGAAATTCTATTTCCATGGTTTTGCAAGTGTGGCAAAAAAAAATTCTGAAAACAATAGCAAAACTTCCAATAATTATATTTGCACTCAAACCACATTTATTCTTGGTTTTGCCAATGAGTATGCACTTAGGGGAAATCTTTCACATGACTGTAGGACCATTTCTACATCTTATTAATGCATGCACTTTGTGAAGAATTCTAGAAGCATCCGCAGACACAATAAAAAAATTCATCCTTTATACTGCAATGTGAACGTACTCTAGAAATAAATAATGGTAAAACACAAGGAGTCAAATTTCCTAGAATATTTTTCAAATGGAGCACATTGTGTTCATCTATTTTAACTGTCAACAAATTCAACGAGGGGTATAAATTGGCGAATGGCTCACATGCGGCTTGTAGACTCTGGATGTTTGCGGTCGTATTGAAGGCTGCGAGAGCCGTGGATAGAGCTTGATTGCCACCGTTAAAGGTCGATGTGATGGTGTAATCTCCATGAACCCCAGGTGCTGTCAAAACAATAAACAGGGGATTGAAGGTTTAGCATGGGATTCATGAGTATAATGCATGTTATATTCCATCTGAAGTTTCAGTCTAAAGCTTAAATAATGAATAGACATGATTTAATGCTACTTTTAATGTATGTATACTTCTTTTACAAAAGTTAAAAGATTTCCAGAGGCTTGCCAGACATGGCAACAACTAATGATGCAAGGTAGACTCAATGCATAGGCACTGGACATGACAAAGTGTGTGCACTAGCTCCTTAATTCCTAAAACCGATAATTCTTAAATTGAATGTTCAATATTAAAAAAACATCAAACCAATAATAGACAGATAACATCATGCATGTTGTTATTGTTAGCCTAAATATTAAAAATCTCATAACAAATCAATAGTTTGTCTCTACCGGTACTCTATTTTGGAATTATCATGTTTGTAGACGTACAAGCAGAGTATATGATAAATAATTTCTTTCATTTTTAATTCATTACGTCATCTTTATTTTAAAGGAATTATAAGGTTGAGTTCTGGGAAGAAGTAAAAAGTTTTAGTGAGCGTTATCATCGTTATTATGCAAGTGTGGAAGAACATCAGATTAAAAATGTTCCCTGAAAAGCATGGCTCTTCAAATGCCTTAAATAAGGCATGTAACAGCTAGTATAACCATCAGGACAGATTTTTTGCCACATGTTTGTGTAGTCCCATATACATCTTTCTGTGTACCGTGCTTGTAACTTTACCAAGACTGGCCAAATTTCTTATCATTTTAATGATTCCAGAACCTTGTAGTACACACCAATACTTATAAATGCGATGATCAACCTTTTCTAATCGATTCCACACTGTTTCCTTCACAATGCAATCGCATGACCAGAACTCATCTTTTTCTTTAAACATGATTCATAACTAAATTTGCACAGAGACATACACACACATAAACCACTCAACTACGACCCCTCTACCAATAAACCAAAGAGACGGTTGATCTGATACTCACAATTGGATGGAATCCCTTGCAAATAATCATCCAAGTCTGGCACTGTCAAAAACAAACAAAAAAGCATATACAGTCACTAGTTTGTAGGCCTACTACAAAGCTATAGGCCTATACATGTATATACTTTGATACTAACATTTAAAAATACCATTCCTGGGGAGTGTTTCACAAAGATGGTAGGCCGTTCATGCCACTTTTTGCTTTCACCATTACGATCTTTGGATAATATTTTTTCCTTCAATAATGAATTATCATTAAAAAATATAAATTCTGTAGATTTATGACGATGATTTGTACGTCCCTTGGTGAGAGCGAACAGTGGCATGAACAGCCTGCCATAGTTAAGTCTAACTTAAAGTCGATCTTAGTCTTTGTGAAACACTCCCCTGCTTTTTGAAATCCACATTTAAATGCAGACCTACATAGGGATATTACCACTTCAGAAAGACATTTCTAGGTATTGTTGAATCAAATGAAAGTATGAGCACCTAGTATCAGAAAAAAAAAATTTAAAAAAAAATCAAATTCAAATTTATTGAAATAAAATCCACAAGTTTGGATTAACTTCAATACAAACGGACATACATAAGAAAAGTATCAACATAGGCTACAAATTAATTATTGAATATTCATGAAGTACGCAAATAATCGTTATATTACAAAAGGGGAAGAAAATATAAATAAATTATTACAAAAAATGTATAGAATATACAAAATACTTCATCTATTATGACATACTGCGTAAAGACATGCGTCATATTTTCGTCAAGTTTGCAATAGCACGGATAATTCTGAAATAAGATACTTCAGTGACAATGGCTGCACAAGTATCCTTTCCAAGGGGTGCTCAAGGCTCCTGCAAGGGATTATTATTACCATAGGGGGATAAAAGCATTCACAGAATAAATTATTAGGAGGTACCGTAATTAACGGTGTATAAACCGCACCTTTTTGCCGCAGAAAAAAATTCAAAGTCGGGGGTGCGGTTTATACACGATACACCAAAAAAAAAAAAAAAAAATTAAAGTTTTGATTTATGCCCCTCCACCTGGCGCTATGCCTGGCAATGTCTCCCAGCTCAGTAGTCGGTGTGTTGACTCACCACTAGGAAACTAGAACAACACTCAAATTTGTCTGTCATCTTGGTTTGAAAGTAATCTTTCTGATAGATCTCAATATGTAGTTTATAATAATAATTCCTACACACGGTGTACCACAAGGTTCTATCCTAGGTCCTCTACTGTTTTTTAATTTACATTAATGATCTTACACATTCAGCTGCACCTCGCAGTTAAATGAAAGGCCTTCCTGCGTGGTTTTTTTTTAACACGGACCTGGCTTCTTTTTTTTTTAACAGTGAAAAAGAGGGGTGCGGTTAATACACGAGGGCGGTTTATACAACGTTAATTACGGTATCCATTTACTATTACACCTGGGGCCCGTTTTACAAAGCCTTTTCTCAATGACAAATGTCAAAAATCAGTGACAAATCTGCTGATAACCAATCAGAAACAATTAGTAGCTTACAACAAAAACTGTCATTTGTCACTGATGACAAGTTTTGTGAAACACTCCACTGGATGGAGGGTGGCATATGTAGATCAATGTCTTGCCAAACTATGTGAGACACAGTATGGTGACGTATCCACTAGACCACAACACCTCTACGTCTATACACATGTGTCGCAACTATATCTCTCTCTATGCTATGGTTAGCAGATGAGATACAGAACCTGTCATACCACAACGGTTACTTACTTGTGTACTTTTTCGATCCAGCTTTGGTGTCACCAAGTTCAATGATTCCTTGTCCCGATAGTCGATCCAAAGGAGCTATAATGGACAAGGTTGAATATTTGTCGTGATAAAATCAGATGTAATAGCTACATTTATATTGCACGCATATCTATCCCAGGGGATGCTTAAGGCGTACTATTGTAACCCTGGAGCCCAGCTTCCCCAAGGTGCTCAAAGCATTAAAGGAAACTAGATGAAACTTCGACTGCGCGCAGTCGAAAATGATGCCTCCGCCATAGAGCAATTTTACAAAACAAAACAGAAGAAATTTTTCAAATTCAGGTTCAATTGTAATCCATTAACAGGTTCTCAGAATATCGTGATTACAAGCAATTTCTCATATACATATATGACCCTTTGATCTTTGACCTCATGACCCTAAAATCTACTCAGTTCATTGAATCTGCAAGATGTCCTGAGTTAAATAGTAATCCATCTGTCAGTTCTAATGAGAATGCGTTCACAAGCTTTTTTTGCATACATAATGAGCTCATAACCTTTGACCTTGACCTCATGACCCAAGAATCTACTCAGTTATTTGGCTCTGCAAGATACATACATGATCTAAGTTTGGTAGGAATCCATCAATCTGTTCTAATGATACTGCGATCACAAGCTATTTTTGCATACATAATGAGCTGCATGACCTTTGACCTTGACCTCATGACCCCAAAATCTAATCAGTTCATCGGCTCTGCAATTAACATACATGACCTAAGTTTGGCAGAAATCCATCAATAGGTTCTTCAGATAACGCGATCACGAGCTGTTTTTGCATACATAATGAGCCCTTTGACCATTGACCTTTGAGCTCGTGACCCCAAAATCTAATCACTTCATCGGCTCTGCAAGATACATACACGACCAAAGTTTGGCAGGAATCCATCAATCGGTTCTTCAGGTAACGCGATCACGAGTACAGGACGTACGGACGGACAGACAACCCGAAAACATAATGCCTCCGGCTATTTCGTAACGAAGGCATAAAAATACGCTACCAGGTACCGATTTACTGCACCTGGGTGGAGAGTGGCAAATGTAGATTAATGTCTTGCCAAAGGACATTCATGCCGGCCGCAGTGGGACTCGTACCATGAACCATAGCCCGGTGTCATATCCACTAGACTATGACACCTCTACACATTGTAACATATTAACCTCCTTGAAGATCGCCCTCAAAATGGCACCTTGCGACGGGGTGGCCATGTTCCGTCACCAAGTCACAGACCCCCCAAAATAGTCCACCGCACCTTTTATGCCGCTCAATATTTTGATTTGAGGGCCGGCTGTGATCCGAGGGCCAGTCAATATGTATATCAGAGCAGATACCAAAACCAAAATTCGGGTGCGTCATGAAGTCTACGAACAAGACGTTTTTTACATTTATGAGTACTGAAAGTTTATTTCAATTTGTTATATCTCTTTATTGGAAGTAATATTTGAAGCCCATATTTGTAGAGTAGACTACCCTGTAACAACAAGAAACCAACATCACAGAGAGCCAAATATTTATTGTAATTGCTACCCTTAAAGTCTGTCTGCACTAGTTTGGTCAGGAGGGATTAGACCTCCCTGCATGGTCACTGACAGGTGGGCATCTCATCAAATCAGCTCTCAATTAACATAAGAAAAAGGGGACCATGGGGGATCAACGGGTACCGCTTAGGCATTGTTTGCTACATAGAGGGCTCAAGTAGCTACAAGTAGTGCAGTCCCGCTTAAAACTTTTGATGGAAGAATACCAAAAATTCACTTACACAAATGGAAAGATGAGCTTGATGATGATATACTTGTATCAATAGTACCTGCACAAAAAAGGGAAGAATATAATACTTATCATGAAGAATTTAAAACTTAGGTTGCTTACTACGCCTCTGCATGGTCACTCCTTTACCACGCATGCAATTTCGCAAAAAACAATAGTCACCAGATTACGGAAGGATTGCTTTGTGTAACATTATGGCTTTGCATAATAAATTATCCATTTTCTTCATTAGCTCCATGAAAACCCTTTTAACATTGGTATGCTGCACTGGAAACAGTTCAATTATCTTGAAGCCTGTATTATTATTCATCTATACCATGATAAATACAATCTTGTACACAGATATATTCGAGCATATAATGAGTGAATACAATAAACAAGGTTTTTTAAATCTATTTCTGCCACAGTTCTTCTTTTTCTCAATAAAAATAAGATAGAAAGAAATAATGCAATTACATAATCAAAGGTACTAATAATACTTTTGATGTAGGATGTCTCAAATCACCCGTCATTATTTCCTATCTCTCCTAAATCTTCAAATACCGGTTGTTATTTCAATTTGAACCTCTTAAAAAAGAAGTCGGTCAATTAGATCCCTTGAGTAGGCATTATGTGTACAGAATATACAAGATGTAAACAAATAAAATAATGGTAATAATGACATTTTAATTATATTCAATAAACATACAAGAGCTGTTTTCCATCCATCCATTTCACTATTTCACAGTGTAAAGTTGATTTTTTTTTTTTTAAATGAGTACCTAATTCATTCTATTTGCTCTTTCTATGTGTAATGTAGGACTACATAATAATACTGATCAGGGCCCGTTGCATCAAAATTAATACCATTGATGGTGACTTTACCATGGCAGCATCACTCAACAGCCAACACCTACGACAATAACCATTAATGGTAAAATGGGTGATAAGGAAACCAAATATATAGTTTATATATTATATCATCAATTTGCATATTTTTATCCAAATGGTCTATAAAACTCTTTTACAAAATTTAAAATGCTTTGGAACTGTCACTTAGAATTACCCTATTATGAAATATGAAGTTTGGGTATTCAAAATGACTCTATCTCCCCAGGGAGAATTTCACTTGCCCATGTAAGTAATATACAAAAAAACAACCCCTCATGGATTCCAAAATCATCACAGATATCATATACAGTGAGACCTGTATATAAAGATCACTTCAGGGTGACAAGATCAGTGGTCTATCCTGCGCACAGGTTTCTTCAGTACGTTTCAATAAGAAACGATTGGCAAAGGAAATTCAAAATGTGGTTTTTATATACAGGTGGTCCCTAAAGCATGTTTCACTATACAGTCAAACCTGTCTATAGCAACCACCCAAGGGAAACACAAAAAGTGGTCTTTGTAGACAGGTTCCTTTAGTACATGTTTCAATAAGAAACAATTGGCAAAGGAGATGCAAAATGTGGTCTTTATATACAGGTGGTCCCTAAAGCAGGTTTCACTGTACAGTCAAACCTGTCTATAGCAACCACCCAAGAGAAACACAAAAAGTGGTCTTTGTAGACAGGTTCCTCTAGTACATGTTTCAATAAGAAACGATTGCCAAAGGAAATTCAAAATGTGCTCTTTATATACAGGTGGTTCCTAAAGCAGGTTTCACTGTACAGTCAAACCTGTCTATAGCGACCGCCCAAGGGAAACACAAAAAGTAGTCTTTGTAGACAGGTTCCTTTGGTATATGTTTCGATAAGAAACAATTGGCAAAGGAAATGCAGAATGTATGAGGTCTTTGTAGACAGGTGGTCCCTAAAGCAGGTTTCACTGTACAGTCAAACCTGTCTATAGCAACCGCCCAAGGGAAACACAAAAAGTGGTCTTTGTAGACAGGTTCCTCTAGTACATGTTTCAATAAGAAACGATTGCCAAAGGAAATTCAAAATGTATGTGGTCTTTGTAGACAGGTGGACCCTAAAGCAGGGTTGACTGTACTATCAAGAGGCAAGTTAATTGGCTCAGTAAATGCTTACCACTTCCCCCTGTTCCTCGTGTTCTTGGTGCCTGTACCTCAGTGTCTTTAAATAGAAGGAAAATTGTTTGTTTGATGCATATTAGAGTGCATTCAATTCAATTTGATCCAAGTTTATTTCCAAATTTGATTTTAAAAAAAGAAAATACAATCAACATGTGTGTGTGTATATAAAAAAAAAAAAAGATTCAAAAGAAACATGTGCTACCCATAATGTTGTGGGAATAACAAAGGCCAACAAAATCATTGAGGTCTGACCAACAATTCTTTCCATTTTATTTACCACATACTAGGGTAGCGATTTGGGAAAAAAAAGGAAAAAAATAATCAGCTATATGCTTGTTGATTATATTGGTTATAATTATGTATGTATATTCATATATGTTTTGTTATGTTTTGTAAAGTCAAAAGCAATATTGAATAAAGATGATTTTATTAAAGAAGAAAAAAAAATGGGGAATAGTTTGTCATCAGTTATCCCGTGACCTTCGCTCGATATGTGACAAATACAAACTAATTATTCCCAAGTCTAGGCTCTCATTTACCACAAAACATTTCACAGTGGCTGACTCGAAAAAATGGAACAGTATTGCACTTTCCATCAGAGAATTGTCCTGTCTTGCCTCTTTCAAACTTCTTCCCTCAGTAGCTTAATACAATTTATACCTATTGTTATGAGTTTACGTATTTCATGTTTCTCGTCACATTTTGACTAGACCTCAACAACTGAACAGTTTATTTGAATTCTGGAACAACTCACCTCCTCGCACAAATTCAGACGCTCCTGTCGATGAAAACGAAAAGCATCACAATTGTTAGGGATAGATTATTCTTATAATAATAAATAATAATAATAGGCATTTTTATAGCGCCTTTTATCTAGAGATTCCATTCCGAGGCGCATTTTTATTATTACCCCGGCTTTAGCCTAGCTGCCATTACAGCGCTCTAGCATTTCAAGGAATTAATTCCCGCCAAATTCCTACCCATTTACATCACCTGGGTTGAGTGTGGCAAATGTAGATCAATGTTTTGCCAAAGGACACTAGTGCACAGTATGACATCAGAAACTATTATGTGATTTAATCCACTATAATGAACTCAGAATATGAAACCCGAGTTCAATGGAGAAAAAAGTAATTGAAAAACAAAGAAATCTTTAGGAGTAAATGATACAAAAAAAAAAAGTGTTTTTATGAAGGCATCTCGCCTTGCACAGGAGGGTGCTGTTGACCATATGGTCTGGAATAGGGCCATGAGAAAAATGAAACGTTGAATCCCATAGCATGGGGAAAGAAACTGATTAGAAGGGATGTTAATGATGACAATCATGAAGATAATGTTGATGATGATGGCAGCAATGATGATGATGATGATGATGAAGATGATGATGATGATGATGATGATGATGATGATGATGATGATGTTGATGGCCGCAATGATGATGGTGATGATGAAGATGATGATGATGGTGATGTTGATGTTAATGATAAAGATGATGATGATGATGATGGTGATGATGATGATGATGTTGATGATGATGATGATCATGAAGATAATGTTGATGATGATGTTGATGATGATGTTGATGATGATGATAGCCGCAATGATGATGGTGATTAAGATGTTGAAGATGTACTTACTTTTCCCTTTGCACCCATCAGAAAGAATTACAATTATATTGGAATGATAAAGCTAGAAACAAACTGCAAATCTAAAATTGAGAAAATATGGCATGCAAAATGAAGGAATATCATTGGCTCCTTAGAAATTAAGGTATGCTAGCCCAATTAACTCCAGCTCCAGCTTGGGCAAAACCAGTATTAGAAATTATGAAATGTCACATTCATTGGTCCTGGTTTATAAGTTGTATGCATATGAGTTTATACCTACCTGGCATTCGGAAAGATTGTGAACCAGAACGTCCAGCAAGGCTGACAAAAAGGCCCTGACCAACAGCATTTATCTCTGCATACAAGAGAAATGAAACAAAACTTCAATTTTCAAAATTAGGTCATTATAAAGGTATATCACCAAATCAACACCTGGGGGGTGTTTCACAAAGATCCTAAGTTGAACTTAACTCCAAGTTAGACTTATACATCATGGAGAGCCATTTTTAGCCTTAAAATAACATATATTCAAAAGCAGAAATTAATACATTCCACTTCAAGAACATGAAACCTCCTTGATAATAGAAAATATGAATGATTTGGATCAACATTTGATAATCTTTAAAATATCTTTAAAACAATATTTTTATAATTCTTAAGTCCAATTTAGAGATAAGTTCAACTTAGGATCTTTGTGAAACACTCCCCTGATCTGCAAATGATACTTATATGATATCACAAAAGGCCCATTACTTTACTGTAAAGAGTTTAAAGAAGGGGTGATATATGTTCAACAACAAAAAGAATATATATATGTTTTAAACAATAAGAAATGTTTTCCTTCAATCCAGTTATACTTGACCAGACCTCAGTCATTTTAAGAGGGAAAGTCAAGTTCTGAGAAGAACAAACAAATTGAAAAATAATTTCTCATTCTTTTTGTCTTTAGGGTGGAAGAATATCATATAAAAACATAGAAAACGATTGGTCTTCAAATTTCCTTTTGAGGGAATAGCAGTATTGTTTAGACCAAAATCTCAAGCTATTTATTTGTTCATTCCCATATAAATATTTTTGTGTACAGCGCAAGTGTCTTCAGGAAGGCAGGGTCATTTTCTCAGGTGCCAAAAATGTAATACAAATTAGAGGAGGAATGATTCTATATTCCTAAGAAAAGGTGACCATGACAGTGCAAAGTAAAAGAAAGCGTTTAGCGGCTTGTAAATCAAAACAGAGAAATGTGACGTTTAATCTTATTATTTTTAAATTCAGTTTTGCATGGTTATATCTATCGCTATGATAAAGACAAAAAATGGCGTCTATTTCATGTTTTATCTTAACAGAATAGTACGGTTCTACATGTTCGCAGACATGGGTTCTGCACAGATAAAGGCAAAGCGTTCTGAGAGAGATAGTTACGACACGTGCACGCATTCACGCTCAAAGGTCGCTTCATGGAGCTCCAAATAGCTCCCTCCCACATACAAACTCTATAGAAGGAAACCATTCTGGTGCTACATGAATTTGACCTCTGAATAAGAGTGACTTCTGTTGATGTCACTATCTGTATACTCCAGCAATGGACATAGGCACTCTAGCCATACTCTAGCCCGTGAAAGGAATTTTCAGCGTACCTGACGTGGAAACTCCTGTAGAAGAAGCAGATGAACCTTGAAATAAAGTATAAAAAAGACGAAAGAAAAGTGATGAAAGAAGTTGGCAATAATCGAGTTGATTGTGTTCAGCCGACTCCTGAATACTCCCACTGCCATTGGCACAGTTGTACAACACTTGCTCAGGCTACAATTGTTCCACGATAACTCCCTACGGTAACCAAATGCTTAACTTCAACCAGGTACCCAATACTCTACCTAACCCTAAATTGAGGAGGCGCGATAGCTCTGTTAGTAGAGCAGTGGTCTCGTGATCCGGTGACCCGGGTATGAAACCAAGTCAATGCGCTTGTGCCCTTTGGTAAGGCATTAATCCTCATTACCACGTCCCTCTGAGAGGACCTAAAGCCGTCGGCTGTCTGGTTGCCTACTTACAAGCATTTATGCTTTCTTAGCAATCAGGTAAAATAACCACCACCACATTCAAACTAAACCTACCAGTAAACCAGAACCCAATTTAGTTTCTCGCCTCAACTTCTGTAATAGTATCTTATATATATATGGTCTTCCTGATAATGAAATTCAGAAGTTGCAAAGAATCTAAAACTCTGCAGCAAGGTTGGTTACTCGAACTCGACTTCATGATCACATCAGCCCAGTTTTAGAAAAACTCCATTGGCTTCCAGTAAAACGACAAATTGATTTTAACATTGGTGTTCTTGTGCATGCAAGAATTAGGCCCCGATTACTTACAACAATTGATAACAAAATATTGCCAGGCAACAAACCTTCGCTCTCAGTCAAGATCCTTGTTAGTTCCCCCCCCCCCTTAATATCAACAAATTACTATGGTGCGAGGTCCTTTTAACTGGCAGCTGCAGAGTTATGGAATAAATTACCTAGTAATCTTAATCAGGTTGACACAGTAGAATAAGAGTCTCTTAAAGACACATTTTTCTGATTGTTAAAATAGTACAATGTTATGACAAAGCAGTTATTCTCTTTTCTTCCTTTATGTCTGCTATTATCCTTCTTTTCTTTTTTTCTGAGCACATAGGAACTTGAATTCATTTTTGTGATATGTGCTGTATAAGAATGGTTTATTATTAGTAGTAGTAGTAATAGTAATGTAACCAAATCTAAACTTAAGTGCCTCAATACAAATTATTTCATTTTTGCATATACCGGTATTACTTGTTGTTAGGTAGGACCGGCCATAATGTTTGTCCTACCTAGCAACAAGTAATGTATGCCATTCACATTCAGACTATTGAAATACAATTATTTGTCACAGGTGAATGAAATAATTTGTATCAACAAGAACTTGATAATCAGGGTGGATTCCCCCTTTCAAATATCCTTACTGTCACTTTCTCTTGTCCTAACCTCCGCAGTTTCTGTATCTGAAATGACAACGAAGAAAGACAGAGAAAAGTAAGAAACAGGGATCAGGCTTCACTTTTTATTACCGGTGGACAATGATTACACGTCCATGGCCAAATTCAACTTTCATGGTCAATTTCAAGTGGACAAATTAAGTAAATTTTCAAAACCCAGAAGGCCCTACACAGTCCTATATTACTGAAAATTATATTTATTAATGTGTTGGAACAAATAAAGAGTTTCCACATCACAGTGATATATATATATATATATCAAATTGAAAATAATTCCCATATGTAGATCGAGCTGTTAACAATTACAACGTTAACGTTTCATAACTTTCACATTCACAATTGTCTGATTTTTTCCACACTTTCTGGTTTCTTTCATCTTGCTTTGCTGTAATGGTTGGATTACCCTTTAGTTGTACCTTAATTAACGGTGTATATACCGCCCTCGTGTATTAACCACACCCCTCTTTTTGGCCCTAAATTTTTTTTTTTTAAATTGCTGACTCTTTTTTTGCCGACTCTGTAGGCAGCAAGCCAGGTCCGTGTTAAAAAAACCCACGCAGGAAGGCCTTTCATTTAACGGCGAGGTGCAGCTGAATGTGTAAGATCATTAATGTAAATTAAAAAACAATAGAGGACCTAGGATAGAACATTGTGGTACGCCATGTAATAGAAGAAAAATTGGAGGAATTATTATAACAAACTACATATTGAGATCTATCAGAAAGATTACTTTCAAACCAAGATGACAGATAAATTTGAGTGTTGTTCTAGTTTCCGAGTGGTGAGTCAACACACCGATTACTGATTTTTGTTTGTGTGTGTACCGTGTATAAGATGCACCCCCTACTTTGAATTTTTTGGGGCGGCAAAAAAATGTGGTTAATACACCGTTAATTACGGTAGTTCCCATAAACCAATATAGTACCCTGTCAATATATTACCTCCTCTTTCTGGTGCCTTTGGTATTGCCTTGAGTGAGAAAGCTTTCTTCAAGTTCTTAAGATTCAACTTGAAAACGCCTGCCAAGAAATAGGGATCAATACATCCATGGTCAAAAGTGCACAAGCTAGGTGTTTTATTATGTGCCATTTAATTGTTTCTTGTTGTCTTATTACTATTTGTTTCCATATTATGTCTACATCCTGAAATAATTTTTGCACTCTTAAAGCCTATCTGCACTAGTTTGGCAGGGATGGATTAGAGCTCCTTGTGTGTTTACTGGCAGGTGGTTATCTCATTGAATCAGTTCTCAATTAACATATAAGTAAAAGGGGACCATGGGGATCAACGGGTACCACTAAGGCTTGTTGGCTTTATAGAGGGCGCCAGTAGCTACAAGTAGTGCAGTGGGGCTTTAATAGAGAAAAGAGTTCATCCAGACAGAAGATGGGAGTTACGCCTGGCTGGAATGCTCCCCAGGGAGTGGAGATTGTGCACACAATGTGTGTGGGCAAGCACTGAATCCAATGACCAGAGTAATAGTATATTTGTAAAGCGCTTAGAGACATTTGTATTAAGCGCTATATACAAATTAAATATTATTATTATTATTATTATACCTGCCAACATTTGAAAATATGAATTAGGAATTTTTAGCACGGTATGCTTTAGAAAATAAGAAATCGCACTTGCAGTGGCAGTGTAACTGGCAGTACGCTGTAAATCTGTACCAAAGAGTGATTACAAATTCGATGCTCAATCATGCGGCCATTCAACGCACACAATATGTGAACTCTCAAATGCGGCACATGATAAAACAAGCTTAATTTGGCTTTAGCATAAAAAAAAAAATATGAAAAAATAGGAATATTCCAGATTATTTGTAAGGTTTGGCAGGTATAGATAGCAGAGGTAAGAAAGTACATGCAAATAGATATTGGCAGAGAAAGAAACACAGGACTAGAAAGGTCTCAGTGCAGCAATCAGCATACTTTTAAATGTAAAAAACAGGTGTATTAAAACATGAATATATGGGCCGCACATACAAAATTGAAAACAGTAACATTTTTAGCCTGAAAGGGCAACCAAGATTTTTTGTTAGTGGGGTTCCCTGGTTTTGGACTCATGATCAGCAAGTATGAGCAAGGTCGACTCGGAATAATGCCAAAAATATATACGTAAAATAAGTAAGCCCTTAGCCTTATGAAACCTATAAGTTGTCAGTGTCACTATAAAAGTGAACACGCGTACATTACGATTATGATTCACACAAATATCTCATCTTAGGTTAACATAGAAGCTGGAACAACTTACCTGTATTTGGAGCTGTATCAAGATAAAAAGAGTAAGAAAACAAATGTAAATGACAATTCTTGCAGGCCAAACTACTAAATTTCTGGTACTAAGGGTAGTGTTTCTTAAGTTCAAGTTTCGCTGACAACCAATTGAGATGTGTGTATGAAATTAAATGCGCGTTCTAATGGGATGTCTGAGAACTATATATATGCCACCACAATTTTGTGAAACAATGCCCAGATTCGATCTCTTCTTTTTTTTCCTGTACTGAACCCTTAACCCTTTTAACTTTAGCTTTGATTAGATATAGAACAAATATAACTTAATATAACATAGACTTCTAGATAGAAGCATATAGTAGGTCACGAGTATTCACAGTATTAGACCCTGGGCCCAGCATTCATTTAGAGCTACAATATGTAGGCCTACAAAGCATTATGATTGGGGTGTATCCGGACGTTCAGCAAAAACTTTTCTAGCTTTTAGCTAACTCCGGGATGCTCAAACACTGAAGCTCAAACACTGGCGCCGCCGGTGTTAGAGCTTCCCGGAGTTAGCTTAGTTTTAGCTAGTCTTCTTGTATTTTGGCTTTGGATTTAAGAAAAATAGACTCTATGCATAAGAATAACCAGATAGAACAATTGCCTCAATAATTTTCAACATAAGTCTTACACAGTTAGGAAATATTGGTTTTAATCTTCTTCAATTATTCGAAATCAACTGCTAATAGTAGATCTATCCCGTATCCGGAATTCCGGATATATCCCGACACACAACGTGTGGCGAACCGATGGGAAGCGGGTGTAAGATTAGCTAGAACCCCAGCCCCACACCTTAGCAGGCACTACTCGCCCAACCGTTGGCGAGCCCATCGGGACGCCCGATGGGCTTCAGAAGATGCTCAGCTGCAGTTTCGACAGTTTGGCCGAAGATAAATAAACCAGTTAAAATATAGGCACATTCAAACTTAAATGCATGCAAATAATTTCATTTCTTTTTTTGTGGCGTTAAATGATCTACTCACAGTGTTTTTTATGGCGTTTTCGATAACCCGCACAAGCTATGTGTTTTCGAATGCCCCGCTTCTATGTAAACAGCAGGCGCATTTAATTTACACGGTGTGCATGGGGTGCACGTGTGTGTCTGCTTGTTGTTGTTGGTGGTGTTGGGTTTATTGGCCACGCCTTCTCTATTATAAACGTGGTAGTCAAAGTTAAACTACCGAAACGTCGTTATCACAAACACCGCGCACCTCCCCGTTTACATACCTGTTTCAGGTTGTTCAGGTTGTTCAACTCCACCCCGAGTTGGTGCCGCTACAACATCAGTGTCTCCAACTTCGTTTTGATTGTGAAATAAGACATGAGATAAAACAAGTCAATTTGCTAATTTAGATTGTTTAGCATGGGCATTGAATGGTTGAACGTGTTGATGTACGTGGTTACTGTTTTTCAATTAGTTGTGGATCGCCGGGGGGGGGGGGGGGCGGGGGCAACGGCACGGCAGCAGTTAATGAAAAAGTTATTTACGTGTTAACTTAGCACACGCATTTCAACGGGATATCGGTGAACTTGTACTTTATTAGCTAGGACGGTTTCGTGATCGAGACGCTGCATGCCAGTTCTTGGATTGAAAAAGCCCCTATGTGAGCCCCCGGTAGCATTGGCAGGCAAGGAGGGGGGGGGGGGGGGTAATCCATAACAACCTTTGTTGTTATTATTATCATCGTCGTCGTAGTTCTCTTTAATTTCCTTTTCTTTTCCTTTATAGATGGTTGACTTGCTAGAATGAGTCGGATTACAAAGACCAATGTTTCATAAAAATTAACACTGACACAATGTTTTTAAGAAATCAATGAACTAAATAAATGAATATTCAAGTGTAAAATTCAGGCATAATTATCTTCTACACGATGCTAAAATCATGTTCTGGAATTCGTTTGTTCATTTGTTTGTATTTCTTAGTGCATCTAAACAACTGACGTATGCCGGGCTTTAAAAGTCAACATTTTAAGAGTCACGTACGCCCTTCCGCTACGTTTACAAAGATAATTCATACGATGTTTCTTTACATGAGTTTCGTATCAATTTCCTATAGTCTGAACTTAAATTGAATAAATGGGAGGGGCTATACTAGTTACCTTGCGGTTTTGGATTGGAGAGACTGAATGATCCCCCTTGCACAGAACCTTTGTACTGAATATTTCCCTTGCCGTTCTCTGTACCATGGAAAAATAATTGGTTAAGATGTTATTTGTTACGAAAAGAAAAATAACATGTACACTTGTATAATTTCTGTTGTATACTTTTTAAAATTTTGTTGGTACTTTATTTATAATAATAATAAATAATAAATGACACTCCTGGCGCAGTTGTGTGAAAATTGTATAGATGTGGGCATACGACCATCAAGTGATTCAATAAAGAAAATAAAATACACATAAGTTAAAGTTTAGCATACTTCAGGACAGAATTTTGAAAATGGAAATAAAAATTTGAACTTTGAACTTTGAAGATACCAGATAAGAGAAGAATGAAAGAGATGTGACAGAACAAGAAGACACCAAAGAGATCTTAAGGAAAAACAGATAGTAAGAATGATAATAATGATAATGATAATAAGGACAATAATAATCATAATAGTAATAGTAATAATATCAATGATTATAATAATGATAATGATAATAACAATGAGGGGAGTTACGATCTGTAGGTGGTACGCCATGGAGGAGTGAACTACATTAATCTTTACGAGACAAAAGAAAAGTGAATGTCCTTTTTATTTTGTAAACCTTTCGATCAAAAACATTTTATTTGTTATGACTTGTCGGTTTAAGATGCATAAATTCAAGACAAGTACAACAAAAATAGCCTAATTGTTTTCCCTATGACTGGCATCCTCATGATGTATCGTTATTTATTGGGGATTTAAGAATACAAGGTGTAAACACACTTAAAGACACAACAACTGTTTTCCTCAACCTGTAGGAAATCAACTTACCATACTTAAATGCTTACGTCTAAGCGATACTTTGCGAAATGTCAAAACGTTAAACGAAAGAAGACACATCATAATTAATAATATAAAACTATATTATGCTTATGCATAACTATTTCAGTAAACCGACACACATAGTTACGCACTATCATAATTTATGAAGAAGTCGAAAATTAGAAAAATTCTCCCGAAATAAACAGAAGTGGAAGCCCTCTTTTGGGAGAGTCGAACTTGGGAACAGCCTTCGTTTGAGGTTTAGCACCTGGGGTTTAGAAACCACGCTCAGAATAGTTGAATCTACCCTCAAGAGAGTAATCCAACCACTACTCTTGAAGCTGTAAGTTGGAGTGGAATCAACTCCAAAATGAAGTGATCCCGACTAATAATTACTCCTTTAAAAAGATTTGCCACTCCCATGTATGCATAAAAATAACCTAGAGTAACATTCTACACCGCCCCCCCTAATTTACGGCAGCCTAGTGCATGAAGTAGTATCAAATTACGTACGATATATAAATGAAGAGGCTATACAAAATGTTTACAGACTAAAAAGAAAAGTAGCAAATAACGATTCCTGTCCTACTTAATTCAACCCGTTTACATACCTGGTTCAGGTTGTTCAGGTTGTTCAACTCCACCCCGAGTTGGTGCCTCTACAACATCAGTGTCTCCAACTTCGTTTTGATTGATGTGAAATAAAACATGAGAAATACAAGTCAATTAGTATTAATTTAGCTTGTTTAGCATGGGCATATTGTTTGCTGTCGTTGTTGTTGTTGTTGTTTACTTTCTGTTTTTCAATTAGTTGTGGATCGCAGGAGAGACTTGCTCCACCGGCAAAACCCAATCTGGTAACCGAGTCTGGAATTAAAAAGCCCCTATGTGAGCCCCCGGTTGCATTGTCAGACCAAGAAAAAAAGAGGGGCATGTGATTATTTTTGTTTTTGATTTGGTTGTCTAAGATGGGGGAATCCATATTTTTTGTTGTTGTTGTTATTGTTGTCATCATCGTCGTATTTCCTGTTTTTCTGTTTTTGTTTTCGTTTAAGAGGGTTGAATTGATAAAATAAACCGGGTATCAAACACCAATGTCGCATAAACACTCAAATAACACTAATAAACAATTTGTTTAAAGAAATCAATTAACTTTATAAATACAAAAATAAAAAATATAACCCCCCCCCCCCCCAATTAGTGATCTTTAATAACTTTACCAGGTACCTGCACTGACAACCGAACTGTTCAGGGATAGGTACAAATCTATCGAGTTCTGATATTCTGGATTATAATGATGAAGGAAAGTTTAATTAGATAAACCTTAAAAAGCTGCAAATAAGATGATATCTCCCAAACTGATTTTCGTTGAAAATATTGAAATACTAAAAATAAAGGTGATAGGAAATTTGAGCGAGATCAATACGTGCAGAACCGTTTTACATTTGTGCTCTCGAGAAATGTGAGGTCAAGCCATTTTTCTCAAAATATTCGGTTTATAATATATTTATATATATATATATATATATACATTCCTAAATACTTGTTTTATATTTTGATAGCCTAAAAACGTCTACCTCCTACAAGAAATACAATCAGGAATTAATTTAATCTAATTTCACTGGAAATGGAATTCCATTACGATAATTAAAAGAAAAAAGCTCCATGGGCCCACGCCTTTCACCACTTATACAACGATGATTCTTTATTCGAGTTTCGAATTTCCTATAGTCTGACTCTGAACAAAAATTGAACAAATGGGAGGAGCTAATTACCTTGTGGTTTTGGATTGGAGAGACTGAATGATCCCCCTTTCACTGAACCGCTGTACCGAATGCTTCCCTTGCCGTTCTCTGTACCATGGAAAAATAATTGGTTTAGAGAGCATATAAGAGAAGAATGAAACAGATGTTTGTTTGTTTGTTTGTTTATTTAAGAGATCTTGAGAAAAATATTTTTCCGAGAGAGTTTACAATAATGAAAATAATAATAATAATAATGATTAAGTAATAAAATGATAGTAATGAAAATAATAATAATGATAATAAAAACATTATAATAATAACGATGAAAATGATAATGATAATAATATTTATAATGATAACGATTCATTTAAGAATCAAGCATCTTTTTATTAAATACAAAGCACACGAAACAAAAATACTCGAACAGAGAGAACATTATTTTTACAAAGCTCATAGGCTTATATATTAAATACTATCAAAGAGGAATGTTACGACAAAGTAGAAAAGATGTGTTTTCAAACACTTCTTGAAAGAGTATGGTAGTTCTTTCATACAGAGGCCCAAGAGTTCCAGATTGTGAAGGGCAATAACTTAATAAGCCCTATCATCTGTTATAAGTATTGGTTCGGGAGATGGTTAGTGTCACTGTGGTGGCCGAACGTGAATTGTACGTGGATGCAGGCGCAGATCCAGGATTTCTTAGGGGGAGGCCCAAATTTGAAATCTATTTTTTTCCTTCTTCTATTTTGACCCCGAAAATTTGAAAATCGCGCCGGCCGATAGTGAGCGCTTAAACAAAAAAACTAACCACAACCCCCCCCCCCCTTCTTAAGCAAAAAAGAAAAGGTAATTTTCTGGTCACAATTTTTTTTGCCCGTCTTTTGGGGGGGGGCCAGGAAGGGGAAGGCAAGGCCCGCTCACCCCCCCCCCCCCCTCCTGGATCCGCGCATCCGTGGATGTGTGGGCAGAGAGTAGATCATCGAGGTGATTGATTGATTGATTGATTTTTATTCGACAAGCTTCCAACATACAACAATATACAATAATAACAGATCAAAAATAAGTTAGCTTGAACAGGATAACCCACGAAAGCTCGAGAGCTTATTTCCAGTGGGGTACCTTACAGACATGTATAAAATTAATAAGTTAAAATAGTAATAAAAACCTACTTTGGAGCCTATTCCACTATAAGGAAAGTGAAATTAACTAAAAAATGAAGTGATCCCAATTAACACTTACTCCTTAAAATAATGGATTGCCACTCCCCTAATATGCATGAAGATTACTTAGGGTAACATAGTGAGACGCGAGGGCTCAGTGGTAGAGCAGTAGTACGATACACACATGTAGACGCTATAATAACATTTTACAAACTAAAAAGAAAAGTATAAAATAATGATTCATGTCTTACTTGATTCACCACTTTCACATACCTTGTTCAATTTGTCCACCCCGAGTAGGTGCCTCTACAACATCCGTATTTCCAACTTCGGCTTGATTGTGAAATAAACAATAGAAGTACAAGGTAATCACCCTTTAGTGTGAACATTAGTTCTTTCGTTACTGTATTACGATCGGTGGTCGATCCGGTAGAGATGGGGGAGGGGGGGGGGGGGGCTCTGCTCCCTGGTAACATTTAATCTGGCATAATTAAGCCCCCGATAGCAAAATTAGATCAAAATTTGGTTCCTCATGACTTTTTATTTCGATTTGTCTCAGAAAAAGAGAGCGATCGAGAATTTTGTTTACAATTTGTTAGCTTGTTTGTTTATTTGTTCGTTTTGCTTGCTTTTGAAGCAAAACATTATTATTCCCCTTATATAGCTATGGGCCATAACTTATAGGTTCTTTTCTTCGTCTTTTATTCTTTGTAGATGAAATTGACAGAATGTTAATATTGAAATAGAGTATGTAAAATTTGCTACCTTATAATGTGCTCAACACATCGAATCGATACTTACCAGCTGGCTCACTCTTTTCCGCGGGAACAAGCCTAAAAGGTTTACTTTGTTTACTTAATCTGCTTGCAAAGATTCCCTTCAGATTCAGCGTAGGTGCTGCATAAATAGCAAAAAAAGAAGAAAAAGATTAATAAGCAAATTTCTCGAAGTGGAATTACTTTAGGCATTTTGCTGGTTAGATAGTATCCTTTCCTTGTTTCAAGTGGTTTTCGGTTTATCCTAATATCCATTGCACATTGCGTTATCAATATTTAAATTATACTACTAATTTTGTTTAACAAGGGCAGCTTCATCAGCTTCACTGCTGTTCTTCCTGAGGGCCCTGCCATTATTATTACCACAGTAATTACCAAGTACCCATCTACACCTGGGTGGAGAGTGGTAAATGTGGATTTATGTCTTGCCAAAGGATGTTGGTCCCGGGCTGGGGTTCAAAACCTCCACCCGGCTTGGATTGAGAGCCAAGTGAATGAACCGCTATACCACGACACCTTCATAATTAGTCTTGCCATAGGGTGTTAGTGCCGGGCTGGGATTGGAACCCTAAACCCTTGGATTGAGAGCCAAGTTAATGAACCGCTATACCACCACACTTCCATGATTCAACCATTTTGTGTAAAATCACCGATGGAGGATTTTACATGATTGTATGTGCAATCTGCCGGTTCGTTTATAATTGTTCATGCATTTGCTTTTTGGAGGAAGATAAAAGATTGTGCCACTTTGTTGAAATGAATTTGCAGCTATATATCTGAGATGGAACCAATTACATTTGCCTTTATTGTTTTGTTTAATTCATAATTCATTCTTAATAATGAATGAATGAATGAACGTACGTATGATAATAGCAGATAAAAAATGTGACAAAGAAAAGAATACTTTTCAAAATGATATGCGAACAACATGCGTCAATTGCCTGGAATTGTGTCACGCCGCTTGAGTCCACGGAATGTACAGCATTAACTTTTCCAATATTAATCGCCGAAGGGACATCAAAATACAAAATTAAGACTAAATAATTCTTTCCATAATCATCCTCGAATATTGGTAAAATCATCCGTCAACGGTTAATCTGAAACAGTCCAAAACATCATCGACTATCAATTCAGGTATTGTCAGCCAGGCCCACTGACATTTACTTTGAGGAGATAATTTTTACTAATTTGTATTTTGCATTTTTGTATTCTTACACATTTCTTTAGAATTGGTATGATCATGTCAACTAGTGTTGTGCAATGATACGCACTTCCAATTATCCTAGTAACGCATTTCACCAAAATCAATTTTGAGATCATTACGCAAGTAACGTTACATACCTTTATTTAGTATGTTGAATAAATCGAGTCATCTGATTGGTCGAAATTGGGGGTCGTGATTTTAGCCATGCCCGCCTAACGGTCAATAGTTTATGAGAAAGATGCCCGTTGCCCCAGGTAACGGGCCGCATAAATAATTTTTGCTGAGATCCCCATTGGTTTACATGTAAAAGTTTCAATGCAATGTGTGTGCGCTTCCCGAATGATCGTAACATTCAGGCAACTTTACAGCGAAGATTTACAGACAGTGTCTCAGATTTTCTGTGATGTTTTAACCAGTCTTTACTCAAGAAAATTTTAAGGTAAAAATGTTTTGTAGATTTTGTGTGAACTTGATTGGACTGCTTTAATATTCGAAGCAAAGCTGTTTCTATACCGGCTCTCGGGGACGTTACATCCTGCTATGACTCCGAGGCACACTGTGGCGCTTGTGCCTTATAGAAACAGCGATGCCTCTCATAGCAGTAAATATATCTATAATAACACATGTAAAGACTATAATGTACAATTTACCTGGTGCAGGTGTTGGTGCAGGTGGTTGACGTGTTCGCTCTGTTGGTACATCGGTGTCGCCTGTAAAAACGTAAAGAAAATGATGAAAGAATCGATTTTTTTTTTAAAAGGGAGATAATAAAAAAGCTCTTGAATGGAAAAAAAGAGTTTTTTTAAGAATAAATGGAATAATCTCCATATTGACGTCACTGTCCTTAACTGTAAATAACAAGCAATGAACAGAAACAAACATACTGACACGCATACTCACACGCACACACACACGTACACGTACACACGCGCAAAAGCGCACCTACAACCAGGGAGGTGAGACTTTAAACTCACATGCCCTGCTACAACCACTCACATTCACACATAGAGTACAGTATACGAATCATTACATAAGAAGGTGGACAAGCTTGATTTCAAAAAATGAACAGTATGCATAATGCATCTACTACTCTTCTTGTACGACAGGGTTAGATTATAACCGATGCCTTTCAACTTCGCTATGTATCCGAAGGATCCCAACATCAAACGTACTTTGTGAATTTACTTTGTTTACGATGTCACTCACGAAAGGTTGCGTCAGATATTACGCCAGTCGCTAACACAGACACAAATGACACCTTGTGTGCAATGGAGATGAAATAAGACTTCCTTTTCTATAGACGTCTTTTTGTCTCGAGAAAACTTAATTTATTCTTACCTCTAGCAGGAGGAGGGGCACCTAAGACGAAGCCACGCCCAGAAGGCTTATCTCCCACCACGATGTTTCCTTTGGGTGCTAAACCATCAGGATTAATAAAGGACAAATATACACTCAGAGAAATGGAGAAGAAAGTGGACACTATTTTAGAATTAAGACTTTGAAATAAATCTCTTTGAGATGATTATGCAATTGGAATCATACCACTCATGCATGAGTGAGCATGGTTATTTAACACTTAATGAGTGTCTGAAAGAAACTTGCAGAAACTGGGCATCTGGCCATTCAAAAAAAGTGTCAACTTAATTAATTTTGTTTTACTGATATCTACTAAAATTCCATTTTTTAGCTATCCATCTTTTTAACTTGCCATCATTTCTTTCTTTACGAAATCGCAATTCGGAATTAAAACAGGTATACCCCTCCTTAAATGTCACCTTTAACTTATATTTTAGCCATGACTATTAATAACCATCAAGTCATTTTGATAGGGATGTAGAGTCAAATCAAATGATTCGCAGAAAACGCACACGTGACCACTATATCCCAATTAACGCGTTTAATCAAACTCAATTCTGGGGATCACTACGTGGTTAACACTAACAACTGTAAAGACTAAAATAATACCTGGTGCTTATGTTGGTGCTATGACTCCGAGGCACACTGGGGCGCTTGTGCCTTTTAGAAACAGCGATGCCTCTCATAGCAGTAAATATATCTATAATAACACATGTAAAGACTATAATATACAATTTACCTGGTGCAGGTGTTGGTGCAGGTGGTTGACGTGTTCGCTCTGTTGGTACATCGGTGTCGCCTGCCAAAAACGTAAGGAAAATTCTTCAGTTCAGTTTAGTTTAGTTTATTCAATTCATCTTTAAAAACAATTTTTACAAAGGTAAACACATGCAATTTCATGTAAAATATTATACATTAATTTGGATAACATATACATGTAAAAATCAATTGATAAAAAAACAGAATAAGGCACAGCTGTATTAAAACAAAAAATTTAAAAAAAGGAAATTTTGTCTGGACAGCTTCCTATCAAATAAGATTTAATAAATATAGTAAGTAAACAAGTAGCAATTTCAAATTATGAAGGAACTACTATTTTTAAAATAGAATTAAAAAACAGCCTTTGAATGGCAAAACCAGAAGGTTTTTAAAGAATGCAAACAATGTTATGAAAACTGAACGATCAGTTACTTTCCTCATCAGTTGGACCTGAAAATCTATCTGACGACTGTAAAACATTAACACCATAAAACACACACGCACGCACGCGCGAACACACACGCATCCACTCCCGCACAAACACAACCACTTGCAACCCAGTCCCACCTTCCGTAGAGTTTAATTGGTTTGAATAGTTAAAATAACAATTCAGACAAGTTTGATATTCAACAAGATTGGCACGCATAATGCATCCTCTACTCTACTTGCACTTTAGAGTTTGATTATACCCTAAGCACAAGACGAGTCGTCACTTTCAATGTCTTATTAATTGATCTTTTGAATCAAAAGGATCCCAACATGAAACGCATTTATTGTGCATTATTTTACTCTGTGTACGATATCACTCTAAAAATGGCGCGTCAGGTATTACGCCAGTCGCTGATGTAGACCAACGTCCACATATGACGCCTTGTGTGCAATGGAGATGAAATAAGACTTCCTTTTCTATAGAAGTCTTTTTGTCTCGAGAAAACTAAATTTATTCTTACCTCTAGCAGGAGGAGGGGCACCTAAGACGAAGCCACGCCCAGAAGGCTTATCTCCCACCACGATGTTTCCTTTGGGTGCTAAACCATCAGAATTAATAAAGAACAAATATACACTCAGAGAAAAGAAGAAGAAAGTGGACACTATTTTAGAATTAAGATTTTGAAATAAATATATTTGATATTGACGTATCTTTACTATAAAAATAAGATTAATTCTCTTTGAGATGATATGCAATTGGAATCATACTACTCACGCATGAGTGAGCATGGTCATTTAACACTTAACCCCAAAAAGGCTGGGCTATTTGAGGTCTTGATGCGGCCGGAAGGCATTAAGGCCCTCCCCCACCCCCCTAAGTTCTCGGCCGTGAAACGGCCGATCGCCGCGAAAATTTGCACGCATGTCAAGTGAAGTGTTTAGAATACCATGGTAATTAATTTGTTTGAAAAATTCACTCATTTGCATATTTATGGTAATTTATGCAAATAGGGTCATAAAATTCACCGTTTTACCCATAAATCTTATATTCTTTATATTTAAGCATTCTTTTTCACATGTATTTGTAAGACCTTTTGAAACAATAATACGACAAAAAATTTGGAAGAGCTAGGTTATTCCTCATGTTATCTCTTGTTTTGATAATTATTTATGTTTGTTTTTTCAACTTTAGTATTTTATTGCTTGGGGGGAGGGCCATTATGCCCCCCCCCCCCCTGGCCTTATTAGGGTTAAAGAGTCTCTGACAGAAACTTGCAGAAACGGGGCATCTGACCTTTCAAAAAAGAGAGTCAATTTTTTTTTTTTTTTTTTTACTGATATCTACTTAAATGCAATTTTCTAGTTATCTATTTTTTTAACTTGCCATCATTTCTTTCTTTACGAAATCGCAATTCGGAATTGAAACAGGTATACCCCTCCTTAAAAAGACACCTTTAACTTATATTTTAGCCATGACTATTAATAATAATCAAGTCATTTTAATAGGGATGTAGAATCAAATGATTCGCAGAAAACGCCCACGTGACCACATTATCCCAAGTAACGCGTTTTATCAAACTCAATTCTGGGGATCACTACGTAGTTAACACTAACAACTGTAAAGACTCAAATAATACCTGGTGCTTCTGTTGGTGCTGGCGGTGCACGAGTTGGCGGTGCTTGCACGTCTGTATCGCCTGCCAGAAATGTAAGGAAAGAAGGAATTACTTTTTTTGATAGAAAATTAACAAACAGCCTTTTAATGGCAAAACGAGAAGGTTTTTAACGAATGCAAACAATTTTATGGCAACCGACGATCAGTAACTTATTAATACATCTTTTGAATCCAAAGGAGCCCATAATTATTGTGCATTAACTTTGTGTACGATGTCAGGGATGTCACTCTCAAAATGGCGCGTCAGGTTTTGCGCCAACCGCTTTAAACTTCGGGGAAAACAACAAATCCTTGTTTCTTGGTTTGTTTCTTTTATTCATCCGTCGTTCAGGAATTATCAACTTCCGGAAAGAAAGAACAAAAATCATAAACATTTTTGTTTCTGGGTTTACTTCTTTGCTTCATACCTCGTACAGGAGGGGTCATCATGACAGTATCCCCACGGGGGTTCTCCGGTGGCACGATCACTCCTACACCTGGAGCTGTTTTGAGAAACAACGGACAAGATTAGTATAATCTAAAAATATCTTTCGAAATAGAGGATGAGAATGATGGAGCATCTTGCACGTCGTGATGGGGATCACATAAATCATCATTTTCCCTTTATCAGTGCCAGTGGAATAAAGAAAACAAAAACTATAAGGTTTGATTCATAAAATGTAATTGATACATTTTTGTTGTAATAACGACAATAATTCATTCGAGTTTCGATTTATTCTCGAACATGTTTAACTTCAACGTGAAATTTTGGATTCAAATTTAGGATTATTGACTTGCCCGGGACGTAAGTGCCGGTCTGAGATTCGAACCCTCATCCCTTGGATTGAGAGTCAAGTGAATAAACCGCTAATCTCCACGGAGCCGTAGAGAGTACTATGAAGTGTATTACCAGCGAAGTCAACATTTACATGACTTTCTGGAGAAACCTATGCGATTGTGCCGACAAAATGGATGGATATAATAGAGTTGTGATAGGCTTGTATTGGACCAAGGGCTTCTTCAGACCTCAAAGGAAAATCCAACCCGAATCATGTTGCAGGCTCGTGAAAGTTTGAACGAAATCGTACAAACAATGAGAAAGTTACGAGTTTTTGAAAGTCGTAATCACTTTACGTATGGCGGAACGTATGGGCTCTTCAAATTGGCTTAAACGATATGTCACTGTGATACATTTGTAGACAACTATTTTTTTCCAACATACAAGTTGTTACTAGTTTGCGCTTTGTCAATTTTCAAAATGTATGCCTCAGGAGGGTCTTTTATTTTAAAAGGACCTATACTATTTTGCTCTCCGTAATACGTATATCCATAATCCATGGTACACGTGTACGTAAATTTTGAGTAGTACTTCAACGGAGGAGGAACTATGGAGATTTAAAAAAAAAAATATTAATAATGTATTTGTAAACGCGAAGAACGGGGGTGTTGTCCGCCAAACTGTCACTGTTCTATTTCTCTATTTTCCCCTTTTCATACAACTCGATACAAAGGCTGGATTGCGTTTTGCCGCTGTCAATATTACTTTTTGAGCACATCGGACAAGATGGTTTATCCCTGGAGTGTATTTTTTTCTTCAGATAAATAAATACCCTTTCATTCTCGAGCTAGTGAAGACTCTACTATAATTGTCAATCTATAATACCTACCATCGAAGAGACTTGGGTCTTCGGTTGGATCTATAAGGATAATGAAACAGAGATAAACAGTTACCATGGTTGCTCGAGGATTGACTTTCAATCCTCTCACATATCATCTGCTATATATGCTTGTTGAATCTAATACATGAAACTAACTCATTACAAATAGTCGGGGTATTTCTTACTTCCTTTGTATCTAAGTGTTTTGTCTTAGCTTTTTTCCCTTGAAATCTTTGTCTGTATATATTTTGATAATCAAAATTAACAGATTAATGGAATTAATGCAAATTAAAACATACGAAATTGTGCGATGCCAAATTTAAGTATTATCATTTTGATAGTTATATCAGTTAAATACATGAAATCGCAAGGACTTTTGAAAAGTTATCTCAAGGGAAATTTTATTTCAATACCTAAAAATACATTTATATCACAAAGAAATCAGATTCGGATCAATAAATTTGTCATTGTAATGTTGGCATTAAAAGGTAATTGAAGTAGCAGCAGTTTTTGTTGCTGATATTTTGTTCTTGTTTGTAGTAGTAGTAGTGGTAGTAGTAGTAGTAGTAGTAGTAGTGGTAGAAGAAGAAAAAGGAAAGGAAGAAGAGGAAGTACTATTATTATTATTAGAAGTAGTAGCAGCAGTAGTAGTAAATGTTGTTTTGTTGTAGTTTGAAGTAGTAGTGGCAGCAGTGGTAGAAGAATAATAATAATAAGAAGTAGTAGTAGTAGTAGTGGTAGAAGTGATCGTCGTCGTCGTGGTAGTAGTAGTAATATATGCACTACTCAGATTTTCTTTAACTTTTAGTAGATTGTTTAGAAGATTATTCCTAAGATCAATGTAGTGGAATGAAATAGTTTGCAACTGTTTTCATAGGTTAACTGGTATTTTTACCAGACTAATCCATGTCATGACCATGATCACTATTTATTTATTATTAAACTTACCGGGTACCACTGGAGGGGCAGTAGGTACGATGAAAACCTCGCCTTTGACGGGATCTTGAAAAGAAAATTTTAAATGGAATTGGTGAGACTTACATGCCATTTCCTCCGCGTAAGAACTTTCTGAAAAGGAAGGCTTTTCAAATGCCCTCATTTTCGAAATAATTATGACAAGTAAGAGCTAAAGGTTTTGAACCACAACTTTGATCCCACATGTTTGTGTATTCCATGAAACAAATTTCTGTTTACTGTACATGTGACACTTAGTAAAACTGGGCCAATTTCTTATCATTTTGATGATTCCTAAACCTCACGGTATACACCAATACTTATTTGCTACACGATGACCCTTTCCAAATCGCTTCTTGCACAATGCAATCGCATGAATAGAACTCAACTCATTCTTTAAACAAATGTTTAAGCCTCTTAAACAATCTTGGGGCAAGGAGAACCTGGTTAATGATCCTTCTATAATCAAACATGTAAGAAAAAAATTAAAAATACTTACCTATATTTGGGACGACTGCATTTAAAAGAGAAAGGGGAAAACAAATCGATAAATATACCACTCTGTTAGTATGTCTTCTAGAACTCTACAAAAGAGGTGAGGCACGTGGTGAAATATAAAGCATATCCCTTAAAGCATAAATGTTTTCTCTGTTCTTATCCGTAGTAAAACACTCTTAAATCATGTTAATAGACCTACCTGCTTTAGTACAAGCAAAGGAAAAAAATAAAACGTAAAAAGGTGAATGTTTCATGACCATATAAAACGATTATCTGTTAGAGATGTAAGCATAGTACGTCAGGAAATTCTCAGGAAATTCCCATCTATGATATCAATATTACATCCATTCCGTGCCTAAGTTCTCTATACTGCAAACTTATGCGATTTTATTGACACTCTTCATTCTTACAATAGTAATGTAACTGCGAAAAGTTTTATTTTCTCTAGTTATGAATATATTAATTCACAGCACTATCTATTTCTATTGAAAAATCAGCCCTTTATATAAAGAAAGACTTACTTTCCGCACGCAGTTTTCGGCATTCGTACTGGAAGCTGATATACTTTTCGGTGTTTATACAATTATCTCCAAAGCGATGTGGGTCTACCAGACACTCCTGTTTTCCGCGACAGGCTATACACACCTAAGAAGTGAAAGAAAAATATCAACAAAAAATGAAACAGTTCCTTTTGTTTTGTTTTGTTGTAGTGACAGAATTTGAAAATAATTAAATTAGGCTATCAACCAATGCTTCAATAAAACTATTTACACGGGGGGGGGGGGGGGGGGGGGGAGGGCAGAAGCTAAATTTGCAGACCTTAACCCCTTACACCTGGATTAAAGCGACAATATTTCTGCGTGTTCACTGCTCGCCTAAAATAAGAATGAAAATGTCTGCTAAGTAGAAAAAAGAAGAAAAAAGTGGGAGGGGGGTACAACATTTTTTTACAAGGGGAAAGGGAAAGGGGTATATGCCTCGCTCCCCTGGATCCGCCAGTCAGAAGCTGTTCCAGAAAAATAATTTGGGGGCGCCTTGGTGGTGGTTGGGGTTACTGCATTCATTTTCTCCCCGTATCTCGAGATTTTTCTTCGAGCCCCCACCGCCCTAAATATAGATCAATTGGAGACAAAAAGATACTCTCTGAAGCAGATCTGCCGCCATACAGTGTCTGTTTGAAATGCAATGTAATTAATTGACATACCAGTTGGAATGTTGGCTCATATCGGCAATTGATGTCATCGGTATAGGAGGTACTGGTGTTACACACGTCGGTACCCATCCGACCGAAATTAGCCTCCAAGGGGTGTATAGCTGTTCCCTCCGGGCATTCCGCCCTCAGCTTATCGGGGTAACACGCGTAAGATGTCCTCAGATTCCTTGGGTCGAAATCTACATAGGAGGGTCAAGCAGAAAGGTGTCTGGCGGTCACTTGACTGAAACGAATTCCTGAATGATTATTTGTAAGAAAATGATATTGAATCGTTGCCCGTTGTGAGTCCTGTTAAAGGATTAAGAAATTAAGCCTCTATTTTGCAATGTTTTTCCAGAAAACAATTAGGAGAACGCCCCACCCCTACGCGCCCCCCCCCCACAAAAACACGAAAATATCGATCGTGAAACACCCTTTTATAATGTATTCATTTTCACTTTCAGCATTTCAAAGAGACTCATAGTCATAGGCAATTCAGCAATTCAATGATATTTTGTTTAAATGATATGTACAAATCGACGGGATGAACCCGTACGCCTGAAAATGCAACGACGTATTTTCACGGCCTTTGTCGCTTATTTTTAATGTCGATGAGTGTTTTGTACACCAAATTGCCCTTGATTTCTCACGACTATTGTCTTAAAATTTCAAAATTAACTATATTCGGGCAACCGCCACTCAGTGACGTAGTCTACTAGCATCTTTTACATACTTGTTACATTTCTTACGACAACATAACGTTGTATCAAAATTTGAAAACTAGAGTTGTTAATCGAGCAACAAATATCAGCCCCTCCCCCGAGCTACGTATGACTATGTCGTTGTTGACGTCAAATTGGAACAAAAATCATCTAATTGTGGATCGAATATGCTTGAAAATGATCGAACATGTTCGACATGATTAATCACTGCTTCTAGCTAGTTGCACCTATAGGGTGTAAACATATTCTTCCTAAGTACCTCCTTTTTAGTGATTTGCCTTCTTTTATAACTCAGCTAAAGACTTGCCTATTACGCACTGCTTAAAACTAGCCACTACCTCAGTCTTTCCCCAGATGAATCATGGGTAATATGTCTTTGCAGTGTCATTACCAGCGCATTGGATTAGGCAACGAAATATCGGTGCTGTTTCTGCATATCTAGGTTGTAGAACAGTCTTCCTTCATACCTTCTCTCTCCACTCTCTCCTTGAGGTCTACTTTCAAAACTACAAATTCCCGTTTGGGATTGGATTGGACTGGACTGGACTAGATTTGACTGGATCGGACTGGATAGGATCTAATGCAACCTGAAAGTTTTAGGACTTGCCTCTGAATTCACACTTCTGCTCGGTCTCCATGCATTCGAAACTGACTTCCAGGTACTTGCGGGTTCCCGCGCACGGGTCCACGTTGAAGAAAGTCGTATTCCTAGCTGGAAGTTTGCAACTTTGCTGTCCCTGGCAATGGAAGGCTACTGCGAACCAAGACAAGTCTGCTTTACAGTGCTGACTGTAAAAAAGAATTAGAGTAAATGAACAAGCGAAGATTAATAATATTACGTTATAAAGGCCAGGTTCCACGTGCACGATGAGTTGTGACAACTTTAAATATAACCAAGACCACTCTGCTTTACGGTTTCGACTGTAAAAAAGTAAATAAATTAATGAATCTGCTTAAATGTAAAAAGAATAGGGTTATTAAGGCCCGGTTCAACGCACTCGATATCTACCAAAAACTTTAAATAGGCTATTCCTGTAATGAAATGTACCTTTAACCATTCCGTTAGTTATGACGAAATATCTATCCCACGATTTTGTTTTTAAAGAGAGTTAATAAAACGAACAACTTTTTAAGTGTGAGATGGATATGGGCGTAATTACATTATCTGATTTCACTATTATTATCGCCATTTTACTTTCCCTTGCTTGTTGGTTACTTTTATTGGACCCCCACCACTTTTTTGTGTTTTAACCAACAATCATAACTTACAATTATAAAGTATATATATATAATACAGCACATATTTATTTTTTAAGCGCTATATGACTTATTTGTATGGAATTCTGGCATTGCATTGAAGTTTATAAGCTAGATCGAATTTATATTCAGTTTCTTTCTTTCTTTCCCTATTTTGGTATATAAAAAAAATAATTCCAGTAGCCCAGGCTGAGAGGGGCATTTTATAAGGTAAGCCTTATATCATATTTCCATCAGTCATACCGGGAGGATTGACCAGCGGGTCAAAGTGATTCAGTTCGCTATCCCACTCCCAAGCACGGGTGACGATAAATACTTAATAACGATAATACTAGTAATATGTTCATACATCATTTTGTTATATAAAAGATACTTACGGTTCGATTCCATTGATTTCGGCTTCCATATCTGGACAAAGTTTGGGGTTCATGTTACCCCATACAGCGCCATGAATGTTGATGTACTTTCCTTTGCAGTCAATAAGCATCGTTTCGTCTTCACACACATAATGTCGTTCTGTAACAAAGAAAAAAAAACTTGAAGTATTTCAATTAACCATCTTTAGTAATGTTAATTTCATGGTGATGTACTTTTCTTTGCAGCCACAAAATTTCACCCCAAGTATCCACAGGACTTTTAAAAAATGGATAAGTTCCACTTTTCGCATTTCAGAATCAGTGCCAATGTGTAGGTTGTGCTTTTTAAAAGAATAATTATAATTCGACCTGTGTATCATAAAATGTATCGTTGGCGCATAGATAAATAATGATTATATAACATTCCTGAACACGTATCCAGCAGTCGCCTTGATTGGTTTTTGAGCTTTGTACAAATTATAAGATAACTTTTATCGGGCCATTTAGAGATATAAGCTCTGAAGGGGCTTTTATAGACTCACTATGTGAGTCGGCGTAAAATAATTCAGTCACAAAATATAATCCATATCATTTAACCATCTCGAATAAAGTTGAATTAAAGATGTTAAAGCCTACCTCCCCCCCCCCCCCAAACAAAAAAAAAGTTAAAATGATTGTCGATGTGCTTAAGTGCGCCCCTCCCTTCTGTTCTAGATGCAGGCTCGGGTTCAGGGGAAACACTCTGTTCCTCATATGCAAAACACTTCTCACAACGAGGGAGTATACCTAGTGTTTTTTGGCCCTGTAATACACATCTGGTGATCTACATACAGATCTCCGAGTTAAGCTGCATATAGCCCTTTAAATATTACAAGTAGAAGAAGAAATGGTGAAGACGGGCTGTGTTTCATCATCTCAATAATTTACAATAGTACCGATATTTTGATTTTATCTTAAAGATTCAAATACCTCCAATATATTTTCGCAGGAGTCATAAGTCATCTATCTGCATTCAATACATTATGCGTGTGGTGTATGTGTGTGTGTGGGGGTGAGTGGGTGTGTTGTTTAACAAAACTTTACATTCAGAAAGATACTCCAACATAGTCTTGAAGCCTGTCCGGAAAAATCATCTTATATCGAAATGATTTTAACCTCTGAAAGGGACTTAGACGAAAACGTTGCCAGTCTGAATGATATTGACCGTAACTTTCGGGGATTTTCCAATACACACACTACAAACAAAAGCTGACAAAAGGTCTCGTCTAGATGGGGTGTCAAGCCACGGGACCACATTGTTTTGGTAAGAATATGTAGGGCTGTAAATTACAACAATATAAAAACTGACAAAATCGCCAATTAGGAAAGGGTGTATCACCCCCCCCCCCGGAAAGAAAGCCCCCACTAAAACGCCCTTAAAGCAATCGTTGCAGCCCCCCAAATAAATTGCCAGGATGTAAAGAAAAAGTCTGTTTTACATTCAGTTCAAATGTTCAAAGTACAATCTTGAGTATCATCATTTTTGCTAGATGCAAATAAACCCGATTTAGGGTCTGTTTTGAGGACTCTTGGTACCAAACCCGACAGCTACGGTCAGAATTACAATGTTTCTGTCAATCGGCTAACGTTGATGGGCCAAATAATATGAATACAAATAAAAATAATAATATTGGATATTTATATAGCGCACATATTATCTACCATGCATAGTGCTTATGATTATTGTAAGGCGTTCCAACTATTACCCCGGCTCTGCTAGGCAGCCAATTTCGACGCTCACAGCATTCAAGGAATTCCATCCTACCGGTACCCATTTAACACCTGAGTTGGGAGGGGCAAATGTAGATTAATATCTTGCCAACGGACATTAGTGTCGTGGCGGGAGTCGAACCGCAGACCCTCTGATCCTCAGTCCGACGACTTATCCACTAGACCACGACACCTCTAAGAATGAGGTGACAGTTCTGTCGAGACCGGCTCCTGACCTATACAATCATTGCAACGGCAATATCTAACAGCGTGTCCACACACAAAACAATCTATCGTATAAATCATCGTATAAATTTCAGAGTGTCCACACAAAAGAAACGTCGTATAAATAATCATCGTATAAATTCCAGGATGTCCTCACACAGAAGAAAGTAATTCTGAAACTCTACAGCGAAATGTCGTATAGGTGCGCAGTTTGCTACTGCGGTCATGAAATGGAAGCGGAAATGAGAGGTCTGGTCTCCTTTCGCTCGAGGTCACGTTAAGCCCCGCCAAGTTAGTTACACTAGTTACACTAGTTACGTCCACACACAACACCTTCCGTGATTAGGCGTGATTAGGCGTGATTCTTTATTGAGTTCTAGTTCGAAACGATGCCCAAACCTGCGTTTCGTTATACGACGTATCGTTAGTGAGCGTTCACACACACAATTTTATCTTATAACTATCGCGAAACTGTATAACTATCGCGAAACGGTATAGCTAATCACGCCTAATCACGGAAAATGTTGTGCGTGGACAGGGGGTAACAGACGAATTTACTTTAATCTCTTTAATTGTGAAACGTTTTCCTTCCCTGATGGCCTTGACCTAATTGTTCCTCTTTCAGGTCAAATCTCACCCAATAATGTAAATACATGTATCACCAATATGTGATCTTCATTTGTGTAATCCATTTAACACGAATTAAGGAGAATATCAGTAAGTTTAACTGAACACAGAATACAAGAAAAAGAAGTACTATTACAACGGAGAGGAACCATCAAGTTTTGCTGTTGATCATTAAAAAAAAATTTAAAAATATGTATAAGACTTGCCCCATTTGATAATGATAATTTTACATAAATAAGCCAAGTACAACCTTTATTCATGACTTGATATAGTAGAATAAAAATGTAATTTTGTTCAAAACAGTATGTAGAAAACATTTGCCTAATTTCCCCCTTAACTTTATTACTGTTATTGACATGCGTTATATGTCATCATGTAATGTACGTCGAAATCATCTCGTTGTGGGTAAAAAAATCAGACCTCACCCTTCTGAACTCTGTCTACGTCTACCCTCTACCTATATAAGTGTAAAGATTAATTTTATAAACTCATGTGATACAAGAGAGATTTAGTTGTATTTCTATTCTAAATCTGAACTTGAAATATACATGTATAGATTATTAGATTTGGTCAGATTCAAATATGTTCATGCTAAGCAGGCGATGCAAGAAACAGTATCTTCCTACTGATAATTAGCTGGTAGTGATAAAATTATAACAAATGAGTAAAAAGGGTGAAATTTTGCACAGTATCCGATAAAAAAACAGGAAAGCTATGAATTATTCAAGTTGTCAACAGTTAAACATAAGTAACTTAGCATTGTCCGGTATCTTTTACTGCCCTACCTCTTATTGTGTTGTAACCCATACTGAACATAAATTTAAGCACCTATCTACATTCTTTGTAAGTCTAGATCAGGAGCTGATCAGCCTTCGGTTGAAACAGACTGTACAACTAACTACATGCATGAAGGATAAAACTTCTCCAATCTATATATAAACACACACACAAGCGCACACACACCACACGCACACACATACATGTATTTATATATATATTATATAGTTATCTTGACAACAAATTATTGCAAAACTTCCTGTCCCGCCTATCTATTTAGATGGAATAAGAAAAATCAATATCTGCGCTGCTGCTCCTGTTAAAAAATAGAACTTTCTTTTGATATGCGACAGGACATCTGTTGGAAATTTGACAGATTTGTACGAAAATAACGATTTTTACCAATGTTGACATCTGCTGTATTTTTCCTGATGCTCTAAGGCTAAGCCACACCATGGAGTTACTAAAAGATGTTATATCGGATTTCCTCTTTGCTTTATTCTACAGGCATAGTAGAAATGCCTATTCATTTATTTCAGGGCAGCCATTTCTCAATGCGAAACCAACCACCCAAAACAAATTGCAAAAGAAATTAATCCACCACAGTGATTTTAGGAATATTCTTCTAAAAGATATACATTTTCAAAATATTATCATGAATATAATTTGCCTACTGCGCAAAATATCTTAAATAATAAATAAAGAAAGAAAGAAAGAAAGAGAGAGGAGCTACTAAGCCTAACCCCTAAGAAATCCATTGTGTGCGGGCAAGCACTGAATCCAATGACCGGGGTAAAAGTATATTTGTAAAGCGCTTAGAGACATCTGTATTAAACGCTATATAAAAATTAAATATTATTTTTTATTATTAATAAGAAAGGCATTTAGATGTTTTAATGCAACCTTTATAGAGGGCATGGACTCTGGAAATAGACCAGGAACCTATTCTTTACAAGCTTCGCTTTTCTATAGGTTCCTGCACATTTCACAGTTCGTACTTTTGTCTGGGTTTCCTTTAAATGATATTAGACGTCAAACAAATGTGATGACATATAACTTTGTAGTCTGATTACCTTGTCAATTACTATAATCATTTTTTTTTAAATTATGAAACAATATGTCTTTTATGTACACAGTTAAAATTTTAGTGAACATGTTGTTTAAAAGTTTAAACAACTTTGGATTAACGGGTGACCTGATCTAAGAGTTGTTTAAAATTAATGTTAAGCAACTCGAGTTGTTTAAAGTTTAAACACTAAGTTGATCAACATTTTGAACAACTTGTTTAAAATCACAATTTAAACAACCGGTGTTGTTTAAAGACGGTTGTTTAAAACGGAACTGTTGTTCAGTGGGGGTTGTTTACACCAACTGGGTTGTTGAAAGAAAGTTGTTTAAAACGGAGCTGTTGTTCAGTGGGGCTTGTTTACACCAACTGGGTTGTTTAAAAAGGAGCTGTTGTTCAGTGGGGGTTGTTTACAACAACTGGGTTGTTTAAAGAAAGTTGTTTAGAAAGGAGCTGTTGTTAAATAATAATAATACTATTGGATTCTTATACAGCGCACGTACCGACCTTGCAAGGTCCTCAAGGCGCTCCAACATTACCCGGCTATGCTAGGCTGCCAAAGGACATTAGTGCCGCGGCGGGACTCGAACCGTGGACCTTGTGAACGACAGTCCGGCGACGTTTCCACTCATCCACGACACCTCTACAGCTTGGTCGGCCATGATGTGAAACAAAGCTTTTAGCCAACGCGCACTTTACTGGCACGTGACACATGACGTCATATGTAAACAACACTGTCTAAAAGCTCTCGTGTAGTAAATATAGCAGTCATTAAATTTCAAACAGCGAATGTTTAACAAAATTACTTTCGTTTCGAGCAACATTGTTTACAATTTGTTCAACTGTTGTTTAAGATAGTGTACAACTGTAAGTGAACATCACTTTTTTAAGCAGCGTTTTTACTGTGTATATTTTGTTATCTGTATTATTTCTGCATGTGAAATGTGAATCAATAAACTCAAAACAATAAACTCAAACTCAAGGAAAGTTGCAGGAGTGAATGAAAATACATGGAAATATAGCTTTCATGTTTAAATAGGCTTTCCTCCTTTTTCTTCCTTTCCACAGCTTTTGTTCACAACAGAGGTAATTCCAGACTTTTCTTTATAATCCCAAATGCGATGGCTCAGTGGTAGAGCAGTGGTCTGGTAACCGGGAGGTCCCGGCTTCGAACTCAAGAAGATGCATTCGTGCCCTTTGATGAGACATTAACACTCATTACCAAGTCCTTCGGAGAGGACTGAAAGCCGTTGGTCCCCTGGTTGCTTACTTACAACCTTTGTTAGCAGTCAGGTTAAACATACACATAAACACCGCATACATTAATGGGTCACATCTAGCGTTATATATACTTATTATATACCCAGCTCAAACTACACAATCTAGCTGCGATCCAATTTTTAATAAATGTCAATGAGTATTAGAAATCTAAAGATACATCCTTCACTTGAGTTATAAATAATTATAAAAATTATAACAACCGAGTGCATTTTTATATGTACTCAGGTGTTAGTATTCATATGGTTATTGTTATCATTTTCATCATTTGTATAAATATATTCATTATCACTCGTAGGAAATGATCGACTGGTCTGACGGTATCTCCTGCGTTCCAAATTACCTCTCTAATTTATTGAAAATATTTCATATTTCTTATGTTATTGTATGCTTCGTACATGTTTATCGAATGATATAATTGAACATGATTTTTCATTTAATTACTTTTGTAAACATTGTATTCATTGTATTTGTTATTGTTCGAAATTTTGTACTTTGAATTTGAATTGTATATTTTTGAACGCAGAAATAAAATCAATCAAACAAACAAACATTGCAATTCTGAGCCGATTTAGTATTTCCTTCTAGAACAAAGCATGACATTCCTTGAAATTTAGATTTCAATAATCAGTTGACAATTTACATTCTCGATCGTGAATATTTTTGACGTAGGAATGTTCCTATCAAACGCTATTGCAAATTCTCCCCCAAAATCGGATCGTAGTCAGATCGTAGTCAGATCGTATAGATTGCGGTGGGATTAAGACCTACCTGACATAGCCGGGTCAAGGACCAATGCGGCCAGTAGCCAAAAGGCTAGTGTCCACGCCATACTGCGCGGCTCTTGGTAGGTAGGTATCTGGAATTATCAGTGGAAACAAAATTAAGTGTCAAATATTACATAAGTCTTAGGAGGAGAGAATATAGTGATTATCTAGGAAAAAATATTTCAAAGTTCGTGGGTTAACGAAACATCTCATGTTAGATAAATTTTTTTTAAAGTTGACGTAAATTGGAAGTAGGGTATTAGATAGCCCTTCATAAATATCTGTTTCTACAAAATCCATAGGATTTTTGATAAGAAGGCTTCCATGATTACACTGATACACTGCAAAATTCAGGGAATTAATTTGAAATTCATTTCAGTAGGAACACCAGGTCATACCGGAGCAAGAATAGTTTCAAATTAAAATTAACCATTCAAAAAGAGAAGTGTTTCGTATGCTAGTACATGTAGTTCCATGTCGTTCTAGTATAATCGAAATGTGAGCTTCTAAAATTCATTCTGAAAAGAGATTTTGCAAGTTTGAATAAACTCTCAATCAGAGGCGCCACAACCCCACCCCTTTTTTCAAGTACCCTCTTTTATTTTTATAAGTGCCCCTTTTTCTTGGTAAGAAATACCTATTCCCCTTTTTATTGGTGCACATTTTCGTCTCTGATCAGTGTCCCTTGTATTGACACGTGCCCCTTTTCACTGTAATAAGTACCCATTCCCCTTCTAATAAGTGCTCCTTTTCATCTTCAATGAGTGCTCCCTTTCACTTCAGATAAGTGCCTCTTTTATTGACACGTGCCCCTTTTCATTGAGATAAGTGCGCTATCCCCTTCTGATGAATACCCTTTTCCATCTTTGATGAGTGCCCCTTTTTTATCTCTGATAATTGCCCGTTTTATTTTGACACGTGCCCATTTTCCTTTCTAATAAGTGTCCATTTTCCTTCTGATGAGTGCTCCGTTCCCTTCTCACGAATGCCTCATTTTCACCCCCTGATCAATGCCCCTTTTCTTTCAACGGTTATCCCTTTTCCTTTATAAGAAGTGTCACTTTTCCATAATCATAAGAGCCTCTTTCCATCACTGGTAAGTGCCTCTTTTCAGGTGCGAGAAATGCCACTCCCCCCCCCCCTCTGATAATTGCCTCTTTTATTTTGACACGTGCCCCTTTTTCTTTCTAGTAAGTGCCCTTTTACCTTCTGATAAGTGTCCCCTCTTCCTTTCTCCGAAACATGCACCCCTAATTTAAAGCGACTAAGAGCAACTTGTTTGCATTTAGAGTTGATATTATTATGTTACTTATTAAATATAGTTTAGTCTTTCATGATTAGATTGTGCTGTTTCTCCCCTCTTTATAGGATGTAGTTGTTCTCACTGGGACCGCACAAATCTTAAATTTGTTTGCTCGATGTATACTCGGACCATCACATCTAACTGCAAGTATGATGATCAAGCAGTTTCTTGGACCATGTATAGAGAGAGACAAATATTGAAATCATCCCTGATGATATTATCACAATGTATGGGGTATATACCAATGTCTAAAATTTTCGCTTTGAGGTTTCCCTTTGTAGGTGCCAACTTTTTTTTCTTCTTCTAGAAAGAACCCTTTTTTATGCTGGTTCCCCCCCCCCCACCCCCCCCCCCCCCCTCTTCAATTTGGAAAACGCTCCGCCGCCCGCCGTCCCTGCTCTAAATTAAAGGTACTATGTCCCTTTTGCAGCCAACCTCAAATTCTGTAGAACTTTGCAGGAATTATGAATATGTCATGTATGTCCTATATGTGAAATTTAAACGTTAGCAGTGTCCTCATATTCAAATTATGCAATGAAACCCGTTTACTTGCTAGACTTCACTGTCAGACACTATTGAGTGACTGACTGGCATTTTTCCTTCTTTGGTAATAACATACATGAAAAGAGTTGCAAAGGGTACATGAGCATTTGTCTACGTCAATAACCCACTTCTTGTGATGGTAAAGATTAAACTGATTGAATCTTTGCGCAGCATAAAACGTTACAATTCGGTACAATTGTCTGAAAATCAAGACTTTTACTTTTGGGCTCTATAGCCCTAAAGTCGATTTGACAACTAATAGTCGTTATTTTCCCACTTGAAGACATTTTCAAGCCCCACCTTTTTTAGGGAAGTTCTAAATTAGTATTATCTTTCAAATGCAGCTGGAATTTAACTTTTTTTCATTTTTTTGGCCTGCAAATGGGACATAGTACCTTTAATATGAAAGAGACATGCACGTCGACTACTCAACGCACCAGTGCGCGCTCTCATAAAATAAGGCTTGCACGGAACCCAAGTCCAGCCAGGATTTGGTGCGAGCAATTTTATGTTATTTATTATTTTCTTCATATTTTATATCAGTAAACCCATAGAATGCCGGATGAAGTTTTTTAGGTTAAGTTTATACATTCTAGCAGGACAAAATTATTCTTTAGGTACACTTGTAAGCTGTTTAATGCAAGCAATTTTGTTTCCATGTAGGTGCGAATAGGTGTGTATGGGGGACGTGTGGGTGCATATGGATGAGTGTTGCAATATTCAAAGTTTATAAATGAGAGAGCAAAACTACATCATTATTTGAAAGAAGCAAATAATTGAATTTAAGCTCTGTTAAAAGAGGCTAACGCCAAGTTGAGTCAAGTAGAACGAGAAAACTTTCAAGGAATTAATCTGGTTTTCTTTTCCATCTTGTGTATATTTCGTAGTCGCGTGGTTTAAACACTTGACTAGAGTTACAAAGGACGTGGGTTCAATCCCCCACACGGCATAATAGTTTAAATAACGATGATGGGCAATTCAATTATAGACTAATTTGTTTTTAAAAACACATATGAATAACGGTATACATATTCGTACAACAAATTATCATGATGGTATTTTGGTCGACGTGAAATTTAGAAGAACTACACTTTTTTTTAAACCTTAACCCCATTTTATCCCCCCCCCCCCACAGGAATTAAAAAAAAGTTCTCACCAAACGATTCCATGCAATATGCCATTGACAAACAGCCTTCGTAGCAGTACAAACAATACAATAAAAAAATAAGTAAAAAAAGCCAATGACCTGACGATTGAACATAGTAAAAGTGATTGTTTAATCGAAACCATTTTCTTTTTTAATTTGTCCTCCTTCAAAGTAAAGTCTGAAATACAGTTTTCACTGTACATGTAATAATACAGTTAAGTTGATGATAGTAGACACATTTCATCAAAATAGTCTTCTAATCTTTTTACAGAATATTCCATTTTGAAAACTTTGCTGATATTTAGCACAATGGAGTTTTTTGGTACTAAAAAAGCAAAAAAGTTCAGATTTCCTTGCAATGTTGAACGTTGGCCTAGATTTGGAATGGTGGAATGATTGTGAATGGCTGGGCGTGGTTCACTTTTTATGGACTATGAAATACGTTTTAAAAATATCGTTAATGAGATTTGAAAAGACTTACCCTAGTCGAAACAACTGTAATTCCTATATGTCGATCTCTCAAATAGTCATAAACTCTGGATTACTAACAGTGTCTGTGCAGGTTTCGTACCTGGTCTCGCTCCACCGTTGCGACAAGCTTTCACATAAGTTCTAGTGCAACCCACTTGCGCTAGAATTGAAGACTGCAAGATTTATCCCAGACTGATCCCACAATTTAGTTTGCGTGGCAGAAAATAGGAGTTCCTGTTTGTGCAATATTCCGCGACTCGCAATTGTTTCAAGCGATTAAAATCAATATTCAAATTCATAATATATCGATCTCGATCTTGTGTTTTAGTAGACCCAGCATTCCTACGGTGTAGGGTTTATTACTTGGGAAAACGTTCTATTGTGTTACTATTAAAACATGTGGTCATGGCTAAAAAAAACAATCTCCCTGCACAGACATGGGTTAAAGCTGCAACGATTGGATGTTATGATGTACAGATTACAGGTACAAATGGTATAGTCTTTCATTTATATAATTACCTTAAAAGATCAAAGAGCAATTGTCGTTTGCTAAATGAAATCAATTCCAATCTTGTTCTTTCATGTCATTATCATGATTATTATCATTATGATGAACAAACGGTCCAAGGTGGCATTGTTAGATACTATTTTGTTGATATGGACCATAAATGCGATAAATCGTTTACCGTTTTTTTTTTTTTTTGTTATTCAAAAAATGTTTAAAGAATACAAATATATATATTAAAGCTTTCAAAACTGAAAATATCAGAAAAAAGAAAGAAAAAAATTCCCGACCGACCGACTCAATGTTTTGGCACCTAAGGGGCAATACAACATCTTTTTGTTTTTGTTTCGCCCTTATGAATACTGAGCATATCTGCATCAAGTTTGTATCAAGCAGTATGCATTTCTTTTTCATAGAGTCACCGATGAGGTTTGTATTCAAAACTTCAGGGAAGGTGAGAAGAAAAAAAAACCCTCCTGGTTTAAGTCGAAGGGACAAAGATTTCGGATAGATACATATTTTCTATTATTATTATTATTATTATTATTTATTTGACCAATCAGAAAACATACAATGAGTATAACAATCAGATAATACATAGACATTTCATAATACATACAAACAGCTTTAGGAAAGTGGAGAGGAGATAGAGAGAAGGATACAATCTGCTGGTCAGGGGTGACAAAAGCAATTTAAATTGCTATTACTCGAAAGCATGTCACCCCAACAGTCTGCATCCTGGAAAATTAAGAGTAAAGAATAGGATAAAAATTCACAATATGACAAAATAAATAAATATATATATATATATATATATATATATATATATCAGGATAACAATAGTTGGAGCAATTACTATTATATTCTTACTTCCTTACTTTCATTACATTATTATGTCATTACAATGGCTTTACGTTCATCACATAAATATAAAAACTTTCAAATCAATAACCTGGCGCTTACATTAGAAACATTTGATATGATTATTATTGGGAAGGAAAGTTACATAATGGTATAAAATGCTTAACAATAATTTCTAACTTTCAAAATGAAATGAATAACATTGTAATCTGAAGCTTAATATGTACTAAACGGAACGAAGAAATGAGCTT